TTGATTCGAATACTCTGCTGTGGAAGCGAGAGATCTTTTCCCCATAATGTTGTGAAGGACGTGTCCGGATTCAGAATGGTAGATAACCATCCTTCGCGTTCATACCAGTATTTCATCCGCCTCAAACGCCTTATTATAGCAATTTGTCTTAGAAAAGGCAGATTTTATTAGGGCGTCATTCCTCAGACGTTTTCAGCTCGCAATTGTAATTTCTTCCAGAAGATATCTCTTGATCGAACTATTACTCTACTACATTTACAATATTGAAACAATATATGTGCGAAATTCCTCCAAGATTGCCCTAGTCAATGAAGCGAAAATGTTGTAGATGTGCATTTAACAACGAAGTTTGTTTTACATCGACCTTTCTATTTGAATTTTAAACCATTAACGTGCTATTCTGGAGTGCCCGTGGCTAAGTGGTTAGAGGTGCGCTGCGAGACACATCTTGTTTTCGATTCGATCACGGTCAAACCTAGTCGTGGCAGGCAGGCACCAGACTTGTCTGGGAGTATACAGAACACTGCCTTGATACATGAACAATCCATTCTGAGAGAAAGGGAAAGAAAGGGTCTCTTTCAGTGTGACGGATAGCATATGAGTTTCTGACAAGGGTAATCGCGCGTTCGAAGTCCTCCTAAGACCCGGAGTTTTGCTCACATCGCCACATCCCTTTTGTTGTATTTCACGCAGTTCCCTGCCATGAAAGAAATAAGAGGTAAATAAGGAGTACGTTGGCTTAGTACTTAATAAAGTAAAATAAATAAAGAGTACTTATTGAAGTTGCGTGTTGGCAAAACTGTTATCGTTTCAAATTGATCTCTGAAAAGCATTTCCTTATAGCGCTTTTCCCATAATTACTTGTTTTCCCAATAGCACACCGTCGATCCCAGCTTAACTAAGTTTCTCATCACTTTAGACATAACGTCTACACATTCGTTATATAACTCATTTTACTATTTCGCCTTGGTATTGTCACAAAGTTCGATTTAGTCCGTCTAGGGTGACGACAGAAACACGCGATAGCATCGCCCAGGGAGTGGTCAGCGCGATAGCCATTACTGTCGCTGTCGAGGCTGCGTCAATAGGTAAGCTCCGTTTTCTTGTGGGCAAGATTCTGGTCGCAAATCCTCGCGAAGTAATTAAAGACTCGTTGAATTTGTGAAAATACTCGACTTATTCTGACGTTTAAGGTGTGATCATGAAACTATAGACGAACTGCCAACACCGTTTCTGATTTGTGTGTGCTCTACTTTAAATCCTCTTGTTTCTAATTTTCCAGATGAAAGAGCTGACACGGGCTTGGTAAAAACTCTTACTGCGCTAAAGTTTCGTCGACATATTCGCTTTCCCCAGAGCAGCATTGATTCGAGTTTTAAGAGAGTCTACAGCTACTAGTTGCAGTTATTTTTCTTCGGTCTCCTCTTCTTTATTTTTTTTCCGCACACTATGATTATCGCTTCGTTTTTGCTGATGCATGCTACGGTCAGTGGACAAACACGCAAGCTTCCCAACTCCGCAGTTTGCCTGAGTTTCCCACAAATTCTTTGATAGCCTGATTGTTTTCGTGCGCGAATTCTTCTGGATCAAAACTAGATCAACACATTTCTTACTTGATACTTGATAATTGAATGACCTGTCCTGACTGGTTGTGCTAGCTCCTGTATAATCTCCATTTTTGAAAGATTTGCTGGTTAACCCATCGTGGTTCCTCGGAATCCCGGGGTCAGACTGACCAAAGTCTGCCCCAAGTTCAACTCATTAGATTCAAATATTCTGTCCTTTCTTTTACACGAAATCAATATGCTTCACTCTCACTTTACTCTCCAGAGCTCACTCTCAGATGATGTTTGTTCTTTTTGTTTTTCCTATTATTCTTCTCTACTTCTCTGACCGTCGCACCATTTCTATTTATCGTAGTTTCTCGGGAATTCGGTGGTGCAATTTGAATCTGGGCGATTTGTCCACGAACTCGAGGTCGCTACAAATGGTGACATATCCCATATGTTTTTGTTCTTTATGTCTCGATGAAATTCTTCGAAAATGTTCAATACGGTTTCTCCATCTACATGAAAAATTTTTGATTGCTCTCACGACTTCGTCGTTGAGAACGGAAATCTCAGCTCTTTCAAAATTTAAAGACCATGTCTCCACTTGTAGTATCTCACGCTTGCTCGACTTTCCGTTCCATATATTACTTTAACGGTTACCATTTACTGTGCAATAGTCGTCTTCAGACTAACAAGCACTCACTAAAATTCATTGCGGGTGTTGTTCAAACTTTCTCAAAAAGTTGATGGCATTTTCTTTATTCTTCAGTTTTCGAAGAGTCTAATTTAAATGAAAACCAAGCGGGCTTTCGCGATACTATTGGCTAGCGTTGAATCGAAGAAATGAACGAAAAGCTTCCTTTGTCCTTCAGTAAACTTTCTTGTTCATTGTTTCTTATCTTCTTGTCTTTTGCGATCCGGAATTGTTCGACGTCTGCCACACAGCCTCTTGATGTTTCACTCATCGTCGCAACCAACATTCGCTGGTGTTTTCCAGTTCAGCAGCCGTTTTTATTTCGTGGAAATGACATATATTGCTCGTCTTGAGGTCAATGAGCCGACTTGCTTAGGTCTAACCTGCCGGCCACGGTAATATTCGCTTGTGTTGTTAAGAGTTGTCTTTGTTCAGTTTGTACTTCATTTCCGCCTTCTCTTCCGAAACCTCCAATGAAGTTTTCATTTAACTAGGAGAAATCTATGAAGAAAAATGATGAACGAGAAGTGAATGTATTTCTTGTATGCTATGCCTGAATGACTGAAAATAAATCTTAAAGCAAATTCTGTGACAGACCAATGAAGAAGATATAGGGTTTTCGACAAAACCCTCGGCAGAAATTGATCACTGCTTTGCTAAGTTTCTTGCAGCCGTCAGCCACATCGTGGAAAAAAAATTATAGCAATTCCTATCTTTTCTTTTCTAAAAGGCGCGTGTGGCGCAATGGTCTGAGGCTCCTTGCACAACACATATGGGTTCGACGCCCCCGCGCCAATGGCCCACTAAGCCTTCCATCCCTCCGGGGTCGGTAAATTGGTACCATACTTGTCTGGGAGGATAGCATCACTGCCTCGATGCTTCGGTAGGCCACCGAGAGTCATTGTAAAGGTTAGATATGCATTCAATCACCTCCAACGATGCTTAATGAAGTCGAATGCATTGCGCGTCCCTCAGAGATTGATCAAAGTCGAGAAATTTATCCTTTTATCCTTTGTCTTTTCTTGGTTTCTGAGATTTTAAAAGGCACGCACTACCGCAATATATGACAGATATTTTCTTAAATTTTAAATCCATACGTTTAGCGAGTGTTGCTTCTTTTTGTTTTTGCATCTACTCTTCGGTTAAGCTCCTCTAGTTGTTTTTGGAAATATGATTCGCTGTATTCCAATCTTTAAAGGGTTTTTGTGCAGCGAAGCAAAAGATTTTTTTCTCTCGGACTCTGTTTTTTGTGTGGAAGCCATAGTGGAACTTATTCCTTCAGATACAGTCACTATATTACTCATGAACGACACGCAGCGATGTGATCACGCGAACAGACACATTTGAGGCTTATTTCGACTATGAAGCATTCAAACGAAATCCACATGAAATCTCCATCAATAGTATTGACAAAACTAGACAAAAAAATCGACCTGTTCCAGTTTTTTTCGTGAATTCTCCAGATCACTTCGTGTATCTCGAGTGAAGTACGGAGCATGAGAATTCATCGTTCGGCCACGCCATGCCCTTAATATGGTAGATAAGCTCTTTAGAAACTTAGTGGTTTTGTATTTTACTGCATAACTTATCTTCCATAGCGAATTGCTGCGTCACATGGATCCGTGTTCTCCCGAACGCTGCAGATCAGATTACTACTGGAAGAACAAGAATGACTTGTCCTAAATTATGTTTGCACAGTGTAGATTAACTCTTAGATAACATTTCTCCATTGGAACAACAGAAATTTGGCTTCGTTTCACTCACAAGGGACCTATGCACTACCACGCAGTAAAAGAAGTAAATTAAAACGTTTTTATCTACATTGCCCAATGTGCTAAGTAGTGCGGATCGCAAAACCTCATTCGATACGCTGCTTCGCACTCGTGATCTACAAAGATCTTCGAATTTCCGTGAGCGTTCTTCTATCACATGACGTCACCTTTATAAATATTATTGAAACGTGTCGAGTTAATTCTCACTGGTATCCTGGAATAGAGCTTTCTCTGATGTTCCTACCACTGCGAATCTGTGAGATTTCATCAAACAAGTTTTGTATTAATTCGTTTATCCAAAAGGAGGTGGCTTTTTTATATCCAGGGAGTTCTCAAACTGGAGTTTTTACGTTCATTATTACGAGACGTATCTAACTACCGCGCTTCTCGCTTTAGAGCACAACATAGGGATTCGTGAAGGCTTCGGTTTTCCTATAGAGAATTCGATAGTTAGGAGCACAGGTAAGGCATCGGTAGAGATACCGTTCAAAGCGCTTTAAGCCCCTGATTCGCTCTGGGAATGGAAAATTGGTGCGTGCGAAAAAGCTCATTACCCACAAAAACTGACGACTATCTTTAGTGGGTGCTTTGGTATGCCTTGGCGTAGCTGTCCCAGAACTCCAAGTAGACTCCTCTTGACTAGTGCTCAACGCCATTCACAGAGAAGATAAAGGCTTCAAATGTCACAGAGAACGACGGCCAATCGAAACCTTCGTGAATGACATATGCGAGGAAGGAAATGCGAGGAAGCGAATCCAATGAAACAAGTCCTAAAATCCCCGTAATATATGTGATGCTGGATCGCATAAAAAATTAATCGATTGTTCATAGGTTTTTTCCAATTCTCTTGTGGCCAAAAATTTCCTTATCCATGGCCAACAAGGAACGATATCATAACACTGTCTTTTTCACCTCCGATCTCTGTACAGCATTTTCTATTTGCTTCGCTATTTTTCCTTCATTATATAAATAATACGACAATTGCTTCGACATACTGCTTTAATGCTTAATATGTGCTATTTTATAGCGCTCAAGAGTATCAACCACCAAGGGTCATCGGACCCAATACAATGGTACTCAGATTATGGACGACAGCCCGCCTCCTATTATTCATAACGGTAAGCTTTAAAAGAATAACAGTTTTTCAATTGTAGCGTCCACTATGCTACAAGGCTGAGTCACAACAAATACAGCCGAAAAAAATTTCTTGCACTGTGTGATAAAAAATTTGTACTCTTGCTTCTAGAAGACTTAGCGCCAGGGTTATGCTTCCACCATACAGATAAACTTATGAGAGAATGCAAAAACGAATTTGGCTTATCAAAAGATTATTAAACACCTGTAATGTTAATGAATTTTCATACGTATCCACTGCTGAGATATGAGCAAAACTCGGGTCTCGGTTTCAAGCCCCCAGTAAGCCCCCTCCTTCCATGATCCCTATTTCGAGCATGAGCTTATTTAAGCACTTGAGATTTCATTCATCAGGATATTGTGCTATTCCGCAGTGTATCACTGGTGTTCACTGCTGCGCTTTTGTGTTGGAATGACTCTTTAATTTACGTTTTTCAGTCGTCTCTGTGTCTGTCAGTAGACAATTCACCACCGTCGGTACTTTCTGATATCGATTTAAGCTGCCCAGATGAATGGTATAAACTCGGGCGGAAATGCTTGAAGACGTATCACGTCGAGAAGAGTTGGCCTCAAGCGTTGAAGATGTGCTCTAGGTGCGAGAAATGGAGTTTGGCTATGATTTTTTGTTTCTCTCTTAAAGATTGCCATTTTACTACTTCATTTTTCCAGTTTTTAATAATAACTACCGCCAGCTTTATTAAAGCAGAACGCATGAACAGGAAAATGACAGGTAAAAAGTTGGAAATCGAACACACACTCCCATAACATAATGCTTCGAAAAAATCGGCTCAGGCACCAATTAATGCCTGATCAGAAATGAGACCTAGTAATGAAGATTAGTGGATCTCAATAGAGTTCTCTTCAAAACGTTTCATAAGCATTGTTATCTAAAGAAATTAAGGTTTCATAAGGTCATGAGATGGAGTGAAAATTTCAGGTACGGTGCCCACTTAGTCCGAATCGACACACCGCGAGAGAATAAATTCATCGCGTCATTACTTTCACGCCCCGGCAGGAGGTCGCAGCAACAAGCATGGATTGGTATGAGGATCTTCCATTCATTTTTGGGCAAAGTGCCCCAAGTACCTCCTATTTATACCTTTGACGTTATAATAGAAAAGTATGTCACATACGATGACGTGAATGAATTACAGCTGGGTGGTACGTGGTTGTCGTTAGCCTAGCATTCTCTATAGAGTTCGTTTCGAAATGGAACACAGAAACATTTTAGTCCAAATACGTCACTTAGAATTTTGTTCACCGTAGAGAGCTGAGAAGGCACCAGTTTATACTTTTCCCTGTTGCATGTCAACGGTGCTACCTCTCGCATAAGTCTCGTTCATTAAAGTTTTTAGCGGAAGGCAAAAACGGTTGGCACTTGAGTCTCTCTTCATGCTAGGAATTCTAGCTTCCAGCTCGTTCGGCTGGATTTGGAAAATATTCTTTGCATGTCACACAGAGCTGCCTTTCATTTATTTCCTAGTCATTTAACCATATGCACTTAGCGAAATCCATGTCACGTGATGCAATCCGCGCACATGGAAACTTACTCTACCGCCCAAGTATTAATGCAAATATTTTTATGTATAGATAGAAGCTTCTTTAAACCCAAATGCACCTGGTGATCGGTACACGGTCACTTTCTACTCTTGTTTAACACCGTCACCTCTATCTTAATACTCGCTACGTAGCCAAAGGATGAACCGGTACGAAGTTTCTCATATTGTAGGGATCCGTACAAAGATACCGATGAGAGCTACAAGTAAATAAAAATAAACACTTGAGGTTTAAACGACAAATGTGTGTGTGTGTGTGTGCAGTTGCCAAAAACCGACTTTCCTTTAATCTTGGCATGACTAATGTACTCCGAAACATTAGCCGAATAAAGTTTCCATCAGCTTCGTGTTAGTTTATCAATGAAGAAAATACGTGTGTGTTGTGTATTCCATACCTATTTCATATCTTCCAATGGAAGAGTTTTTAATGACAAAATCATAGAACTTTAGGTCTCGTTTCTAAGCCACAAGTAGAGGGGATTGCTTTTCTATGGAGTGACGGAGTACCTGCCAGTAGATACGTGGGATTCTGGAAGGATTCACATCCCGATCATAAATCAGGCAGTTGCACAATGGTGAGCCAGAAATGTACCAAATCATTTTTATTTGTGAAAAATTATTCAGATTCCTTAGGTGACAGTCTCCGAAACAGAGCTAGAGTGGAGCATCGAGAGCTGCAATATTTTGCGACCGTTCATTTGCGAAAAGCCTTCTTGTGTAATAGGTGAGAGATTTGGTTTTATCAATTCAGATATATGTCACTTCTGAGACAAGACTTCGTAAGGTTCCTTCTTCTGTGCGAGCTGCGGCTGCGTTGCAAAGTCGCGGAGATGTGATGGCGTTCAGGACTGCGATGATTTTAGTGATGAATTGAATTGCCCTGGTGAGTATTTGTTTTGAAATTTCGGCTGGAATTTATTTATGGCTTTTCTCATGAAAATGAGAGATTGTTGCCACACCGCTTCTGAAGTGCGTTTGCTGGGGTTTTTCGTTGTAAGGTGATTTATTCAGGCAATCATGTTGAATCTCCATTGCTCCTTTCAAACCCTTCTTTTTATGAAGTGTTTTTAATCCAAACGCTAATTTTATTTCTCCCACTTTGAATATTATCTTACAGCACAACAAACTCGATGCTTACGGATTGTGCACCTTTTTACGAGCGTAATTTATCCATTTCCGCATATTTGATACATAATCGGGATATTGGCAGTTATTTAGCGCTCGATATCTCGGTCGACTTTTAAAGAAATCGTTGACGCTGAAGGAATCAATGTATTTTTAAGAAGATTACTAGTCGATTATCGGCAGGCTGGTTCCGCAGCACAGTGACTGACTGACTGGTAATTAACCATAATGAGGTTCTGAAACGGCCCCTAGCAATCTAGTTTTTAATTCTGTGAAAAACCATGCTTTACTAGCTTAAAAGTGTCGATTAGATAATAAGACAGACCTTCAAACTGCAACCGAACCGATTAATGGAACTGAATTAAAACTAACCCAGCCATATTTTTATGGTAGCAGTTATAAAGTAGAAAAAAGAGTAGATGAAGTGATTGGACTTTAACGTTACACGAAGAAAAGCAAGCGACTTAAGCATCTAAGCAAGATTAAGAGAGCGGTTAGCCAGTGGTAGTAACCTTTCGTTACACAGACGGCTGAACCTACCAAGGTGCTGGTTCAGCGCCGCTCTAAGGTACTCCAACCAAACCTCACATCCATCTTGGGTCGGCAAATCGGCACCAGACTTGTCTGGAGCAAGCTCGCTTGCTGGAATGTACGTGGAAACGCTCTAGAACGGCACTCCCAGGATTTCAAACTGAAGTGACTGGACCAGCATTTAACAACATTCGTAGCGGAAACGACGGTAAGAAGTCCTCAAGCGTGGAAAGCGGATGCGAGAAAACGAATAGAATACGAGAAATGCTGGGATTCGCATAGGGTGATACATGTGACTTCTGATCGTTTTATGGAAGCAAATAAAAAGTAAAGCTTAAAAAAAGGTTTTACCTTGGTATCTTCATCCTTACCCATGACAAAGTTCCCATAGTATCCAGCCTGTTTCACGTCCAGTTCGACAGCACATAACGGTATGAGGCATTTCTAGACAAAAACTACGGCAGTAGGTTAAAATAACTCGATGTCTAGGTAATGAGTTAGGGATAACCGTTGACTTACGTCGAATGCAATCATCCTTTGTCATATGGGCTAAATTGCTTGTCAATTGTAGGGACAGTGATAATGGCTGAAATACCTTTAAATTTCTCTATGGATAATCGTATCATCAACTCGGGAATGATATTTCGCCAACCAATGAAAGGTGTCAGTCGACATGATAGTGGTCAAACATGAAAAAACGCTTCATCTATGCGAACCTTATAACGATCATGAAAAAGGTGACAGTGGGTCTAAGTCTCGAATTTTTGTGGCCCTGGAAGCTAAGATCTGGTTAATAACATGGGTGCAAACTGGACGATAGCATACAAAATCAGTTTGGTTCAAGTCACTTGATCACTATCGTCAAGGTAACCATTTATGCCGCTCAATATTTCAATTAGTACAAGCACGCAATGAATCCGCTCGAGAGGTTGATCAGGAAGTTGAGGAAAATTTTTGAAATCTGATGCACTCGTTGATTTAAAAAACTATGGAGCAATCTTATAACCGTCATTATCTACTGCTGTCAGTTTTGGATAATCAGCTTGCCAAATTAAAGAAAAAGCGATTCATGGCAATTATGCAATTCATCAAGGTTTTCTATACTCGCTTATGCTCGACTTACTGGTGCAAAAGTTTTCCCAATTAAATTAGATGAACAAAATGTGCTTAAAAACTAAAGCTTAGTAGAACTTTCTCGACCAACTGAATGTCCTATTCTATGTAAGAGTGGATATAAAGGATAAAGGATAAAGCTCTCGACGTTGTTCAATTCCTAAAGGATGCGCCATGCATTCACTTCAGTAAGTATCGTCGGTGATTGAATGCATATCTGGCCTTTACAATGACTGGCAGCCTACCAATGTATAGAGCCAGTGCTGCTGTCCTCCTAGACAAGTCGCGTACAAATTTGCCGACCCCGGAAGGGCGGAGTGCATGGTGGATGTGGGGCGTGAAGATCGATCCCTTGTGTATTGCAGGGCGCCTTCGACCACAGCCCTACACGCCCCTGTAATCGTGGGTATAGGAGGAATTAATCTGCTCAGTATGTTTTGAAATAACGTTTCCTTTCAGCGCCACCAACGGCAGTGGGCTGTCTGCAATACGAAAAAGGCGAGTCTGGTAAGTTTTCGACACCCGACTACCCACAACCATATAAAGCCAATTTAAATTGCCGATGGATGATCGAAGCACCGATAAATAGCCGCATTCAGGTATGTTCATCTGCCGTATCATGGAACATTAGCGTTTTTGTTAGCTATTCTCGGGCGCCCTATAAGTAGCTGACTCGATAACCAGTGATGAATCCCTGACTTGTTCAAAAACTGGTTAACAAAGGTAACATTTGCATATAATGAATGCCCATCAAGCAGAAAATGCTTAGTATTACAAGCCAGTCGGAGCAATGGATACATCCTGATAGAAATGGCTCAATCCGTCAAAGTAAATCGGACCAGGACGAAATAAATCTTACAAATGAACGACAATCTGTGTAACTCAGTACAACACTTGCGTGGGAATCGCAAATGACGGGCTGTCTAAACAGTTGAATAGAAAAGGGATACCAATGTAAGTACTTGTGTGACCAGATCAAGGTAGAAAGTATTTCTTATGAGATAGAAAGTGGTTTCTACGGCTTAAATTAAGATCTACAATTCACCGACATTGTAAACTGCACCAAATGCAGTATCGCCTTTCAACGGCATTGGCTAATGCTGTGGACTTGAATTGACCCTAATATGCTGTAATCGAATTGATGCGTCGTCTATTTTCATAATTTCAGCTAACGTTCGATGTTTTCGAGACCGAAGAATTCGTTGATGTCGTTACCGTGCTCGATGGCGGGCCAGCAGGAAACAGTACAACTGGTAACATTTTAGTAAGCTTTTTTCAAACCCTAGTAATAAACAACACATAGGTGTTTCAACTGCAGCCGCCTTGGTATGACTATGAGCGTTGCGGCTGGACAGTGTTTATTCATGGCGCTGTCCATGGACGCTTATAAATTGCATGAACAGCATTTTACTGACCTCAGCGTTCATAACTAAATTTTTGTGTTATTGGTGAACGTACGCAAGGCTATTGACGAAACACGCTCCTGGGAGATTCGTCCTGTTTCAGAACTAGGAATTGTGATATTTCAAGACAAGAAGTGGATTCTGTTCAACACACGCCTAGCCGCTAGTTTGGTCTCTTCTAACCAAGCCTCATAACCTTCGCTAAATACTAAATAAATAAGCACGCTAAATCAGCACCTTAGATTAAGCTTAGTTGTACTTAGTCCATTTCTTCCAAAATCGCGATTTTTTTAGTGTTGGCAATACTGTCAGGAACAAGAAGTGAGAAATTTGAACTGGTTTCGTCAACAAACATGGTTATCGTTCAGTTCAGAACTGATGCCGTTGTGCAAGCCCGCGGTTTTCATACGCATTGGAGAGCTGGTAAGTTCTAGCAGTCAGAAGTCGGCGGTTCTTCCAAAGTATATCAAAAAGTGAGTGTATCTGCACCTTACATACGGATAAAAAAGGCTTTTATACCGAATTCCGTCTAACTTTATACGATGCATGTACTGCATCAGCACCCTTTGCATTCGTGCGTTCTTTTCTGCTATAGAACCAAAGGAAATAGTTAAGAAAATCTGGCGGATTTTTATATGTAGACAGCTGCCCAAGAAGTCCAATTATGAGACACTAAGGTGTTAAACTTAAAACTGAGTACATTTTTATCTTCTGAAACTTAGGATGGAGACCACTGTGGTAGTCTAAATTGCTTGTCAAAAATGAATACATCAACCATACTTCCAATATAATCACCGTATTTTGTTAGCACTTAGCTTTCTTTTCTTGGACTGATGGAAACATTAAATCCGCCTTCCATGTTTTCAATACGAGACAGTTACACCAATTTATTTCCGTATGGATACAACAAGGCGCGTGTAGCACAGAAGTAAGTAAAGGAGTACTAAATGATGCCCTACAATACACGCACGGACTTCGGTTCGATTTCGCTGCAATGTGCTCACTGCGCCTTCCAACCTTCCAGGATCGGCGAATTGGTTCCATATTTGTCTGGGAGGATATTAGCACTACCAATACAATGGGAGAGCATTGCTATTCATTATATAAGCCAGATGTGAAAACAATCAACTCCAACAATGCTTAATAAAGATGAACGAATGGCGCATCCTTCAAGGATTGATCAACGACGATCGTTTTATCTTTTCCTCTATTTATAGATATGGTAATTGTCTGTTATTCGAATTGGACACTACAGGATCTCATTTCAGTGAAATTCGTGTGTGGTGGTGTGCTTACAGCACAAGCTTTCGGTCAGACGTTCTCCTCTCCTCACTATCCAGTCGACTATCCGGCTGGAAGCGAATGCGTCTGGACAATTCAGGCGCCGAAATCGCAACTGATTACATTAAGTGTAAGCTGTCCTATTCGCAATTCAAAATTTTATGAACAGGAGAGCTTGTTTACGATTTTTTAACACTCATATCTTAATGGGTTAGGGTGGACGCTTCAGTACCACTGCGTTGGAATTTCCTAGTTACAGCAATGTATCATCTTTTGTTCCATTCGACCCCCTTTGCTTCTGCCTAATTTTGCATGCGATTGTGAACTTTTCGTTGCTTTCATCATTATTGCTTGCAATTTTACAGTTATCATTTTGCTGCTATTGAATAGCAGTGATTTATTCATTTCTGTATCCCAAGGGCAACTCTCCAACAGAAGAGGTGCAAGAGTGACCCAGGAATCGATTACTATCTTCAAATGTTAAGGTGAATACATAGATGACCAAGGTGTTGTCCGCAATAAACAAAATTAAAGGAAAAGATTTGGTCAAAATCGGTAGGAACGTATGTCCCACCCTAGGACATGTGGGTATTCGGCATCGTCTCCAACAAGTAATACTATTCCGTCACAAAAAACACTAGAAATTTATTTTCGCTTGGGAAAGACAATGAACCATTTGGTTACTGAGTTCGTTGTTTATTTAATTTTTTTCCTTATTGTTCTTTCAGCAATATTCCACCTCGATTATTTTTCCGTTAAACATAAGACGCCTCCCAACGGTTTACTGCGTCATCGTGGCTGGGAGGTGTCCCTGGGTGTCAGGCTGCGATGTCTAGCACGGAAACTCATCCTCCCGGCAGGGTATCCCAAGCCGGGAAGGAGCCCGGCGTTTACATCGAGAAGTCCAGCTAAGAGTAAACCAATGCCAAGATCGACGACCGTCCTGGTATAAACTAGTCAAATAGTGGCAAATTTCCCTCTCATCCATATGGGTTGTGATTCCCCATGGTGGTGACGACCTAGAGCAGACTTTGGCCAGGTTGATCTCGGAACTTCAGAGAAACACAGTGGCTAAAGCAGCAAAACTCAGAAAAACGGAGAATATTGTGGGGTCCTCACAACCAGTGAGGACGGACCGTCCAAGTATCATCTAACTAAATAAACATTAGATCAATTTAACGCAAACTTTAGATAAATGTCGCCTTCCTATCCCAACCTACTGCCTTTACGCAGTTTCAATTTAGCTGGTAGTTTTCACTTAAAAATTTGTTTTTCGGTTATGAGACGTCATTAGCATTTAATGACCAAATTTAGATAGAGGATATATCGCTCTCCTCTGACGACACACTCCTAATTTATGATGGCGCGGATCCCACCTCCACTCTTCTAGCTAGGTACACTTCAAATTAGTTTTTTCAATCAGCAGTTGGAAATAAAGTTTCTCTAAAAATAAATAGTGGGTTTTGTCCTTGTGTTAAAACTAGAATCTTCTACTTTTTAGTGATTTTCTTTCAATCTACGTTTTGTTATCGCTTTTCGCTAGTATACTCTTGTGTTAAAACACAACCTGATTGTAGTCTTCTTGTTTCAGGGTACACAGTAATATCTCTGTTACTGAATATTTGATCTCTACACAAAACCATGTGTACATCTACTTTCTATCTAGCCTTAAAGTAGCTGGACGCGGCTTTTCCATCGGATACAAAAGAGGTAATCTGGTTTACCACTTCATATGTATAGCACATTAACACTGACATTCCATAGAACGCACTTCACTTTTAAAGGTTCATACACGGCATTTACTAGAAAGGTTTTTTAGGGATGCTTCACAGTGTTTGTTTTAGTAGTATTTCTCGCTTTAATTCTTTTTGACTTTACAACACTTTACTGCCTCATCGTGGATGAGAGACGGTCCTGGGTGTTGGGCTGCGATGTACAGCGGAGGGATTCGTCGACTGGCAGGGTCTCCCATGCTGAGTCCGGCGTTTCCATCAGAAAGCCTAGCTAAGAGTAAACCAATACAAGGATCCACCACCGTCTTGGTATCAAAGTCGCATGGTGGTAAATCTCCCTCTGATCCACAAGGGCTGCGACTACCAGTCGAGGTGACGACCTAGGACAGACTGCTCAGGCTGACCTCAGGACTCCAGGGAAGCACAGTGGCTAGAACAGCGAGACTCCGAAAGAACAAAAATTATGCTGGAGTTCTCACAACCAAATAAGACGGGTCATTCAAGTATCCAACTAAGTATTCTTCTTCACAATTCTATTCCTTCTGCGAACGTAGTAAAGACACTAAAGAAGGGGGCGGCCAGATTACAAAGATGCCGTGTTGCAAACTAATCGCTGCAGTTTCTACTTTATTTATTTACATTACAATTCATTCAACTTCTCAACAATCACGACATAGGTATTGGTTTGATGCTACCCTTTTCATATCTCTCTAACGCTCAATTTTAAATCGTGATTTCTTCGTACTTTGCAAGTCAAAAGGATTGCCTGCACCTTGTGAAGCTAAATGTAATAGTATAATATAATAGTAACGACAACATAGTAAGAGTAGTCTGAAATTAATGGTGATGTAATAATAAGGTATCAGTACATAGCTAGTATATTTATTCATAACAGTTCGCCTTTTAAAGGCTGCGACGTTGTCCTCCGTCAGTCATGGGGTACGCTAGTGACACCTGGTAGTACTCGCAAGCCGTATCCGCCGGCCACTCAGTGCACGTACACAATCGAACTGCCCGAAGGCTATGTGGACCAAGCACTCAGTATCCAGGCCAATCTGTTCGACATCGCGGCGGACGATTTTGTCAAGGAACTGTTGTTTATTTGGAATAATACTTCCTAACATAGTTGTAATTTTCAAACTGACACTCTTGGCAACTGCCACTGTTATTATTGAAATCTGGATACCTTTAAGGTAAAAATCCTCCTCCTTTTTCTAAACAACAGATAGCACAGATAGTTTGCGGAGGATCCAGAAACCTCCAAACCACCTTTCTATCAAGGGATTTTAATAGCCAACTCGAAGCATAAACTTTTGCATTTTCCATTTATCATGAGGACATTTTTTAGGTATACGAGGGGTCAACGATGGGACGGGCTTTGCACGATGGATCTGGTTTTAATAACGATAGACAACCTCCATCTCAGTTAGTGACGCGTCTTGGACGAGCTCTAGTAGTTCTACAGACCAGCCCTTTCACACAGGCGATGGGATTCAATCTCACGTTTTCGCTCAGCAAGTTGTTTATCTAGTCATTGATTTCGAAAGCATTGTTAAGCTAACTCGTCGATGTTTAGTAGTAAATGTTAGCCAGGCTAAGATTTGTTTGCATACCTATTTTGGACAACTGATCAGAGATTTATGGTTCGGAATTGTTAGGTCTAAAACATATCTCTACCGAAACATTGGGAGAAGTGTAACGATGTCTGTTATGCTTGTAATTGATTTTGAAAAAGAACACCCGGAGATGTTGATGTTTCAGATTGCCCTGTCCTGAAAACTCCACCGTTAGTATCTCTTTCAACGAAAGCGAACACTTACGGTGCCAAGGTAATCGTTAACGAAAAACACAAATGTCCTTTGTCATTTTATATAGTTTCGTGAAATAGTTCAACATTTGGCAGTTATCCAATTAGACTTTTCATATATGAAACCACGAAAAAAATCAGGTTGTTGTCTCGTGTCCGGCTGGTTTTGAGTTTGCATCTGGTCGAGGTCGAGCATTCAACCTTCATTGCCAACTGGGCGGAAGATGGACAGAGAACACACTACCAAACTGTCAACGTAAATTTTTAAACTACCATGGTTTAATACCAACAAGAACGTTGAAATATGCCGAGGGCTATTCTCACTGAGCAAATTTTTATGAAATTTTTTTCAGCTGTCTACTGTTCGGCAGTACCACAAATTGCTAATGGTTTTGCGGTGTCAGCGACCAACGTTTCCTTTGGTGGTGTCGTCAAGTATTCTTGTTACAAGGGATTTGAATTTCCTAGTGGTAGTCCCGTTGAAGAAGTTCGTTGTGGTATGGATGGCAATTGGACAAATGTACCAAATTGTCGAGGTATAGTTCTGTTAAGACAGTAAAGATGAAAACGTATAGAAAAGCGTTAGTGGTACAGAATTATTCCAATTTCTTGGTGAAAACTTCGTCAGATGCTGGGAAAGTCGAGTCGAAAGTTAAGCACGTTTAAGGCAATATCGATTAGTCGCTAACACATTCTGGCGTTAGATTGTTAATAACTGATGTGATACCTACTTAGCGAGACACTTGGATGACGGCCATCCTGGTTGTGCGGGCCCTAGCATAATTCCATTTTTTCGAAATTTTGCTCGGCTTAGCCATTGTGGTTCCCTGGAGTCTCGAGGTCAGCCAGGCCAAAGTCTTCCCCAGGTCGTCATCACCACAGGCAGTCGCCGCCTTTGTGGATCAGAAAAAGATTTGCCACCTTCTCAGCTTGGGAGAGCCTGCGGGGTGATGAATCTCTCCGCTGTACAACGCACTCCGACACCCAGGAGCACCTCCTAGCCGCGATGAGGTGGTAGACTGTTGGGAGGAATTGCATATACAGTTTTGGCAAGGTGTTACTTCCATTCGGAATTTGTTTGAAATCAAAGTTTTTGAAATCCAGATGATCAAAATTCCAAAATCTCTAACGACGATGGCAGTGAATACCTACAATATATACGGGGGAACTACCACAACCTGTTTGGCAAAATCTCTCTTGTTCATCGCTCCTTTGATCGAAGTAAAACCCTCTATGAAAATTAAGAAAGATTTATGAACTTCACGAAGTCTAAAATTTGCCATGGTAGAATAAGAAAACCGGCATTTTGTTGGCAAAGTTAATAAAGCTCAATTTGAACTAGGATGGGCGCGTGTGGCGTAGTGGTCGGAGGCGCCCTGCGACAGACACATGGAATCGATCTTCGCATCCATGGCCCACCAAGCCTTCCATTCTTCCGGGTCGCAAATTGATACCAAATTTGTCTGGGACGATAGCAGCACTGGTTCGGTGCATCGGTAGACCACCGTAAGTCATTGTAAGGGCCAGATATTCCATCATCTCCAACGATACTTAGTGTAGTCGAATACATGGCGCATCCCTCAGAGATTGATCAACGCCGAGAGTTTCATACTTTTTATGAGCTAGGATGTGTTCATTCAAATTTTGAAGGTTAAATCACTTTTGGTCACATATGAGTCTATATGACTCATTTGCAACAAATTTCTTAATTTTATTCTCTACAACCACAGTTATTTGTAACCAGCATCCTAATAAAATACTTTCACCTTACTATTATGCTTTCCTACACTGTTGTTATTGCAACGCTGTTTTTGAACCACTTTTCCGAAACATGCTGAATTTCCTGAATTTTTTCATTAAACTTTTCAAATAAATAAATATTACGGTAATAATCTTAACCCTTTTTATTTACTGCCTTTTTCTTTTTAATGGCAGGGTACGTTGCGAAATATAACTCGTATTAAATGCTGAGATATTTGCAAAATTCCGGACCGCAGGTATATGCGGTGGAGAAGGAACACGCGCTGTTGTCCTCACCGGGGAGCAGCGCACTTCACCACCGCACCATCCGGGTCCTTCGTTTTGCCTGTCTCTCAGCCAGTTCTATCGATCTTTTTGCCATCAGCAATCACCCATCAATGGGGTTGATCTCGGAAGCCGATCGATGTGTTTCGATGTGTTTCGCGGTAATGTTTCGATGGTGAAACGATGGTGAAACGAAAAGCAAAACGAAGGACCCGGATGGTGTGGTGGTGAAGTGCGCTGCTCCCCGGTGAGGACAACAGCGCGTGTTCCTTCTCCACCGCACACACCTGCGGTCCGGAGTTTTTGCAAATGTCTCAGCGTCATATACGAATTACAGCAATAATTTAGCTGCGGTGTGCTCGGCTTTATTGCCATTCACTAATGGTGAGCGTTGGCTAGAATTTGGAGACGGCACCGGATACGGTACTATATTTCGCTTCAAATGTCATCCTGGCTATCGACGTGAAGGTCCTGCTACATTACTGTGTAAAACAGATGGGCAGTGGTCATTCGAGCAACCAAAATGCGTCAGTAAGTTTCGTTAATCTAGATTTCTGGTCTCTTCTTATTATTGATTCTAATGAATTTTGTTCGAAAACGGTTTTGTTCTATTAACTGTTTGATTGTGCAGCTGTTTAAACATAGTTGTCGATTCGCTAAAGCTTCTTGTTCACCCAACGTCTGATATCTGTTGATTTAAATACGAACATTTATACTACATTAATTTATCATTTCTAACTTATCCCCGAATGTTTTACCGTCTCGATATGGTTAAGCGATATTCCAAGTTACCGTAATGTGATGCACACCGCGTTATTTATCTATTTGCCAAGGTTGCTCACGCTGAGAATAGGTTCCACCTTTAAATCAGGAAAGCCCAGAAAAACGTAGATTATGCCATGGCAGTGATTGGTGAAGTAAGTTCGCCGGCTCTTAAACATACGGAACCCACTGAGGAGTGCTAACGCGTGACGACAAGCATAAGAATTTTAATGGTAGTCGCTAGAATTATCCCGTTTAACGGGATTGCATTTGATATATTTAGCATTATGTTACCTGATTTGATCTTGATATTGAAAAAGCATCTTTTCCGATACACGTTGAGAAACAAGGGAACTACTGTGTTTAAAAGAACACCAATAAATCTTTTCAGAGGTCACGTGTGTTTCTCTACCACGAATCGCAAACGGACATTTAAGACATCCTCGGCCGTTCCAGTTTGGTGATGTAGCTCGTCTCCACTGTGATGCTGGGTTTCGTGTGAACGGTCCTGAAGAAGTACGTTGTGCTATCATTTTCTTCTTTAGTTTTCTACTCATCTCGTCTTCGATCTTTTTCTTAGAAACTCCCGTAAAAATCTGCACGACGTTTGTTCTTTTGTCCAGGTGAAGTGTCTTGCAAATCAATCTTTATCGGCAGTGCCGTCGTGCCATGACGTGAATGAATGTACTGAAGGTTTGGCACAGTGTCAAGAGGCTTCAACACAGTGTGTGAATTTGCCTGGAGGGTACACTTGTCGGTGTTTGAGCGGCTTCCAGCCACAATTGGGTATTTCATAGCAACCTTTCCTTGATGTATTTATTTAGAAGTTAAAGTTGGGTAGAAAAATTACAGTCTGTTCGTCTCCTTCTTCTTTGGTTATTTCGACTGTGGTGGCCTCATCCGAAATACTTCCGCCTACTGCACTTACAACAGTTGGCTGGTGTGCGGCGAAAAGTGATGCTCAGAAATCCGTTACTTTCCATTTCACTGCCCCGAAAGTTATCGAAAAAATTGCGTAAGTCAAGTTTAAGTATTAAAGCCTCATTTATCTTGCGCATTATTAATTTAGGTTCTATAAAGTAGCCAGTGGTGAGGTGACATCAATACGTATTCGCTATAGTGAAGAAGATGGACTTCCGCTTCGTGAGTTGCTGGTGGATGGAAAGAACGTAAGTCTTCTACATTATAGTTTCTTTGAAGTTTACCTGGGCTCTGAAAATATGCTCCTAAATGAAGACGACTATGGAGCTCAGCATGAAGACGAGTCAAGGTTGACAATTTTTAACTTTTCAAAGTGGTTCCGAGGTTCTGCGAACTACGTGAAACAACTTAAATCTCCCTCTAGGAATTTGTTGTTGGTAATTCTTTATCTTCTGCCGGAGAAGTCCTTGTTCTTCCATATTCTATCGAATCTCGGATATTGGAAATCACAATTGCATCATTCAAAAACGAAGCTTGTATGAAGGTTAGCAAATCTAGTGTCAAATTCTTTATTGTATTACAACATATTTAACACTTAGAGCCCAATGTCAACTGATTCTCACTCATAGATGCCAAAAATAATTACACATTTTGTTTTTATAAAAGTACACATTGGCTCATAACAAAAGTTTTTTGATATAGGTAAAAATAGTTGAGATCTATAGGTCCTTACCAACAAGACAAGGTCTTATCATTCTAAAAAGTTGAAATTTTGTTCCAATGGAGACCGCAGATCGTCTTTTTTTTCCGACGAAAAGTGTCAACAATTGTCAAAATATCATGTTAGCTCTGCAGATCTTAATGTGTTACGATTGTATTGGATGTCGATCAATTGCGCCTGTAACGCAATAGGTAGAGGTGCTCTGTAATGCACACGTGGTCTATGGCTCGATTCTGTACCCAGCATTCACGAAGGCTTCCACCCCTCTGGAGTGTAACTTAGTACAAGACTTGTCTGAGAGAATAGTAGCAATGACTTCATACATCGGTAGGCCACAGCAAGTCATTATATCGGTCATCACCTCTAACTAACCGAAGTCGTATCCATAGCGCATCCACAGAAACACGGTACGCTTTATGATTGTGGTGGCTAGTTCGTGTTGTAGTACTTTTCTTTTTCCAATATGTCACACGGTAGTTTTTTCACGCGTAACAGTTCGCAATCTCAGACTTGGGTAACAAAGCATTCATATAAATAGCACTAACGAAACAATGCCAAACGAAACGAGATCAATATATCTGTGCACAATATATGCAGCAAGGTGATCAATAGACAAGAGCAACATAAGTAAGGAAGCACACTTATAATAACGGTTAGTCTTGTGCTCTCGGTTCATTTGGTATTGCGAGAAAACAAACCTATTATGAAACTACTGTTTATGCGATGGGAAACCTTAAAAATTGTACGTACTTCATAGAATGGAGTAGTAGGAAGGGAGGAGGAAGGAGCACGGTGGAATGGAATTATCCCTAGCTATGCTTAGAAGGCGGAAAGCACTTTGGCATGTCATCTTGCCCAAGCCAGACTCAACGTATAAATAGCATCAGAGAGGTATAATAATATGAGAAGATAGAGGGTATTCTCTGCGAGGTAAGAAAAAGCCTTTGTAATGGTGCCGTGTTATACAATTTTTTCCAATACCCCTGCTGCAGGTTCTAAGCATCTTTCTGTAATTAATAAATTTTTCTTGCTTATAAATGAGATTATTTGAGTTCCTATTGGTAAAGTTGTTCAGCTGGAATTGCTTGGCTGTCAAAAATCATCTTGTGCAGATGTGAACGAATGCATGACTGACAACGGACATTGTGATCATATATGTATTAATAAACAAGGTTCATACAAGGTAGGTAGGTTAGCTGAAGAACTGTAGACATTCCATTACTTCTAGTAGAAGTTGTACTTTTGTGAAATCTACTTCATCGCCTTTACATCTCTGTCATAATGGACTGCTTTCGCATCTCTGAATGTTCCAGTGTTCTTTAAGAAATAAACATATTCTCTTGGTCAAGATCCATTTTATAACACCTTCTATTATCTGTGATTTTCTCTAAACACTCAATTCTCTTAACTTAGTGTGGTTGTCGTGAAGGTTATGACTTATTCACTGAAGATGGACAAGGAGGAATTCATTTGAAAGATGATGAAAGCGGTGAAAGCTCGCTGGATGTTATCAAGTTCGTTCTTTATTGTTGCCATTATTTGGAGCAATGTAACAGTTGAGCCTCCTCTAAACATACAAAGTTGTCTAGGTTGTAGTCTGTTAAAGCAGTATGTATTTACAATCTTAACTCTTTTATTTACTGCCTTTTTCTTCTTAATGGCAGGGTATGTTGTGAAATATAACTCGTATGAAGTGCTGAGATATTTGCAAAACTCCGGACCGCAGGTGTATGCAGTGGAGAACGAACACCTGCTGTTGTCCTTACCGGGGAGCAGCGCACTTCACCACTACACCATCCGGGTGGTGTAGTGGTGAAGTGCGCTGCTCCCCGGTAAGGACAACAGCGCGTGTTCGTTTTCCACTGCATACACCTGTGGTCCGGAGTTTTGCAGATATCTCAGCACTTCATACGAGTATGTATTTAATTTACTATTTTTTAGATATAACAGAACTTGCATTCCCCGTTCTTGTCCACCCGTTTATTCGCCAGAGAACGGAAAGCTCTTGAGCACACTTAAGAAATTTCAATACCCAGTTGTAGTAGAATTCCAGTGCAACTTTGGATACCAGGTCTCTTTGAAGCTTTCTAAACGTTTATGTTAGTTACCTCACACTCAGCTATAGAAACTGTCCGTATCTTTTGCTTAAGATGATGGGTCCAGATTTTATCCAGTGCCTTTCGGATGGGAGTTGGAATGGCACCGCACCCTTCTGTCTACGTGCGTTTTTTCTGTTGCTGAAGTCATCAGTTGTTATAATGAAATTATTATTTTCACGCTTTTTCGATAGTTTTTTATTAGGATTCTTTCTTAAAGTGTAAAAATATTACTCCTGCTCAACACTTTTCCTTGACTGCTAATGAGTTTCACACCACATTGCCGAATAAGACAGATTCCAGCGGCCACATGTCAAGGTTTGAAAAACAATTCAGCTGTTGGTCTGTTCGTTTCTCCAGAAAATAGCACTATTGCTTATGGGCACAACGTCACCATAGTATGTACTCAACAGAACAGACCAGGTACGAAAACTTTCTTGTCAGTAAAATAGTGCGCTTTAAGTTTTGCTGAATAGCGAATGAAAACCACATAATTGTGCGTAATATTTACTTGCGAGTATTAACTTTTTTTTACTGCCTACTCTTTTTCATAGTAGGTTCTGATGTGAAATACAACCGTTGGGGTACTGAGAAGTGAGCAAACGTGTTGTCCACCACATCAACTGAAGCCTTTGGTTTGCCTTTCCGCCATAAGCCAAGACCTAGAGAGTAGATAAAAGCGAAAAGCTGCAATTTGGACTGCAGCTTCAGCTTAACTGGATCCAATGCTGGTTTGTGCTCACCAGGTCATTCCCGTTGACGAGCGATTGATGATAGGATCAATAAAGTAGAAACATGGCTGAGATAATTTCAAAACTAGGATTCCGGTTGGTGTGGTGGATGGCACATGAGCCCTCGGTAAGGGTTATCCTGGGTTCGGAGCCCAGCTGAGGTTCCGAATTTTGCTCATATCTCGATATCCCAATGGTTGTGCTTGCGAGCTGTGACACAAAGTTTTCCAACAATCTTCTCGTCACCGTTTCAGCCCGGGCGTTTCCACTTGCATCCTTCCGTGAATGTGTCTTCGATCCGCGACCAGACGGTCGCGAATACTGGCTTTCAGGCCCGGCTATTGATTGCCCATTTGTCAATTGCGGACCACCTCCTGCACTTGCTGGTGTAGTCTACGAAGGAGATCACGAAGGCTACAACGTGAGCAGAATGGAAATAGTTCCAGTTCAAAATTCCACTTTCTCCTATTCTTTCCACGGAATTTCAGTGTTCTGCACTGCTAAAACTGGTATTTCCAATATTTCTACGGCTTCTGTGCCACCATCTTTCGGTGCATTTGTAGGAGAATGTAGCCAAAAGTCTCGTTACTTTAAAGCGGGTCCATTGTTAAAGAACGCAAATATTTTTTAGGTAGGATCAGTGCTTACTTTCACCTGCCGCCCACCGTATTTCATAGTGGGGAAATCAACTGCAGGTGACAAAAGCATTCGATGTGGTGTAGATGGTTCTTGGGACCTCGGTGATTTACGATGTGAAGGTTTGTTCTCGACGCTGTACAATTGATGTCATTCGCGATAGCAAATTTGAAAAACCTTGTGCTCTCTTTATTTCATTTGGTGTTTTTTCGTATTCTACAACTAAATCTCAATAAAAGAATCTTTTTAGGACCGGTATGTGTTGATCCTGGTTTCCCTGACGATGGTTTTATTGAACTTGATAGCGTTGAGGAAGGAGCAGTGGCGAGGTTTTCGTGTAATAGAAAGGGTACAGTTAATATCGCCTCTATTTTTTGAACATTGGTTTATTTGTTTCCATATCGGCCTTATATAGGATACCGTCCTTTTCCTTCACCCTCAATACAATGCGTGTTGGGCGCTGCATGTGTGCTTAGTGAAGATGTCGGTATTTCTTCTGGATTCATTCCGGATGGAGCGTTCGCAGATAATTCGGACAGTACAAATTGGGGTTACGAGCCACATAAGGTATGAAATAAAGAATTAGACTTTTGTCGCAAATACAATCTAACTATACTAAATTGTAGTAAACGGATATCGTATACAATGAAGTTTACAAATCCCTAAACACTGCAAGCAAATCTTCTTTAATTGTTAGGCTAACACGAAGTTGTTACCACATATTTATTCGGTTAACGTTTCGACTTCTTCGACTTCATCAGAGCCCGTAATCCAACTCGACGGTCTACAGTCGTTCCACTCCTTGATGTGACGTCTTCGTCAATGCACCGAATCGGGCTTCTTCAATGGAGTACCGCTCGAATGAGGCAGTCTCACCCGGCAGCGCTCTTTTACGTAGGGCGATTATTGTTGATGCGACTATCCGTTGATAATAGTTTGCCTTCAAACGGGTAATTCATCCTATAAAGTAGATATTAGATAAGCTTGCACAAAGCGAAATTCTGACAGCAAACAACTAACGCGCAACTGCAAATGTTATTGATTCTAGCAATATTTTTATCACCTACTCTCCCAATTGTCGTTATCTAATTTTATTGGGATGCGCAATAACCATATTTGCTCCTGTCACGTACCACAGTTTGCTGATAATTTAAGGGACATGAAAGAAGTCACTTTTTTCCTTTATAATCTTCGCTAAGTCTGACCATTTCGTTGATGACCTTCTTCAGCCTTTGAAATCACCTGAGAATCAGGCTCTAGTAGCACCTAACCCACGTTTATTGTTAAAATGTAGCACGTGACCGACCCATTTCGTTTTCAGTGTGGCGTATACAGGAGTGTGTTTATCCAAAAAGTGACCAATTGGGATCTTTTGATGTTCTTCAAATTCCGCTTTCTAAATTTTGCCCTTTTTCCTCCTATCTGCCATTAAAAAAATAATGTCTCTTGTAGGTGATAATCTGCCGCAGAACTGTGTGGGACATTGGAGCGACGAGTCCAGCGTTGAGATTAAAGCATTAGAAATTATGGGCTGTAGATAACTGCGTCAGAGATATGTTTAGGCTCAAGAGCGTCCTTGCTTCGTGCTGATTACTGATTGATAATGAGGAGTTGGAAGGAGCGGATAGAACAGTGGTAGTGATGTCCGTCATCACAAGCAAGGTCCTAGTTCGATTCCGCTCCGGGTCAACTAAGCCTCTCATCCTCCGGGACGGTAATTTGGTACCGGACTTCTCTGCGAAAAAATCACTCTTTGTAATCCAATTGGGAACGCTCCAACCCGCTATCTCAGGACTCCAGGGAGTGAAATGAAAAACCTCAAGCAGCAACCGAAGCCTCACGTAAAAGTTGGAAGATCTTCATGGACGAATGTGAGGATGCGAGGAAACGAATCAAATGTGAGAAGTGCTGAGATACACAGAATAGACGTGAAGACGGACAAAATAAAATAATAAGAAATTGGCGACCAAGTTTTGAAAAGCGGGTACTGGTTTTCCCTTGGCCCCAAAATTATCGTATCGAGGTTTGTTACAATTCAAGGACACGATTGTCTTTATTTTTTTCCTGTTTCTGGCATAACATATCTATTCATAACCTGAAAGAGATTGCTTTGGGGCTGCGTGCACTTGGAGTAATTTGCTAGTATTTCTCAAACAATGGATCCGGACTTTTTTCGGTGTGACTCCGAGCCATCTTCCATGTGCTTAACAGTCAGTTGTTGGCAGAATTTCGACGGAATCGATGTGCATGGCAGATTCACTCATAAATATGTACATCTACGAACGCATGGATATATGTGCAAGGTGTACGGAAAAGTAAATCTCACTCACAGCTGCCAGAGAAATGGATTTCTTTCCTGGATCTACCAACGACACTGCTATAAATCCATCTTTCAACCTTTTATCCATCCATATGAAACACCTTTTGTTAGCTCTGCCACCAACCGGCTTAATGTGCCAAACATGGAAAATCCGTGAAAATTGCAGAAAGGCCCAAGAAAAAAATCTGCACTTAAAATTCAAACCAGAAGGTGTGTCTAATGTGTTTTGTTTCGTATACTTACTTGATATCTTCCAAAAAAGTGTTTATTGGTTGCAAGCGGCTGCGTTCCCGGTCTTACTTGTGGAGAGATCAAACGCCTAGTTTTCTGATCAATTGTGATAATTTTTTAGGCACGACTGTCATCAACTGGCTGGTGTGGCTCCAAAGATGCATTCATATTCTTGAGTGTTGACTTGCAACGGTAGATTTAACCATCGCTTCGAGATATCTTTTTTTTCAAATGGTTGCCTTAGAGATCGTGTCTTTGAGCTCAAAGCTACCAATTAACGATGCCTCAAATCAAATAAACTTGGCCATGAATTGTACTTTCGTTATACTATTGTAGTCTTTCGAGTGAGTGGGTAACTCGACGATAGTGGTTTCATTCGCTATATGGACAACCCAACATACCCGGGTGGTGATTCGACTCCGCACCAAGTCCACCAAGCCTGTCATCCTTCCGGAGCCGGAAAATTTTGATATCTGATTTCTTGGATTAAGCTGAATTCCTCTAATCCACATGAGAAACTCCAGCTCGGCCACCTCAGGATTCGAGAGAGAAACGGCTGGATCAGCCTTCAACGATATTCGTGACGAAGACGGGAAACCCTCTATGAGCAGCCGAGGCCACACGCAAAGAAAATTCAAAGGCTTTCGTGAATGTTGTATGCGGGGAAAAGAAATCCGATGTATGAAGTGTGGAGACCCGCACAATGCGATTCTCTTGTTGGCGGGTCATGTATTGAGGAAAAACGATAATAATTGTAGTCTTTTGAGTTTCCTCAAAGCTCAGTAAGGTTTCTTCCTCTATTTTTCAATGTATATATTTATATAATAATACGACTTGATGTATTTAAAGTCCACTCCTAAATATCTGTATGGAAGTTTTTCTAGGATTTATACACTGACAACATTACGATTGGCAGGCGTGGCTGGTAGCGGCTATCTTAGAGGACATGTTACGAAAATGCAACTATTCTACAAAACGCAGTTCAGTCAAAACTACGACACATATCCTATGGCGAGTTTATATACTTGGGACTAAACGATTTCTCAGTTTAGGTCTCATTGTGTTAAATGACTTATAACAGGATTGTCGCAGTTGTGTCAGTAGACCGATCTATCACGCGGGCCTTTTTATTAATCCTCAATCCAATACCTCGAACTTTGGTGATTAAACCCTTGTACACAACAATAACTCAAAGACAGCAATATGGCGGTAAAAAAAGGCGGAAATATAAAAAATTATAAACAGTAACATGACCAGCAGCCAATGATGACATGACGACGATGAACAATGAACACTAAGGCAACAATAGCAAAGAATTCTATCCAACTATTTCTTTAAGCAATACTTTGAACGAAAGCAACTTCATAGATCTTTAGCCAAGACAAACATTGTCGTCTATTATATCTCTTGAGATCATGATCATTCCGAATTCAGGAATTTGAAACACCTCCAAAAAACCATAATGCCATGCATCAGTTCGAGCTCACACCTCCTCTTCGTGGTCGTTATATTTTGCTAGGAGTTACTGAATATGAAGAAAATCCATGCATTCGATTTGATCTGCTTGGATGCCTTGCCCCAATGACTATTTCACATGAGATACCGTCACATCTACAGGTAATATTTCCAAAAATTTTAGTGTTACTTTAAGAAAGGGCGTTAACTTTGTATGCTTCATGAATTTTTATGTACTTGCTAAACACTACTCTACCATGCCTTTTCTCTAAGGCTCTCGCGGTAAATATTTGTGTCGCAATGATTACATTTCCTCCAATGTTTTTACATTTTCTTGTTTGTTTGAGATCCAAGTTTTAACAAGCATTTGTTAGATTAGAATTAGAACCAGCTGAGAGACAGGCGAAACGAGGCACCGGCATGGTGCTATGGTGAACGCGTTAGCCCCCACAAAGGGTAATAGCGCGTTCGCTCCACCGCAGACACCTGCGGTCCGGAGTTTTGCAAATATCTCAGCATCATTGTATTTGTTAGATTTTTGAAGCTTTTCACCTTTTCGATATCTTTTTATAAGAATTTAATGAAAATCTCACCAGGTGGGATGGAATGCTTCAGTGCCGCAGTGCATGGATGCAGAACCGCCATTGTTCCAAAACTGTCCGTTGGACGAAGTGTTCACTGAAACCGATGAAAATGGACAAATAAATCCAGTACATTACGAGGAACCAAAAGCTGAAGACAACAGTGGGCGAGTGGGTCATTTTAAAACTACTAGGATTTGAGAAACTTTGCCTTCAGCACGCATTGTTTTATGTTTTATAGCAGCCTAATGATATAAAAGAGTCAACAAATTAGAGGAAACTTTGTCTTGGATTTATACTTTAGGTTCGTTTCAGATGATCCATGTGTCGACGTAACTGGGCGAATCTTTCCCCTTGTATTTTTGCATTTAATCTTCAGATAGCATACGTAAAAGTTGAGCCCGTTGGATTTTCATCTGGTCGGTTGATCACTTCCGATGTCGATGTTATTTACACAGCTTTTGACGATGCTGGTAATACAGCTCAGTGCGTTGTGAAATTACGGTTACCTGGTGGGTATTTCTGCTTTTCTTCCCATAATTATATGTAGATACTTCGTCTTCACATATCGTGCGGGTTCCAGCGCTTCTCTCACTCGTTTCCTAGTCTTGCAACCGCTCTCCACAAAGATAATAGGGTTGGCGTGTGGATTCGGGTAGAGCTTGGGAGAGCCTTGTTCTCACGAACATGAACTAGTGTGGTCTTCCGTGCAACCAGGAGCCAATCGTACCGTAAACAAAGGTACTTGTCGGCCTTTATGTTTGGGAACGAATGTGTGCTGCTTTGCCACTCGGATTCTTCTAGCAGGACGGCCGCTTTTGTGAATTATACTACTAAATAACCGACCGTTTCAAGGACAACGTAAAAAACCGACGTTGTTATTTCTAGAAAAGTCGGAAGACCTAGGCTTAAAATCGTGGACTTTTAACATACTTGCAGCACTGCGGGATTTTCTAAATAGTTTTTGCTCGGTGGAGTATTTGAGTAGCTAGACATCAACGAGACTTAAAGGAGACTTTTCCCTGTCACATTTCTCAAAGCTATTTAAAGTTCGACCTTTCAAAATGTTAAGTGCAGTTTAATCTTTACAAACTTTTAACAGCAGCCTCGCATTCTAGAAAATCTTTACGTCTGCTGGGAACGGTCCATCTTGTTAAATCGTTCGAATATTCGAGATCAGAGTCTCGGCGAGAAGAGCAAAAAATGTTGCTTTGTAGCTTCCGAAAAACTTGAACCTTGTCATGCTATGGATAAGAAGACTTCTATCTACTTGGCAATGATCTTTAGATTCCAGTGATTTTCGCAACTAATAAAGTTTCCATGTGCTGATAGATGTTTGTTTAAAACTAAACAGTTAAATTATTTTTAAGCGAAAATGCATTTAAATTGATGCGTAATGTTAACGAAGAACAATGTATTACGTCGATGTGACGTGAGCAGCAAAACGAAACCGTACCATAAGTGGTGCTCAGTAGATTGATATTCATAGATTGAACATTGTTACGTGCTAAACACATTCTTCGAATATCACGCGAAATAACAACCTACAGCTTAGGACCTGACCAATTTTTCAGCGTAAGAGTTATATTCCCAATTTCAAATTGTGCAGGGGAGTAACGCGATGACAGTGATGCTGTTCGTGGACGCAGAGCCATGGCTCGACCGCTTACCGTGCCAACCAAGTCGCCCACCTTTTTAGTGTGATCAAATTGGTACCAGATTTATCTGCGATCAGCTGTAATCCGCAAAAGCTGGCGAATACACGATATGAGGGCTTGAAAACGCACGAGCACGGCTATTCCAGAAAGACGGAGAATCAACTTGGCAACCATTTAACGATATTCAAAGTGAAGGCGAGCGAAAGCCCTCGACTAGCATCCGACCCACGCGTAGAAGTTTAAAAGCTTTCGTGGATGTGAATGTGAGGAGACGAATCAAATTCGAAAAATGCTGCAATCCGTACAATATGTGATGTCGTGCCATGTAAGAAAAATAAAAAGGTTTTAAATTTAGACACGATCCCACCTGTGATGAAATGTCCAGATTCATACGAGCTGTCAGCGTTTGAACCAAAAATGAATGTGATTTTTAACTTGACCAGCGTGCCGATGGTAATTCAGGACGTGTCAAACATCACTGAGGTGTTGCTAAGTTTAAGGATTTAATTTGCTTTACAACGATTTCTGCTCTGAACTCTGTATTCGAAGGTGATATTTAATCCAGCCGAAGCTGTGCTCGAACCTGGCGAATTTGTCGAGGTTGAAGTGACAGCAACTGATGCGCTAGCGAATCGAAACCAGTGCAAATTTCAAGTAGCTTATATTTGTAAGTGTTCTACGGAATTTTTACTGGCGTACAAGGTCATAGAGCTGCGCCGTAAAGTGCGCTACCAAGAACACGAAGGCTTTAATCGTTTTGTTTGCATTCCATTCGTTCCTGTTAGACGTCATTGGCTAAAGGTGTCATCATTATTACAATAAAGCCATGAATGTGTTTAGACGAGAAGTGTTCGATGGAGTCGCTGTCTTCAGCTGAGCATGTGCTGAAAAATTGCACTAAGAAGGACAGCACCGTGCTTTGCACGATTACTTGTGAAGATGGATATCGATTTGTTGATGAGGAAAAGGTATTGTTAGTCGTGGCTATAGTAACTATTAGTACTAACTCAGTATGAACTATCAAATGTCATTATTCGGAGCTACTGAGTTTTAAAACTCAAATGTGTGGACCTTTTGAACAAACCTTGACTTATGGACGCTATGCGTTCAGAGTGAGTACTTGAAGGTTCAATGGACTTTCCTTCTGATGTGGAACAATGAAGTATGAAGTAACTTTTGCCGAGAGCATCAAAAGAGAGCAGAAAATTTGGTAGTGATAGATGAATATTGATTTTTAATGAAGTGTTTGACAGACCAGAGTGAAAAACCAAAATGTTGGCTTTTTATTTACTGCCTATTAAAATTTTTCATCTTGGGTATTACAAGTGTTACAACAACAATGAGTCTGATATATTTGCAAAACTCCGAAAAGCAAGTTTCTGCGGTGGGTAACGAACGCTTTATTGCCTTTTCGGGGGCTAACGCGTTCACCACCACTCCAAGCGGGTCCTACGTTTCGCCTGTCAGCTAGTTCTATCGATCAGCGCCATCAGCAATCACCTCTGTAATAGCGCGTTCGGGCCCCACCACGGACACTTACGGTCCTCAGTTTTACAAATATATCAGTAAAAAAATCGAATTTCTTCGTATTTACGTCACTATTGTGTTTAGATCTCTGCTTACCCTATCCTTCCAATCATTTCTTGTTACTATATTCCGGAGCTGCTTTCTACCAAACTGTAAATGAAGGACATCAAGAAAAGAGCTCTTTCTTCATTCAGGTTGAGAAGTCGTTCACATGTGTGTCAGGAAGTTGGTCACCTTCTGGTATTGCTCCCGCTTGTGTTCCAGTCGGTAAGTCCATTCCTTTAAATGTCTGCTGTTGTTGAAACTTCCACAAACAAAAATTTATGTGCTGCCGGACTTATCACTTTTTCATAAGTTATCATTTTAGCTAGAGAACCTGCTCGCTACGATTTTAATGTGGCTGTCAATTACCCAGCTACTTCACCTGCTCCAGAACATTGTTTAAAGGTATCGTTTGACTTTGTAAAAGGATAATTTAAATAGTTCCACTGAGATGAAAAGCCGAATATCACTTCTGCTTTCACTCTTTCCTTAACCGTATATTTTGAAATGAAGTTTTTGAGTATATTTCTCGACAGGTTGATGCATGGGCTTCACCGTTTTATTTCCAGTGTGCTACCTAAACACAGTTTTATCATTGGAAATCTATCTTTGCTTCAACCACTAGTAGTGCGTTTTCGACTTTAGGGATATGCTTCACTTGTTGCTGAATCCTTCGACTCTCTTGATGAGGTGCTTAGTCAAAGGTGCTCGAGTTCAGTTCAAGTTTTTGTGCGATTCCTGAATGCAGAGTTTATTAACGGAAATGGAGTGGTTAGTGTTGTCCTGAAAACATCTCCAACTTTTTCCTATCTTTTAATTTTTAAAAATTGTTTGAATTTTGCCCATCCGAAAGCGGAAAAATAAAGCCACGTTTTGTCAAGGGATTATTTAAATTTAGATTGTCGGTAACTACACAATCCAGATTCTTCCTACCGTTCTCCAAAGTGTGTTCTATGATCTCTGCGGTCTCACACTTAGGACCATTTTTGATTTAGGAATACCAGGTAAGTATTTTTGCTGTTTCAGAAGTAGGCCTTGACGAATACACTGGCTTAGTGAAGGGCAAGCCAAGGGTGGCGGTGGTGCACCGGGTAGCACGTGAGCCGCGGAAAGGGGAATCATGGGTGCGAAGCTGGGTTGAGGTCCGAGTTTTGGAACTCAGTATGGCTGTGAACGTATAATGTTTAGCGGCTAATTTTTCGCCGCATTCGCCACGAGTTGATGTCAACTCAATCCGATTCAATTGTCCTCTTGCAGCGGCACTGCTTTCTCTCTGCTGAACTTCTGTATAGTTCAGTGATTTGTATTTTTTTCCATTACTTTTGCGGCTTTTGTTTTTCATATATCTTTTTAAACTCTTCTGTGTGTTCTGCCATGCCTTTGAAACATTTCGACCTCTTGTATCTAGCGAAAAGAAACTCGTCCACTATATAACTAGGTTACTGTCACCACTTGGTTGTCGATTTCATAGCACATTTGAACAATGTTGGTACTCTCTATACCTACCCATTTTAGCAAGAGCCATGATTTATCATGAATGATAAAGAATAGAGCTCTCGGCATGTTGATCAATTCCTGAGGGATGCGCCATGCATTCGACTTCATTAGGTATCGTTGGAGGTGATTGAATGCAGATCTGACCTTTACAATGACTCACGGTGGCCTACCGATGCATCGAGCCAATGCTGCTATCCACCCAGACAAGTCTGGTACCAATTTACCAACCCCGGAGGGATGGAAGGCTTAGTGGGCCATTGGCGCGGGGGTCGACTCCACGTCTGTGTCGCAGTGGCGTGTCCAACCACTGCACTACCCGCGCCGCTTTGATGATTCAGCATAGTCACCGTAAATGAAGTAACAATCAACTAGTAGTTAGTTGTAGTTAGTAGTAGTTAAAACGCATTTTTATATGCTTGGCTCATTGTAGACGATTCTGGTTTTTGGACAACTCCTTCATAGTTTCCCGGTAACTAAAAAACTTTGGGGATTTGACAGACTCATAGATGAGATTTCCCTCTATCATTCTAAGAGTATGGACAGCCAATACGTTTTTTCCACTTTAATTCTTATCTGAAGTACAAATCAAAAAATGACTTCAAAGATTTAAATACTTAGAGCAAACGCGGTTGGAGCTTTAAAATATGAGCTTCGAAGGTAAATTTACGCCTTGTAAACCCAGAACATCAAAGTATGGTATTGGTACAATAAGAAAACCTGTGCACTGCTTGCAAAGAGATGTGGATTCTATCCGTTTTTATTTCAATAAATAAAGTGCGCTATGAACTGAGATATAAAATGCTAAATTATTTCAGTGCACTGCAGAGTAATCCTTGATAGGGAATTAAAAAGAGCTCCGAAAGTAGGGTGTCCACCAGAAGTTGAGCATAGGGCAACTGGAAACCCAACAGAATCGAAATGGTACAATGGTGCTAAAATAGGAGCCCTGTCCTGCAATACGCAATATCTGATCGTTGGTTCGATCCAGCGCAGCAGACCAAGCCTTCAATCCCTTCGGAGTTGACAAATTGTCACCAGACATACCTGGTATGGTAGCAGAACTGAAATGATAATCGGTAGGCCACTGCGAGTCACTGTACTGGTCAGCACCCAACCACCTCTAACGATGCATGGTGAAATCGAATGCATGGCGAATTCCTCAGACATTGACCGGCTGTATGCGTTTTACGCTTCTATTTAGTATATAGAATGTGTTCTTGGTGCCTTATGCTGATCACAATAATCAGAGTCGGTTAAGCTATCGACCAGATCCGAAAAGTACAACGAAAACTTTCGTATTGCAAGATAAACGGATACAAGAAAATGACATGACAGCAGCTCACGCCGCTTCAGTTGCTCCCTATCTTCTTGTTTGACTAATTTCTACAATAGTATATTATCACAACAGCACGTTTTTGCAACCAGTTTGTCTAAATGTCTTTTCGTCCTGGTAATTCTCTTTCATTGTTTCCTTTTTCTATTCAATTTCTGTAGGTGCAACTATTCCGATTCGTAGTCTCCTCACTCTAAATGGTGAGTCTATTCCGTCACAAGGAATCGGTTGCTCACAGTTGACGGCGTCTAAGTGGGTTTTCAGTAGGAAATTAACGATACGTCGGTCAATCTTCTGTAACTGATGTAAGCTATAAGCAGGACATCGACAAGTCAGGGATTCAGTTGTGCAGATGGAGAAGTGTTGCGGCAACGTAGTGACCAGCTATCGGAATGCTGTGAGTTTTTGTTCAACTACTCCAAATGATTTATTTTTCAAAATGAAGCGGCCAAATCTAGAAGAACCACGAATAAAACAACATATAGCAAAGAACAAAAGCATCTTTCCATTGAGTTAAGGTGATATCAGACTCGATATCTAGTTTAACTTTAATTCACTGTCTATTCTTTTTTCATGGCAGGATACGATGTGAAGTAAAACCACAACGATTATGAGATATGAGCAAAACTCGAGACCTCATTTGTGCTTCGAACCGGCGATGACCCCTAATTGTCGCGCACTTGCTGTCCACCCCATAAGTTGATTCGAAGTCCTGCTGAGATTCCAAGTTTTGCTCATATTTCAGGTTCCTTGTGGTTGTATTTCAATAGCCATTGTTCGTTTGTTAGTATCCTTTTTTATTTTAAAGTAGTTACTTTTTTTTTAAGAGACTTTCTTCAACTAAAATTTAGGGTTATTCTTCTCAGACAGCCTCTTTAAAGCATACGATGCGACGTGCAGTCATTTTTCAGTGCCTTGTTCACCTGGCTCTGTGAACGTGAACAACACTTGCGTTCAGTGTCCACTGGGTTCATATCAGGATGAGCGCGGACAGGTAGCGTGCAAAGCATGCCCTGAAGGAACGTTTACTCTGTATGAAGGAGCACACTCTGAAAAAAGTTGTCTAGGTGAGATATCTGCGGGTACTGCCTGTTTTAGTGATGTTGTTTTCTTTCTAAATTCGTTAACGTTTGGCTCAAATCCTTATTGAGTTCCTCATTTTTAAAGCCAGTTTTGTAGACAACAATGTTAACCTTTTACCTACTGCCTGTTGTATAATAATTTTTCTCAGCAGTTTAATATAAGAAGTGCAGCCACAATGATGGTGAGGCATTCGCAAAACTTAAAACCCAGTGCAGATCGAACCACGATTACTCCTCCCAGGGGATCGCGCGTAACACCCCGGAAGTGGTAATCATGGTTCCATTTGGCCTGGGATCAAAGTTTTACGAATATTTCACCATAATTGTGGTTAAATTTGTAAACTAATTTTTCACTAGAAATGAATTTAATTCCTCGATTCACTTGTGAAGCTCGTTCCAGCCATGTGCGCTAATGGCATGTATAGTCAAACTGGATTGGTTCCGTGTCAGTTGTGTCCACGTCATACGTTCTCTGGGACACCTATTGCTGGTTAGTTCATACCATTCGGTTGCCATACAGCACTTGAGCTTGCGTTTTCCATATTTATATTTGTTGCCAGTATCATTAGGCTTGCACTTAAATTAAAAGATCACAAAAAAGTTTTAGGTGGTTTTAAGAAATGCACACCGTGTTCCTCTGGAACTTACACTGCGCGACTTGGTTCTAGTGGTCCATCGCATTGCAAAAAACCATGCCAACCAGGGACGTTTAGTCTGTCGGGTCTCGATCCTTGTTCTCCATGTCCGCTTCATCATTACCAACCGGCTCTAGGACAACAGCGGTGAGTTTGATTTCTACGTCAAATCGGTCGAATTTTTGCGTGTTATGAAAATCTCTATCAACATTGGGTTTTTTCCATCGTCAACATCAGTATCCAATAGTTAATAGTGAAGGTTATCATCTGGGAACACTAGCGATCGATTTTTTCTCTTAATTATGAATAGTAATGAATTATAACCTAAACATCCTTCTTCTCACTTAATGCTAGAGATTTTTATATGCGATTTTAAATGAGGAATGTGTGTCCTAAACAAATTGAGACACCAGGAAAATCGCTCTGTAATATTTTTTACGACTCTGATTTTTATTTTATTCCGACCCCGATTACATTTTTATAGTTTTTGCTTTTCTTACGATTTTTTTCTTGCGCTCCGTAATAATTTCATAGTGAAAAGAGCACTTCGGTAAACTCAACGAGTTGGTGTTTGATGCAGCGCTAGGGTTTTGCCTGCACTTTACACTTTAAACTTTCCAGTGGCGCTGATTACTGCAATTGAAAAAGAGTGCTTGCAAAAAACAAAGTAAATATGAAACTTCGGAGCTTATTCACGCTTACTTTTGGCGGAAGCAGGGGACCTGCAAAACTGTTTCTTATGCACTTGAAAGCAACATCGTGGACGCGATAAACATGTGGAAGGACTGAAGAAGTTCCGTTGATAAATAAGGAAGACGGACAAGAAGGGTTAACAGAATGGACTAGACAAGGATGCACTTTGGGCCCAGACATGGTGCCTAATGACAACCAGTTCTTTCTATTGTAGAGTGAACTGTTTGTTTTTTGACGATGGATCTATAATTTCCAAAACGCTGTTGTTCATTGATGTGATTCAAACTAAAACTTAATAGCGCTAAAACTTAATAGTGGGAAAGGAGCACCAAGAACAATTTTACTTTCCGAAATTCTTCATCTGTTTGTAACTATTCGGAATTATTGTACAAACAGTCGATATTGGTAGCAAATGTGACTAGTTTCATTAACACTCACACAGGTGTCTGCAATGCTCAAACCAGACGGCGACGACAAGCGGCGGTCAGGACGCTGAATCCGCTTGTGAAGCAGTCGACTGTGCTGCGAAACAGTGCGTGAATAAGGTAAGAAGCTCGATAGAAGAGCTCCATTTGAAAACATGAAGGTCCGGAAAGAATTTTGAACGTGAATGGTCATACCCAGGCAGAATGTGTGGTCCGAAATCATCGGGCGGTTTGTGAGTGTCGTCCGGGCTTCGTCGGTGAGCGATGTGAGCTAATAGAGCCCGTCTGTGCATCAGCTCCTTGCTACAACGGCGGCTCATGCGAAGCTATTGCCGGTTCATTCAGATGCATATGTCCACAGAGTCAGTAACACATTTTCACTTTATTTATTTTCCTTCTATGTAGCTTGTGCTTTTCCCATGTTCATAAATACCTATTATTGATTGAGAAATTATAACACACATATACCGGTAAATCTGAAGCGCTACATTTTTGTTAACCAGAATAAAAACCATCATTGAACTATGTATATTTTTTGTCTTCCTCTTTGCCTTTCCTCTTTTTTCTTTTCCTCTGACAGCACAGCCTTTTGTCTGGAGCCTTTATTCTCTTTGGCAACACAAAATCCTGAAGTTGTAGGAATCCTAAATGTATTTTCGAAACAGAAATCTTAAAGGCATCTTTCGATGGGTATTCTGCTTTAGGAAGACTTAAGACGATTCATCCCATTGAGTTAGATGTCACTGATTGCAGTGTAATCTCTGTTCATCTTCCAATTCGTGTGGTACCCACTTTTCCATGCCCTTAGCCTTTCCATTTCCGTTTCACTCTCAGCCGATTCTTGAATAGTTACCGTTGAGTGCATCAGCTCCAAGTAGATTAAGCGACACAAAAGACACAGCATGACTAATTATGGCGTGGAGATGGTCGTTGTTAAAAGTTGATCGGTGCTCTAAAATACACCTGTTTTCAGACCTAACTTTTTGATGTCTAGCCTACTTTTAGCATCACACTCTACCTTCGTGTCAAAACATTAAACACCAAGCGACTTGTTTTTGCCTCCATCGCAACTCCCTTAACAGTCTCGTAAGCTCTCGAGTTTGTGCCCTTTCTCCTCTTACGTCTTAGAGCTATGTCACCTGCTTCGCCAACTCCCCACATAAGTGGTGTACTGGTGAATTAGGCTGCAGAAACAATGTTTTCTTAGAGTTCAACCGAATACCGATTTTCCCACACGTATCTTTGTAGTTGTAGTAGTATATGTAGTATACGTTAGACGTTGTATAGGTTTTTCTATAGCATACGTTGATAATAATTTGTTTATCAACAGATGATTCACCCTGCTGCACCCGGTATTATTAGCTAGCACAATTCTGTTGGCGAAATTATTCTTTACTATATGATCTGAGGAAGTTCTCTGTATCACAAGCGGCGTTTGATGACGGTGTATTCGAATCTCAGTCAGTCATCAGGTCCTCACCTAATGCTTTAGTATCAGAGGCTGTTATGGGTGCTAAAATATCCGTGTACAGGTCGTCAGAATCTGCAGCCCTCTAACTGATGTATTGGGTAGTTAGCACATATGTGAACGTAGGAATAAGACGTATATGTCACTTCGGCAATGCGAAGGCAACAAGGCATCACGAGACTGTATCTGTGATTCACCGTCAATAAAAGTGCTACGTAATCTGTTGTCTAACATGCTGAGGAATCCTCGTTGAGGAGAAACCGTGGGCTCATGTATTCATACTCACTCATTGTGTTCTTGTTGGGTTACTTCGTCAACATTCTCCGCACTGCTCCAGAATGTGAAGCGTTGCTGTTTTGTTCTGCATTGAATCACTCAATTCCTTTATCCATTGTGATATTAGTTGATATTAAAAGATTATTCAATTAACTACATAAAAATCTACATAAAAATTCATGTAATATTTTTAAAATCCATGTGACATACTGCATTTCAGATTTCACCGGTGCTCGTTGCCAATTCGGAATAAATGAATGTGTCGGTGTATCATGTCCGAACGGTGGTGTTTGTCATGACTTACCTGGTTTTGGTACTACAAAATGCCTCTGCAGGTGCTTCATTTGGAAAAGAATAGAAATTATGCGGGTGTAATGGCCGTACCTCTACCATAGATGTAGGAGAGATATGTTGAAATAAGTATCGTGGCTTTCTTAGCCGATCACTACATTTTTGCTGTTGGGTTAAATTAATAAGAATCTGGTTATTGTAGTATGAAAAGTGTCGTTATACTTCTATGCACATGTAGCGATCCCTATCAAACAGCTTGTCAATCATTAAGATTATGCGTGCCAACATGATCATTAACAGCTTTTGCATGTTTCCTGTTTCAGTGGTGAAACAATTATTAAGAGTACGACTCTGATTTCTCATTTAAAACAAGTACTTTAGTCCAATAAGGCTTCTAGCTGTTTATTTTCTCAATAATGCAATACCAGGTTGCAGGACCGGCTTTGCTGGCCCGGAATGCGCGGAAATTGAGGATATCTGTTCGTCTGCAAATCCATGCCATAACGGTGCCGACTGTATTCCGCTACAATTGGGACGATTCAAATGCAAGTGTTTACCCGGATGGGAAGGGCCCACATGTGACATCAATATCGGTCAGTTTGTTTCATAGCTATCTAAAAAGCTTGCTCTCAAGAAGCAATCTACTGCGATTCGAAGTAGCAGACAAAGTCACTTCATTATTCTTTCTTCACCTTCATATCGTTCTTTCCTCTTTCATTTTTTTGTTCCATTCAAAAACGAGAATACCAGTTGTCATGCTTTGTTTTTCATTTTCCGAGAGATTTAATTAACCTGTCGGAACCCTAGTATGAAGTATATCTTCCACCACTTTCAATCTCTCCTGTCCTTCCAGTAGTGCCACAAAAAAAGACGGTAGAAATTCATGTAGTTGGCTATCATAGTAGACACTTATAACCTTTTGTGATTTGTTCTACTATTCTTGTCGTAAGCTCTTCTCATTTCATGACTCTATTTCAAAGCAAACACCGCTTGTCTTGTAGCTAGAACAAGTTTCAGTTCTCTCTTCTTAAGCAACGACTTGGTGATGGGCTTTATACGACTCCAGCCTCCTGTTTTAAAAAACTGGAGCCACTTCTGCTTAGCTTTAAATTCTTCGAGTTCGCTCAGGTCTTCCTTGAACTTCCATTCATGTAATGAAAGGTTTCCACGCCTAGAATGTGCTCGACAACTTGTCTTTTTATCGTTCGTCTGCAATAGTTCGTTTCCAACTTATGGCCGGACTGGATCTTCGCATCGAAGACGACAACTAAATGCTTTCTTCTCTTTGCGAGCATTTGATCGATCTCGTCATCATTTATGCCATTAGACGACCCCATATCCAGCAATGATTTCCCCTCTTTCCATAACATCAATTTCTGTCGATCTGGCGCTCTGCGGCGACATGTCCACAATCACTAGTGCCTTTTTATTTTCGGAGATTTGTTGAAAACCTCCTATTATGTAACTGATCTTTCTCTCCGGAGCGTAAGATAATGAAGACGAAGTGATAATTTTCGCTGTGGGTCAATTTCCACAAATGTTCGTAGAATGCACCTAACTCATTTCTCCATAATTACTCCATAATAAACAGTAATGGACATCGATCTTTATATAGAGCTCTCTTGCACCGATACTACTTCTGAAGTTATGAAGATACACTTCTCTTTATTGAAGATGCATTAACAGTCATCCAGCTAATTTTTCATTGAGTACAAAAACAGACTTTAGATTGCAACAGTAAACGAACTGTAAACAAAAAAGATTTCTATTGTTAGTTGTCGAGGCATCATGATTGCTTGCTTTCTTTCTTCACACTTAAAGATTGCCCATAGGTAGCCACAGAGGTTTCCATCCAGAAACCGCAGACTAGATTTGGAAATTACAGCAAGGAGCTGGGATTTAACAGAACTCCCGCTCTAGGGAATATAGATATTTTTCAAAGGACAGCACGTAAAAATATAAAGAACCTGGAAGAATGACCGGTTAGGAAAGAAGAATACGCGAGATCATTAGCTGCTTAACCGACAGCACCATGAAACGAAAATGTGGTTTAGATCACTTGAGGAAACACAAGTACATAAATAGATAAAGCTATTTTGTTAAAACGAATATAGCTGCTTCGGAAAAATATTTTGCCCTCAGGCAACTAACGTTAATGGGCCGCCTATAACTGCATTTAGGTTGCGAAGAGCTAGAACATCCACATAAAGTGGAATAAACACACCAAATATGAATAAAGATTTCAGGTGTTTGGAATTAGACACTGACACTTAGAAATATGAAATCTGAAGAACATTCTTGTAAATTCACTTTGCTATATATGGACAAAGTGCTCAGTATTATCTAAAGTATCAAGATGCTCTTCAAAAGTTAGTTACAGAAAGTTCGGATACACTTTTCCTGGTGTTTGCATATAGTCAGGATTGTAAGCCGGTTGTGGTGCACTGGGATCGCCCTGAGGAACGGGTGCAAAGCCTTTCAGTGATTTGTAGAATTTCCGAGTTAGTAGGAGTTCAAAGATGCTGAAAACAGGGTTCAGTAGTGATTGAGATCTAAAAATTAAAGCATTTAGCAATTCAATCATAGTCGAGAATATAGCAGAACAATGTAAAAGACAGATTCTAGTGTACGAGTCCAAAGAATGGGTGCTGAAAATGACCGTAATAGTTTTAAATAACACTTTTGTCATTTTTAAATGATCTGTATTTCGTTTTACCTTCTCCGATTTGATCGTGCCACCATGTTCGCCTTTCCAAGTCCTTTCTAGGATGCACTTTAAAGTTTCGCTTTAGCAAACAAACCATGAGCCATTAATCTCGTTAAAAGACGAAGGATAAAGCTCTCGGCGTTGATCAATCCCTGAGGGATGCGCCATGCATTCATTAAGTATCGTTGGAGGCGACTGAATGCATATCTGGCCTTTACAATGACTCGCGGTGACCTACCGATGTATCAAACCAGTGTTGCTACCCTCCCAAACAAGTCTGGTACCAATTTACCATGTAAAAACGTAGGCTACATCAACCTTTTAAAATTACTTGTGCAGCACTCATAAATTAAGAAAACATATTCGTTAAAAGCGCTTAAAACCTTCTTACGCAGAGTTATAATACAGTGGAGCTTTACTTTAACACCTTTCCATAAGAGCTACGTTACCCTGATTGTGGAGATTTGTGTAATTCTTCAGATCTGCCTCTGTAGTTTTCGAAATGAACAGAACTCCGTAATTCACAATTTCGTAAGTTATAATCTTTAGGGTGCGGCCTTGTCTGCAGAAATTGAAAAATCTCATCATGTCGGCAAAATATATAGGTTTAAATGAGAAGTGTATCTAAGCGCATTTAAGAAGCTACGAAAACTGTTTTGTTCCAGTCTCAAGGATGTCGATTTGAGGTAGTTAGATTGAATACAATTTTGCGGCAGTCCTTTTTCGATTCTATCTAAAACAAATCAAAAAGAAAACCAGAGTATCACCTGTATGTGCAAAATGTCATCCCAAGTGCGAGAAACGCACCAGCATAGAGCTTTAGTTCCGATTTGAGCTCAGCTTTTTCTTGATCGTCAATTCTTTCAAAGAAGTACTGAAAACACCAGTGGCTGAGCAAATCATTTATCATTCGTAGAGAAATATGGGATATTATTTGCGCTCTTTTCAATTTTCATAAATCACTCCAGTCTATTCTTGACGTTTAAAATTTTTGACGTGCCATTTTTTTTAGCACTTGACTAGACTTGCCTCTTTTCCATCCGAGTTTTTATTCGGAAGTCCAGCTAAAAGTAAACCAATACTAGGAATCACCACCGTCCTTGTATCAAACTAATCGCACGGTGGCAAATCTCGTTCTGATCCACAAGGGCGGTAACCGCCTAGACTGATGACCTGAGAAAGGCTTCGCCTATCTGACCTCAGGACTCCAGAAAACCACAGTGGCTAAACCAGTAAATATAAATTGTGCTAGGGCCTGCACAATCAGTGAAGACAAGCAGTCCAAGTACGTAAGTTTTATCCTCAAAGGTTATGAAAGCACGTCATGATCACCAAGCTATTGCGCATCGTGTGGAATATGGAGGACCTTCTGTAGCAACTTCAACAAAGCATAAAACTCCATTGGTTATTGTGCAGAAGACTATTTCAAGAGGACCGCAAAGTTATGGAAATACGAATGAAATGTTAATATGAAGCGGAAATCAGGTCGTTCTCGAACCCTAAGGACGAGATAGATCCATAGAATTAGAAAGAATAGAACTTATCGAAATGACATTGTCAGCCCTAAGATTTTATGGAGCAACTAAGAGCATTGAAATACAACCACAATGATGCTGAGATATGAGTAAAATTCATAACCACAGGTTCGATTTCAACTCATGACTGCCCTTACCGGGGGCCCATGTATTATCGACCATGCCAACTGAGGCCATTTGCTTTGCCTTGCTTTCAGCCAGTTTTTACCTTCACGGTGCTATCATCAAACACCCTTCAGTGGGATTGACCTGAGGAGCACATATCTGCATTGATCGCAGTTAAGCTGAAGCCGAAGTCGAAATCAAAATGGCTTAACTTTTTCATTTACTGTCTATTTATTATTTCTTTTTCCACGATAGGGTATTATGCGAAATACAACCATAATGAAGCTGAGTAGCACCATCACGGTAAAAAAACTGACTGAGATAAAGGGAAAACAACGGCCTCGGTGATGCAGTGGATAGCACGTGATTCTTCGGAGAAGGTAAACGCGAGTTTGAATCACAACTGAGGTTCCTAGTCTAGCTCATTACTCAGCATCTTGTCTTTGTACTTCACGACATGACATCCCATTTTAAAAAATAGTAGGCAGTAATTTTAACTTATTATTTACTGCCTATTCTTTTCAATGGCAGGGTATGTTGCGAAATACAACCTCAATGATGCTGAGATATTTGCAAAATTCCAGATCGCAGGTATCTGCGGTAGGGAACGAACGCGCTATTGTCCTTTCCGGGGAGTAACGCGTTCACCACCACACCGTGCGGGTCCTTTGTTTCGCCTGTCCTTTGACTTTAGTCCTGTCAGTATAATAAAAAGTCAAATATTAAATATTGGAATTGTTTACTCATCTCTGCAGACGAATGTCATAAAGAGCTGAACTAACTGACGAACTGAACGGGATCATTGAAAATCTACGATATGCGCAGTATAAAGGTGTATCGTCGTCAGATGGGAAAATTCTTATAGTTAGATTTGCTGATGACTGTAGGAAGATCCGATGGTGAGACAAAACCGACGAAGGAAAATTGTAGCAAGCTCATATTACCTGAGAAGTGACGGTCTAAAGAGAACCACTACGAATGGCAAAATTCCAGACAGATGCCCAAATACCTCCGCGTCATCGAGATGATAGCCTCAAGAAAATAATCGTCTACTGGAAAATAGAGATTAGGTACACGATATTTCAATAAGGCTAGCTGCCTGTCTATGAAGGAAGGCAGCGGTTGCGCGTATGGAGGTGAATTTTTTGGAATAATTTCGGGAATACATTGCTCTTCTAACAGTGCAAAGCCAAAATCGCTTGACCTTCCCGCTTGGAACTTCTGAAGCAATAAAGGAACAAAGAAAATCACGGCTTCGGACTATCCGTTAGAAAGCTGATTCTGCGGCCTTTCTAATCGTCTCTTTGTATTTTGTCAAGATTTAATTTTTTTACAAATTTTGAGCTTTGCAATCTTTGATATCAAAAACCTATTTTTGTCAAATTCTCTTTTATGCATGCGTCGTTTTCTTGTTCAGCAATCTTTTGTAAGTGTTATTGAAGCGTTTGGCCTAGTAGAATGTATATCACTATACCCTTCCAGGCTCTGAAGAAGGCGGTACTGTAGAAACATCAGTTACTGTTGTATTGTACTGCGTTTTTCTATGGAACTATATGTTTGCTGTTTAACAACCTCGCGATTGCTGATCAAGAAAACGACGCATTCATATTCCAATGCCGAGGTTAATAGAAAGTCAATCCTGGGATCTCTTTTATGCCTTCAAACTCGGCCATAGTGCAGCAGAGACGGTTCGATACATTAGTGAAGTTTGGGGTCAAGGTAGTGTTGGTGAATTAACAGTGCGAACATGGTTCCAGAAGTTCGGGTCTGGTGATTTCGACCTCGAAGATAAGGAAGGCCGCGGATGTCCTAGTGAACTTGACGACGGCGAATTAAAGGCACTGGTGGAAGTCAACACTCGAACATCTGTTTAACAGCTTGAGGAACAGCATGACGCAAGCACAGGAACAATTTCCACTCACTCGAATCGCATAGGAGAGATAAAGAAAACTCGACAAATGGGTGCCGCACGAATTAAATGATAATCAAAAAATGACCGTTTTGAAGTGTCGTCTGCTCTTAATGTACGCAACAAAAACGACCCTTTTCTTGATCGAAATGTGACGTACGATGAGAAGTGGATTATGTAAGACAACCTGCGACGTTTATCTCAATGGATGGATTGCGATCAGGCTCCACAGCACTTCACAAAGCCGAAATTGCACCAAAAAGTGGTTATGGTGACTCTGTGGTGGTCTGCAGCCGTGTTGATTCACCGCATCTTTCTGCATCCGGGCGAAATGATTACGGAAGATATGTATTACCAACAAATCGACAAAATGTAGCGGAAACTCCAACAACTACCGGCACTAGTCAATAGAAAAGGACCAGTGCTTCTTCACGAGAACGTCCCCCTCGCCCCTCACTTTGTGGAACCAGCGCTGCAAAAGATGAACGGGTCGAGCTACGAAACTTTGCCTCATCCGCCATATTCATCAGACCTCTCGCCTACTGACTATCACTTCTTCAAGACCCTTGACAACTTCTTGCGCGAGAAATGCTTCAGCAACCACGATGACGCAAAAAAAGCCTTCAACGAATTCATCGCTTCCAGAACTCCAGAATTTCATGCAACTGGAATAAGCAAACTTGTTTCCCGTTGGCAAAAATGTGTAGATTCAAACAGTTTTTATTCTGATTAACAAAATCTTGTTTGAAGCAAGTTATGATATTTTAAACTATATATTTAAAAACGCCCATTTATTTCTGAACAACCTAGTATATCACTAAAAATATGATGAATAATGAAATAAAATATACCTCGTACATCCTAAATATAAATTTGTTCATAGCTGTTTGTGGACCACCAAAATAGAATATTGTAACAGTACATGCAATAGCAGAGCAAACAATAAGACCAATAATAAGGACAAGTCTGAAAATCTCTGATTGAACTTGCTTAAAATAGTTTCTATCCATAAAGTAGGAAAAATTGATTTTGGTTAGCATTTAGGCTCACCGTGGATAGCAGTAGTGTGCTAGGTTTCTTTTGTATGCTAGAATAATGAATGTAGTCGCCATAAGTTGGCAAACAAAGAAACATAGAAAAAGTAGAAACGAGACGATCGTAGTCCAGTGCCTGAATATCCCAAGAATCATAGATCTTGTATAAATGATGTACAATGTGGTAAAGTGGCTATAACGGATTCTACCTCAAGGAATTCTTCAAACATGCTTCTAGCACACTTTATGATCAAAAGAGCTCGGATTGAAATAAAGGAAAAGCATCATGATAAATAGATATTTGCCAACAAGACCAATGTTTTCTCTTTCAGTGAAGATAGAATTAAGAATTTTTAGACCTCACGATACGTACTTTTCCCTTATTTTTCGCTCCGACGAAGCTCGCATTTTGAAAATCTTTAGCAAATTAGATAATTAAAAGCAGCTAGACAATCCAAATGGGCGTGCGTAGCACAGTCGTCGGAGGTGCCCTGCAAGAAATACACACGTGGTCGTCGGTTCGATGCCCCGCAAGCTGTCCAAGCCCTCCATCTCTCCAGGGTCGGAAACTGGCACCAGACGTGTCTGGGAGAATAGCAGCACTGACTCGATACATCGGTAGGCCAGCGTGAGTGTAGGCCAGATGTGCACTCAGTCACTAACGATGCTTGATAACGTCGAATGCATGGCGTATCCCTCAAAGTATGATCAGGGCGGAAAGCGTACTCCTTTTTTCAACAAATGAAACTTCTTCCAGTACGATACAATGTGTCCCCAATGCATTCTTAACTTCTACGGTGGCCAGACTTTGGTCGAAAATTTTAAAAATTTCAATTTCTTTCCGATCTGGAAATTGAGTCTTAAGATTCAAAAATTTTCTCTAAGATAAATCTCCTCACCCCATTATTCTTAGATTTGAAAAAAATACAAATTTAGATAAGAACCATTTTGTTTAAATTATTTACACCAATAGGGCTATAGGACCAAGTTTCTTCAACAAATTTTTAGAGTTTTCATCAGCTCAAACGCTTTTGTTACCAAGAAACTAAAGTCCAGCAATACTACTTGCATTAAAGGCTTGTGTCCTACTTCTATTGCTTCGCGAAATTTTAGTGGATTGTATTTTGCGCAGTAGGTATGCATCCTGAAGGTCTAACACAATTTGTGTGCGCTTCTTTAGCTTTAACACCAACCACGTATGACAGCTGTAGGTGTCATGATGCTTTTGTTCGCGTGGCCGGTGAAACGCCTATAAGTGTGATTTTCTCTCCAGTTGTTTATTTTGGTGCACATGAGTTTTTTTTTCAAATTTCTTGTAAAGGAAGAGTGTTTTTCTCGAAATTTTTCATCAATTTCCCAGTTGCGACGGGAGACTATTACCGTTGAAGAGTGTGCTGCCTGCGTGACCAATGAAGAGATGCCTTGTGTGCCTCAGAAATGCCTCCACCTTGTAGAACTCGCGTCTCACGCGGTGTGCATAATGACTTCTGATAAACAATTCGTTGCTTTCTAATTTTCAATCGCTATGATGAAAAGACAGAGAAAAATCGATTTGTTTAACGGTAATTGCAACAAAAAGCGCGGATCTACTTAAAAACTGCTGGAGTGGCCGATATGGCGCACTTGTAGGTGTCACTGTGAGCACAGCGAAAAAATAGGTGTCGTCCGCTCCGCAAAACGCGAAACGAGATGTCGTCGCGAAAATGTTAACAAGAAGTATTTCCAATGTGTTCATGTTTTTTTCCCACGGAAACGATCGGTGAAAAACCGAGGCCGTCCTCAAGACTGATTATGTGGTGACCATAAATTCTGTTTTCCCTATCAGGCAAAAGATGCTTCGCTAAAATCCTAGAATATTTCAAAAGCCTTATTTTTTCTTTCTACTTCGCAGCCGAAACGTCGGCTTGTACCTAAATAAAGAAGTAAAATAACACCTCGTGTTTGCTGAACAGAAGTAGAAAGAATTATTCAATCAATGCACCGAGGTTAATAGAAAGTCAGACGTGGGAGTTCCTTATTTTTTTTATTAACAACGAAACAGCTATCTTCGTTAGATTTTATACCTTTAAAAAACACTGTCGTTGCTCTTCGTATTTTTGCTGAGCAAACGCGAGGTGTTATTGTTCTTTATTCACAAATAAGCTGACGTTTCGGCGGATTTCGCCCTCCTCAGAGCCTGGAAAGGTCAAGTTGACAGCAATCTACTCGGCCAGACGCCTCCATAACCAAACAAAGAAACTCTAAACCAAGATTTCAATCACGTTGAACACAGCTTTGCACACTCACCGCTTTCTATGAGGTTTCCACTAAGTATGTCACGTAGAGACCAACCGCACAGAAATCACATGGAAGTATAATGTGCCCCTCCTATCAGAATAGCAGTCTTATATACTGCCCTATATCACGCGTGATAATGAGGCATTCTTCCCTGCGGTTCATTTTCGGATTTCTGGAATTAATCCAGAGTGCCTCGAGAGTTTTTCGCGCCTGTGTTCTTGATTCGTGTGCGAGGATCGTGACACATACTTCAAAGCCGTCCCCGTTATGTCTCTGGGTCCTATGCGTGCCTAGCGGTGTATTTGGTCTATGTTTGCCGGCTAGGTGTTCTTTTATGCGGACACAGAGGGGTCTACCCGTTTCGCCAATGTATTCGTCACCGCACGTCTTACAGGAGATCAGATAAACTATACCCGAGCTCATGCAATCACCGTCTCTACCACTGGGGCAAATTATGCAACTTTGAGTTGCACATAGACGTAGACGGTCATATAGGCGGTTACGAACTAGCTGGCGCTTAAGATTACTCGGTGGTATTTCAACTACGCTTACCGAATTCTCTAAGCCCGCCCTTCTCAAGCAGCGTTTTATAGCTGTACTTATATCATTTGAGATGAAGGGTAGGATAAACGAGACCCTTCTATCGCTAGAGTAACCGTTTGGGGACTTGCGCTTTCCTCTACACCTGTNAGGATCGTGACACATACTTCAAAGCCGTCCCCGTTATGTCTCTGGGTCCTATGCGTGCCTAGCGGTGTATTTGGTCTATGTTTGCCGGCTAGGTGTTCTTTTATGCGGACACAGAGGGGTCTACCCGTTTCGCCAATGTATTCGTCACCGCACGTCTTACAGGAGATCAGATAAACTATACCCGAGCTCATGCAATCACCGTCTCTACCACTGGGGCAAATTATGCAACTTTGAGTTGCACATAGACGTAGACGGTCATATAGGCGGTTACGAACTAGCTGGCGCTTAAGATTACTCGGTGGTATTTCAACTACGCTTACCGAATTCTCTAAGCCCGCCCTTCTCAAGCAGCGTTTTATAGCTGTACTTATATCATTTGAGATGAAGGGTAGGATAAACGAGACCCTTCTATCGCTAGAGTAACCGTTTGGGGACTTGCGCTTTCCTCTACACCTGTCCCGAGCAGCTACAGTTTCGTAGCCGTAGGAAATGGCTATTTCCCGCGTCAGATTCCCGGATTCTTCCTTCTGCTCTCTTCCTGTACACACACTGGGTGGCTGTTCCAAACATGTTTCTTACAAGTGCCCTTTTCGTGTGAGTGAAAGGAGAGGTAATGAACCAAGATGTTTTTACTACTTGGCTTTCGGTACCACTTTGTAATGTAGCCATTTTCTGATAGGTGAATTTGTGCGTTCAAAAATGGAAGCCATTTTTCTTTCGGCTTTTCTCGGGTGAACTTGATATACTCTAACTGTGCGTTTAACAACTCGAAACATTCGTCCATTTCCTCTTGTGTTGAGCAAGGGACAGAACAGTCGTCTACATATCTACAGTAGAGTAGCGGCCCGAGATCAGTCACCGGTGCTCCACCTTAGACATAAATGCAATGGCAAGGCTTGAAGCCAGTCGTCGTCCCATTGCCAACCCTCTTATTTGAGCGTAGTACTTTCCGGACCACCTGAAGATTGAGCAACTCAGGCATTCTTTTAAGAGTGCCATCAGGTGCTCTATCTTGAAGCCATACATGTTTATTTCTCCTTCGTGTTGTGTAAGGAGTTCGAATATGGCTTGCATTGCGGAGTCATTCGACACGTTTGTATAAAGGGCGGTAACGTCGAAGGACTCCATCACGGACGCGCTGTTGGGCTGCGCAGTACGTAGACGATCCAGAAACATCTGGGTATTCGTAAGTGGTTAAATATCAGGGTTAAAAACCATGTTATCCTGCCCGTTGGCCCGTCTACGCAGCTAATGATAGGTCTAATCTTAAATAGTGATGGATCGGTAGACGCAAGATCATCGCTGGATACTAACTTATGAGTTTTTATAAGTAAGTACAAGACGGGGCATGTCGGAAAGTTTGATTTCGATGTACTCTTTTCGGTCGTGGGAGTTATTGTCGTTGCGTCGCAAATCATCAGAAGCCGGGTATTTGCAAGTTCTCATTGAGATTGGGCTCCACTGTCTCCACGATTAAAACGAAAGGAAGCAAAAGACTAATAGTTCCAGCCCTCCTCTACATTTTCTTGATTTTTTCAAAGAGAACTCCAAACACTGTTTACTAGTCTTTCCAATAGTCATATTTGGTTAGAATAAAGCGTTTTGCAGGTAATGCGACGAGTTATAATGGAGCAGAACATTTTTACGTGGTAAGGGCCGCTTAGAGAATTAGAAGTATTTTGTAAATGTCTGTCCATACCAAGTAAAGCTGAAGCTCACAACTACCTAGACCCAAGAAGCACTGAAATAACGTCTGGGTTTTGCCGAAATGGAAAAGATTAGAGGCAACGTTCGCTTCGCCATTTAATACCCAAGGAAAAAACAAAACTATTGGTGACTGAGATCTCCTGCTTCACTTTGTTCAAACCGAATTTTTCCCTAGTAGAATGATCTTCCCAAAATTTTGAAAGAGTGGTTCAAGTTCGTTGAATCACTATTTGGATCAATTGCCATCCATGATAAAATTCAAAACACCAAAAATGGTATAATGTAAATAAATGGCTAGAAATAATGGAACAAAATGTGAGGAGCAAGGACATTCAAGCACGGTATTCTCCAAATGCTTCGCAAAAAATTGATGAGGCTTGAATTTCATAAAATCCCTTTACTCCTGATCATTTTTATCATTTGACATTGACAAACCTATTTGATACTATTTGATAAAAACTGTACTGGATAGAATACTTATCATCTGATGGTTATTTATTAGAAGGGCACCTACTAGAATAGAACTGAAGAAAAGACGCCCTTATCAGTACGGCGCTGAGAGACCATCACATTGATCTTTTGATCAGTTGACCGGGTGTCGGAAAGTTTGATTTCGATGTACTGGTAATTTCGAGTTCTTAGTGTCTCCATAAATGTTCTACCACCCTTAAAGAGTAAGACAGTGACTTAAAAAGCATTGTTGGTAAACCCACGGTTCATATATGGTATTTTCGAGCACAATAAGCGACTTATAGGCAAAAACGGCGACAATAAGAGTATCGAAGCAGGAGAGCACCTAAATCGAAAACATCCTGGTGGACAGTGACTGCATACCTATAATAACTTACCGTGACACATTTGTGGACTGGCCAGCAGCAACACAACAGCATTTCCCGCAGTGTGTGCCAGATCGATATCGCCCGCGCCCTCTCTGGGCGCTCCTCCCGCATCCTGGCGACCGCCGTACTCCCTAGGGTGCTTTGACAGTCGTTTCCCACGGGACCCACAAAGTGTCACAACATGAGTCATAACGAGACAGTGAAGAGAAATGTGAATGTATGGGGATTCTACTGAGAGTGCTCCACGTGAGAGACCATTATTTCATGGCTTTTGGGTTTCTGGTTCATTCGCTATCAAAGGGCAACGAAGAGAACCTAAATTTTTATCTGCTGATATCGGATATAAATTTTTATATGAGCGGTCGCACTTCGTCCTTCGTTTTCTCCCATCCATCATAGACGAAAGTTCTCGGATTTGCGCATAGTTTCGATTGCTGCTTGAATATTTGTTCCTGTTCGTGAATACGCAGAATGCTGGTGGAGTAGATTCTGCATAGAATTGGGTAATAGCGCTGCTACGGCGTTCCCAGGTCTTCACCGCAGGCATTCGGCAGCGTTTGTGAATCGCAAAGAGGTCTTTTCCAGGCAGGCAAGTCTGGAAACGAATTTTCAACACCGAAAAGATGGTAGACTTGTTTAGTGCTGGTCAGTTTATTGTGTGAAACAGTAGAACACAATAAGCTCGTTGGAAAAAGTATGGTCCACTTTGCGTCTCTTGAGCAATCGCAACGTATTGTACACCCTTGGTGCACGGCAGAGACCGAAACAAATTTTGTTACAGTTCGAACAACTCGAGAATTAACGAGATTACAAATGATGCTAGTGGTACTATATAACATTTTCTTTCACTTGAGACATTTGCAGAAGTGTACATTGATTTCATTGCATTTATTTCCATAATAATTTTGCATATCAGTCGCAGCTCATGGGCTCAAGTAACGTAGTGGAAGTGATGCCGTTTGATACACACGAGGCCATAGTTCGATTCCACGCCGAACCAACGAAATGTTCCATCCCTTCGGAGTCGACAAATTTGTAGCACACTTTCCGAGGGGTAAATGGCCGTCTTCAATCCCCAAAGGCAGGCGGCTACCTGTGGTAAAGATTTGGGAACACTCTAGAATGGCTATTCCAGCATTCGAGGTCGAATCGACTTAATCAACATTCGACAGGTTTCAATGAGGCGGCTAAATTGCTCAAGCAGCAGCCTATCCCAGGTGCAAATTCCGAAGACCTTCGAGGCTAGAAATTGCTAAGAAACGAATCGAATGCAAGTGCTAGCATCCGCAGAGTGGGTGATATCAAACGGTGGAAAATACAATTTTTAAGAATTCGAAACATCGCACCAGGTTGATCAATTGGCTTAAAAGCCGTTAGAATATCCGCCTGATTTTCAGTTTTTTTCCCGTCGAGGTTTTTACAGCATCTTAAACAACGAAGCGATTTTGTCTAGCAAAACACAATGGTGTCACCTCATGTACTACAGGTGTGCGTGGCTGCCATGTTTGCGTCAATAAATTTGAAAGCTTGGACTGTTTCTACTTTTTGAGAATTACAGTGTTAAACGAATTTGTGATTGAGATAATCGTTTTAACGAACAAATACAAATAAGCCATTGGAGCAATTGGAAGAAAATCGTCCATAACGTTGCCAAGTTTTCAGGTCCGTAACTACTGTATTTTTCAAACCGAAAGTCATTGAACCTCGGCATTAATAATCAGTGCCTTATTTCACTGACAAGTTAACACGAGTTCGTCACCAAATATTTATTCTGCTACCTTTTCGACGTCTTCGTCTTTCGCAGAGCCAATGATCCGAGTCAGTAGTCCACAGTTGTTCGTCTACTCGAAATGCTAACCTTATCGTCGTATCGAGTGAAATCTTCTTCAATGCAGCACCGCTTGAATGAGGCAACCTCACCTGGCTCTTTTATGTAGGGTGATTGTTGTTGATAGCGATTGCTCGCTGACAGCAATTTGTTTTTCAACGGACAATCCATTCTGTAGAAGTCGGTACTATGCTAGGTAGCACGTAGCGAATAGCAAGTTAATATTCGACGATATTTTATTATTAGCTTGGTAATCCAAAAAAAATAAAAGGATAAAGGATAAAGCTCTCGGCGTTGATCAATTCCTGAGGGAAGCGCATGCATTCGGCTTCACTAAGCATCGTTGGACATGGTTGAATGCATATCTGGCCTTTACAATGACTCGCGGTGGCCTACCGTTGTATCGAGCCAGTGCTGCTATCCTCCCAGACAAATCTGGTACCAATTTACCGACCCCGAAGGGATGGCAGACTTGGTGGGCCATGGGCGCAGGGATCGATTCCACGTGCGTGTTGCAGGACGCCTCCGACCACTGCGCCACACGCGCCCTTATCCGAGAAGGTTTATATTGATTGTTTATGCCGAAGTCAATTGACGGTCGCTTTGAAATATCTTGACTAGCTATTCGCCATGTGCTAGCCAATGTGCTACTATGGGCTAATATAATACCGATTGCTGAAGGATGGATTATCCGTTGAAAAATGCATTATTATAAACGGATAGTCGTTATCAACAACAAGCGTCTTGTATAAAGAGCACTTCCGGGTGAAGTTGCCTCATTCGAGCGGTACTTGAAGAAGATTCTACTCGGTACGACGATGAAGACAACACATCGAGAAGACGAATGAGTGCAAACCATCGACTCGGACTATCGCCTCTTATGGAGACAAAGACGTTGAAATGGTGGTGGAGTAAGCCTCTTTATCAACCTCGGGTTAGCTCAACAAGACGAGAGTGTGTTAACTACTCTAACTGCTGAGAATTTTTCTATAGTTATCGAGATTCTAGCATAGTCGCGAATGCGTTGATTCTAACTTGTCTTTACTACTCGTATTAAAACACTAAGCAAATTTTGGTCCCTCAGCACCGGTGATCTCACCGGTGTGCAAAATATGCTCACCTTGGCCGGGTTTTTTAGGATAGTTTAGGCTCATTTTTTCTACACAGGCGTTGATGCTGATCTACATCGTTATTCCCTTTACCTTCCAGTCACTTCACGTTTTGAATTACAATCCATGTTTTGCATTTGACTGATTTCATTTGTATCAACATCGAAGAGGACATAATATAAGTAGCAGAACTTATGGCATACTTTTTCCTTCGAACGTGAATGCTTTAATCTCTTCTTCAGCGCCGGTACCTTTCTTATTCGTAATTAAGAGCAAATGACCTAATTAAAATGCTAAACTGGAAAATTGGACTGTGGTTCAATTTCCTCTCTAATTTCCTCCTTTCCATAGCAACAAATTGCAGTCTACTCTCTTGGCGATTTAACTCGGAGCACGACACATAGATCCATCGTTCACATTGAATCCCTTAGAATTTTCTGTCACAAATAAGATTTCATCCATCAATTCCTATATACAACATTCATTAAAACATTCACGGCTTTTCTGGTTTTTAAAAAAATTCCCTCCATTTCCTCGAGAGCTTGAGTGCTTCAAAAGTTGGAGGCCCGTACACCTGAGGAAGAAACGTTATCCCATCGCTTACACATACTTTTCTGAAATACTGTGTTCAATATAAGTTTTCTTGTACTTCAATTCATCAGGTCAAAAAATTCTGGCTTTTTAAGTTTTTAACGCAAGCCCGACACCTATAAATGTCACTCATGTATTTGGTTACACTACAGCATCCAGGTGAACGAGATCTCGTTTGTTCGATAGGTTTGTTCTTCAAAGCATGCGCCTTGACGGAAGAAAACAACTTTAGGTTGCGAAATATAACTTCATTAATGCTGAGATAACCACATCGATGCTGATATATTTGGAAAACTTCGGACCGCATGCGTCCGCGGTGGGGAGCGAACGCGCTGTTAGCTTTTCCGGGGGTCATTGAAGTTATAATTCGCAACAAACGCTGCCATTGAAAAGAGTAGGCAGTAAATAATAAGTTAAAACAGTATCTAGGCTCCAGAATACCGTAGCTTCATTGTGCTAAAATAGAGAATCATGGGTCCTGTTTGCAAAAATCTTGATATTCTAATGGATTTTATTTCAACCACAATGATGTTGAGATGTTAACAAAACTCCACACCCAAACAAGCTTCGAACCTGTGATCACCCTTCACGGAGTCTCACGTGCACCACTGAGGCTCTTGCTTACCCTTTGTCTCAGTCAATAACTAGCTATTATCCTGTCACGAAAAAGAAATATTTACTAGCGAATAAAAATGGTTTTGAAAATTGTTTTATGAAAGCTTTTTCGATTAATGAAGTTTACTACGAAGTGAAAATTGTTTATCTAACAACTGCCCGACTGCATCTTCTATCAGACACGCAGGATGATGCCTAATCTTTTGCTGCCTCGCGAATTATGTGAGTTGGAGTCAATTCATACCGGTTGCCCTGTCATCTTTATGTCCCCCCCCCCCCCCCCCCCCCCCCGCAAAAAAAAGAGAAAAAACGAAGGAATAAGCAAAAACAGAGGAAAAACTTTTCTGTACTTTCTACTATAGAATTATGTCTTTCTATGGATAATTTCTTCCCTCTTCTCTCCTTCTGTATCTTTTTTTGGAATAGCTCCACAAAAGAAAACTCGTCCACCATTTAACTTCAGTGCCGACGGCCACGGCCCATAACATGTATCACACTTGTTAAAGCATTTGTTTAATATATATGTATAAATATGTATACATATATATATACAAATATATGTTCACATATATAAATATATATGTTATATACATTTGGAAAAAATATACATTGGAAAAAACCAGCAATTGATATCAAGTTTTATTCACTTGGACCACCCCGCCAGAAAACATATTCGAGAGAGTGAAGCTGAAGATTCTGAGGACAAGGAGTATGTTATCTTTTTCACCGAAGGGGCTGAAGAAGGTAAACTGGAGGATTAGGACGTAGGTTGAGGTCAGTTGTGGGTCCATATATAGAAGTATCTTGCTAAACTGGTACTTTCTATAACATTAAATACGGTATGAAATGCTGAGATATCTACAAAACTCCGGACCACAGGTGTATGCAGTAGGGAACGAACACGCGCTGTTGTCCTTACCGGGGAGAAGCGCACTTCACCACCACACCATCCGGGTCCCTCGCTTTGCATGTCTCTCAGTTAGTTCTATCGATCTTTTTGCCATCAGCAATCACCCGTCGACGGGATTGATCTGGGGAGCCCAAATCTCTGCCATTAAGAAGAAAAAGGCAGTAAATAAAAAGGGTTAAGATTGTGACTATAACTAAGCCTCAGCTTAACTGGGTTCAATGCCGATTTGGGATCCCCAGATCAATCCCGTTGACGGGTGATTGCTGATAACAAAAAAATCGATAGAACTAGCTGAGAGATGGGCAAGACGAAGGACTCGGATGGTGTGGTGGTGAAGTGCCCTGCTCCCCGGTAAGGACAACAGCGCGTGTTCGTTTCCCACTGCATACACCTGTGGTCCGGAGTTTTGCAAATATCTTAGCATTTCATACGAGTTATATTTCGCAACATACCCTGCCATTAAGAAGAAAAAGGCAGGAAATAAAAAGGGTTAAGATTAAATATGGTGTTGAGCGATTGCTTTCTCTTGGATGCAATATATCTCATAGATTATATGTAGCTGGTAATTGTATCTGCTTCTGAAAGAAACGGTTGGATATGGTCACAGAGTCTTGTAATGATCACAGTCACAAAGTTGAATTGAAGTCTTGTTATCGTTCGAAAGGAAGAAAACAAACCCCAGGTAAGGGGTGCATTGTCATCGACATTTTCCAATCGTGAATGGCTCAAGAGCGATGATGCATGTGAAGACAGCTAGGTGCTACTGGAAACTCTCCGAGCCTATGCCATGAAAGCTCCTCGTAATTCAAAGAAGGATCTAAATGTTTGTTAAAGAAGTCTAAAGAGCTTATAAAAAGAGAAGATGCATCGAAAAACTTTGCGTCTAATGTGTAGCGCACTCAGGTCGACCAATGTGTTCTGAAAATGAGCCGATGCATTAAACGCCCAATCGGTTTTGGTCTTCAAGAAATGTGCCGTCTTCGTGAACGAATAACATAATAAATATCAATACCCGGCTATACAATAATGAAGACAATAGTAAGCCAACGGTATTCACAACTGAAATCCACTACCAAATCCTCGAACCGCAGCCGAGACAGTAACGAAATTCACTACATTCATGGAAGACGGCGAAATGAATGGAAGAGGTGTTCAGCCCTGCGAGCCATGAATGAATCTGACGAATACATTTCCGTATCACTAGGTAGTGCATTTGACTTAGCTACTAGGGCGATTAGTCAAAAAACCAGGAAGCGGTTTCGATCCCCTTCTCTCTCAACAGGCAATGTTAATGTAGTTTATCAATTTTCAAAAAGTCGCTAGTATATGTCAGTAAGACACAATCTTTGTATTCTATTACAATAAGGTTCTGATTTTTTTTGATCCAACGAATCTTCTCGGTTTTCATTGAGACTCATAACTTGCAATGCCAAGCGACTAAGCAGGCGGAGCGTGATGCGATCGCATCCCTCAACGCATTTTTGTTTTCAGTCTTTGCAAGAAAAAAGATCTTGAAAAACTCTTACACTTTCACTTTCTATTTCTTGCAAGTTTTAATCTTATACAAGTTTGAAACATAAATGAGATTTTGGGAAAGTTTTTTTTTATAACAAATGAAAATAAAGCGATAGAGCGAGCTCCTCTACACGCTAAACAAATCCTCAAGCTCTCAATGACGTAAGTTATGGAAAGATTATCAGCACCTATCGAAAAGCCATAGCGAATTTGATAAGTTCATCCTATAAGCGATTATACAATATGGTCCTTTCGCGAACGTATGTACTGCAATTAAGACATGCGATGGGCATATTGAATGGGCGTGACGCATCGACCTCAATGCATTTTCGTTTCGACCGTTTTTTCCTTGTACCTAGTTTTTTTGTAACATATTTCGCCTAATACATAGCGTGAGATTTCCCTGATTAATATACTGATTCAGCAAGAAGTGTGAAAAAAGTAAACTAAAGCTCTTTCCACATATGGTCATTTATAAAAGAAACTTTTTTGTAAGAGTTTATTCGTCCCTTGGTGAGTTCGTTTGTGGCGAAGACGGTACTAGATCTCTCCTGCCACAAAAACTATCACTTGTGTGTAAACTATGAAATATTTCTATGTAGGCATACAATGCGCTCTGGTTTGTGTGCTTCTGTACAATGTATCTTTGGAAAAATGGCAAGCTCTCAACATCGTCATTCTTACATTACTGTCGAAAATATGAAGTACGTAAACATCTCAAAGTATAGTGTAGAACCGACTGCCAAAGGCTGACGCTGTCATGACTAAATGGTAGGGGAGCCTTCCTTCATTATGAACAAGAGTTGGATATGTTATAAAACAAAGGTACATAGAACATGAAACGCTTTAAAAATAAACCACAAAAAATACATGGAAAGACTTAGTTGTAGAGCGAATATTAAAGAACGGGAGCATTTTGATGGCACAGGGGCCGTGAGTTCAATGACCAGTGTGGTTGGCGACGGATTGGGCTTGGTCCAACGAACTAACCGTCCAAAATTAGGGGTACTCGTGAAGAGGTCAGATCAGACGAGTTTATAGGAACATGATCCCGATGAACTACGATAAGTAATAATGCGCTGACTTTGTTATGAACTGAGAATAATTTGATTCTCGAACTGAAAGCCCTGCACTGAGGTTGGTCAGCACAGAGTTTAGACGTAACCGATCAATTAAGAAGCAAGATAATGGGTAAATAAGTAAATCAGTAAAATTATACAGTATGTATAGATATAGGACATGTTTAAACAACAATAGTGATAGTAGTCGGTCAATGAACGTGAAAGCTATTCATTGAAGCATCATGGTTTGCTCTCTAGCGAACTAGAGAAGGTGTTCCACAGAAGTGAGCAAAAGAATCTCGTACTCCGACCTATGCCGCTGATGTAAGATTAGAACGCTGCTGCATACGCCAAGATCTAGGAAATAAGGCCGGAGCAATGCATAGAGACAATCGCTGAATATGAATTCTTGGCAGCTGGGTTCCAAAAGTTGTCACATTCGCGGAATGAAGAACATCGGCGCGATAATGAGGTTTATTCATGAGAACCTTTAAGTAGAACAGCGATTTTCTTGATGTCTTTATTGCGATCAATAGGAACAGGGCAATTCTGGCACTAAGCAATAATGAATGAAAACATCATTGGTGCCTGTTGAATAAGTCGACGATCACGAGGAGGACAGGTGATGTAGGTGAATCATACGGGGCTTGAAAAAGCGTGTCGCGCTAGAAAGAACGACATTAGTGATTCTCTTATCTATCTCTACGATTTTGACAGACGAAAATACCAAGGGCATTCTGAGTTCGAAGGATCGGAGTTAGGTTTAGTGTAATTACGAGTTTACAATGAGCCAGATTGTAATCGATAATACTCCGTGGGTATTACTGCGGTCCCATAAGGATGCTGAAGTGGCCTATGTGGCTAACTTCAGTTTCTAATGTTTTCCAAAATATTACAGGCGTGGCTTGATGAATTCCACCGCTCCTTTCATTTCCGATGAACCTCAGCGAGTAAAATATTTTAGCAGAATGCGCGACATGGTGTAAGAGAAATACGGGACAGTGTAACACTAAAGCTGTTCATAAATGGACAAGAGCTAAAAACAGTTTCCTCCTTTTCTCCTAGCTCTTTTTCCGAATAGTTCTTTTGTTGTAGTTCATTACTTTCAGAGACTATTTGGACAAATTTGTTATACATAAGAATCTAACTTGTTTTAAATCATGTAGTCCGCTCCCTTCCATTTCTTGAAAGTCTATACCTTTCTTCGGTGTTTCCCTGGCTTTTTACTGCCTCAGTGAAAACGTGATCATAAAATTTCTGATTTTCTCTTCATACAAAAAAAGATTGTGAGCTGACCAACCGTTTTCCAGATGACTGTGCGGGCTCGCCTTGTGTGGTGAATGCTACCTGTGTTGATCTCGTAAACGACTACGAATGTCACTGTCCTAAAGGATTCAAGGGTAAACGCTGTAACATTAAAGGTACGACGAATATTCTTCTTCTAACTTAAGCTCGTTGTGTCGGGTATTTGTGGAGCTGGTCCAGTTCCCTGACTTAGCACCACAAAGTCGTACTGGTTTGCAAAACAACTTTTGAAATAGTTCAGAGTTTCGACGGTGTAGATGTTTTATGCGAAATGATGAAGTTTTAACAATTATTCTTTTTCTTGATTTTCTCGCTCTGTCTTTATTGGCTATTCGAAACGATATGCCCGTAACGAAATAGCAGCGAAGTGTAGCGATTCAGATTGATATAGAATATTAGCCACGCGGGTCTTTTGGCTGTTGTCTAGGAAGATAGAGAACTTTTCCAAAGAGAAGTTCTCTATACACCCGCCCGACTTATTTAGGGGCCATGATGAAATTTTGTTAGCTATTTGAACACAAGGTTTTTGCATTATGCAAAGGTTTAAGAAGAATCTGAAACATGTAACGCTAAAACGTGGATAAAAAGAGCATCGTATAATGAGTGATCTACTACATATACCTTAATAATTGGTCGATTTTATCGACACTCCCTCCTCGTATCTGGATGACTTTTTGATCCCTTTGCTTCTAAAAATTTGTGTCGGTCGAATGACATGGTTGTCCTACGTTTATCGCGCCAAGGGGGCTTCTTTCGTAAGCATTGCGGAAAGCCAGAACCGTTCTTGAGTGATGTCAACGTCGTCTTTGTTGTGCATGATTGCCACTCCATATTTGAAACAAAGTATGCGCCTGTAGCTTCTGTGCTGGTTTCCTCGGCCAGAATGCGATTAGCTAAGCTTTCACGATGCGGAACTCCACCTTGTTTAATGATTTCAAAGCTGTTTAAGTCTTTGGGGATGTTCTCCTGCAATAATGCATTAAATGTGGACGAGTTGTCTGCTTCGAAACTCGTAAATTCTTCCGCTCCGGCACTTCCTATTATCAGGTGATCTAAGCGAGTTGGTAGAAGATGCAACCCAGAAGGAAGTGTGACGTGCGGTTGATCGTTTTTCACAGAGGACCGCAGTTGGTCACAGCCGAGTAGGATAATAGGCTTCACCTTTAATTCGTTCCTACTAAGATAGACGGGAAGATTATGTTGATGAATAAAGTCTACATCTTTCTTAGGAACTATCGGAATTACAAATGGTTTCACTAACTTATTGTGCGTGAACATATGCATAGAGAACGGATGACCTTCAGCGTCCCATGCTTTGAGCGGGACTTTATTCGACGGTTTTTCGCGTGCTTCCTCGGATCCTAATGTACACAGGCGTAGTCTAGTTTTTTCTATGATAGGGAGATCCATTTCTGCAGCGAATGATGAGTCAATGAAAGAGAGTTCAACTCCCGTATCCAGCAAACCGGCACTTTTTGAAGTCTTCCTGTAGTTGTGTTCACCACTGTAATTTCTCCGGTGAGTAATACCGTGGGCTGACTTTGGAGATGCGGATTTTCGGACCGAACTTCTACGACAATAGTCTCCTGTGGTACAGACTGTTCTTGATGTTGATTGACGTAGTTGATTTTCGACGTTGGCTGGTACGTATTAGTCTCCTTAGTGCTATATTTCCTGTCTTTAATGACCTTGTTACTGTTTGGTTCGTTTTTAGAACCATTCTGAAAGCTTGTTTCTTTCGACGTTGATTGAAGACAAAATGAAGTATGGTGCCGTCTCTGGCATTTAAAGCAAGATGACTTCTTGCATTTAGTTGAGTCATGGTAGGGGGTTGCGCAAATGGCGCACAATTTGTTAGTTCGGAGGTATTGTGAGCGGGCATATGTCGTCATGTACATGTCGCAATTGAACGATTTGTGATCGGGCTTACAGTACATGCAGCAGTACTTCTTGTCCGAGATCCACGATCTGCTCTTATTCTCTTGTTTTCTAACAGCAACAATCAACTGACATTGATTGGCACTTTGCCGTGTACTGCCATACTTTTTCCTCTTTCGATATAACTTCCTCGATAAATTGGAAGAGTTGGTCCATCTGGAAGGGCTTCTCTTTCTCAATCACAACGTCATGTTTCTTTTCGATGACTTTCCGCTGTACGTTGTTAGAAAATTTAGTCAATATTTTCTTAAACACACATTGATCGTCCACATTTCCACCTTTTGCTTTCGACTGTGTTGCTATTAAGTGCAAATGTTCGAATAGTTTCCGCTGATCGTGCACCGTAGTGGAACGAAGCTGGCTGTTGTCTAGTTTGCCCATGAGTGCTATTATGAGTTTTTCCGAGTCTGCATACTTTTTAGTAAGAAATTCAACTGCCTTAGCATAGTTCTCCTTAGTGAGTTGAAATTTCTTCACCGCATCAAGTGCTTCCTCTTGTAGCGAATTAAGCAAGTAATTGAATTTATATAATTCTGATATGTTTTGGGAATGTATATTCGCTTTGAATAACTCCTAGAAATTATCCCATTTCTAAATGTTACCACTGAAAGTTGGTATCGAGAGTGTGGGTAGTTCGAGACGTATTGCTGTAGCTGTAGTTTGGGGAACTTCGACTGCTTGGGTGTCTGTTTGTACTCTTGTTGGGGTGTCTAGCTTTCTTTGTGAAGTATTAGCAAACTCAAAGCTTTTTGTACGACTTTTGAGTTTTACTAAGCATTCTTCTGCTGCCTCAGTTGTTTCCTCTGCTTTGCTGCAATGTATTTCGGTGCCGTCCTCGCTCTTCAGTGTTAGATTCTGATCCGAAGACTTTCTTTCGTACTCGACTAGTGCTTCGTTTAGCTTTGCGATAGCTCCTTCGATGGTGAGAACTCTTTTATTTAGTCTGTAAATGCCACAAATGTAAAATGTCACATATGAAGGTTTCTGCTATCTCGCCATCACCGGATGACGTGCTGAGCACTTCCAATTGCTCATCTTTGAGACGCGTTAGTATGGTCTCAAGCTTTTTAGTGTAATACGTGATAAGTCGTTTTAGAACTTTCAATGAGCTGGTCATGGTAAATTAAAGCAGAAAAAAGATTTTCGTGGAACTAAAGTTTGTGAACTCACGAAAGCAGTGCCAAGTTAAAGTGGTGGCTGTGAAGTTGAACTGCGAAACTTACTGTTGTTAGCTCCTTTCAAGCGGCCAATGCACCATGTAACGAAATAGTTAGCAGCGAAGTGTAGCGGTTCAGATTGATGTCGAATATTAGCCACGCGGGCCTTTTGGTTGTTGTCTAGGAAGATAGAGAACTTTTCCAGAGATAAGTTCTCTATAATGCATTTTTCACGGGTGCACTGCCGACTCTACTTCTAGAAAATCATTCCGGGGGGTGAGGTCCGGTTTTGGGAGACACTTAGGCTAACTTCTTGTTCAATTCCAGTTCTGGTCTATTTCTTTAGTTAATTTCATAAATCAGGTAACAACACACACTTATGAGAAGCGCCCTTCAATTTAAGTTTTTTAAAAAATCTTGTAAACCTCGAGAATTTTGGAAATACAGCTTAACTCACCTTCAGGTATTCTCAAATACTGAGCTATTAATTGGTTGAAAGACCTCTCCCTACGATTAGTGTGGAACACTAACTTCTGGGTATTACTGCATGCGCGTTGGTGATTAGCCCATTTATTGGATATATTTTTATCCTTATTTATTGCGGGAAGTTGAGAGGGTTGGTTCTACTTGTGCTCTCTTCTTATAGCAGTCGCTTGTATCCGATACTTGATGAGCTTGAACACTCTTGGCGGATTCTAGAGAGTAAAACACGAAATAAAAACACTCTGGAATCACATAAATCAATATTTAATGCTTGTTGTCCGATATACCTTTAAGGTGGTCAAATTTTTAACACCGTTCTGTTTTCCAGAGGATCTCTGCGCATCTGCTCCGTGCACGCATGGTCTTTGTGTGGATACGCTGTTCGATAGACGTTGTGTCTGCAATGAAGGTTGGACTGGGGAGAATTGCGACGTGAACATCGACGACTGTGCCCCTCAACCTTGCAAGAATGGCGGGACATGTACTGACCAGGTTATAAGTGTTATTATTTCATCGTTATAGAAATAGACGAACGGTGGAAGTTTGATGTGGAAATTTTCTAACTCCATGTGAAATCTTGCAATAAGTTTTCCGATGCGTTGTTATGGGAATTAGGCATTTTAGTTTACGTAGATTTTTTTCAAACGAACGATGAAACCTTGCGGCACTCGGTACTTCTCAATTCCTTAGGCATATGCCATGACTTCGATTTTATCAAGCTTCGTAGAGGCGATTGAGTGTATATTTAACTTATACCATGATTTGTAATGGCCCAGCGATGTATGTTTATGTTTTTGTCCTCCGGGGAACGTCGCCAATGTGCCAACCGCATAAATATGGAACCCATGGTTTGCCTAGGTCGCTGGATCGAATCAAAGATCTTCTGCATATTGCAAAGCACCTCCAAGTATTGCGCTACTCGCGTCGCCCCTTGTAAATTTGGAACCATTTGTGGTCGTTTTTGCCTACAACGGATTGCACTAAGATTATGGGCTTTGTAAGGCACCAATATGCTTAAATTTTCGCTATTGTTCTTTTAACGTCTTTGTGGTTTCTTGATGGATTTCCTATCCTATTGAATAAACTTAGCGCAAAAAATGTTTACAATTGGTTTGAAAGAGCAGATTGATAATGGGGTGAGTGCAATTATGAACAGTAGTTTTTTCTTTTACTATGAAACGATAAGATCTAAGGCAGGACCGGACTAATTATACCCATTATCATGGTGATAATCTCAAATTCTTTTGTTTTGCCCCAATGCACCTTTGTACAAAGTGCAGGTTTTTTTGAATCGGGGATAAGCCACAAACGGTTTTACGCGAGATGATGCAGAAGTTGAATTTTGAAGAAGTGCAAATTTCAATATTGTTCTAATATACTGATGTTTTCAATGAATTAAGGGACTTCAGCTTTACTCGTTCAAATTAACAGGTTGCTGGCTTTTCGTGTGCTTGCCCAGTCGGCTACCGTGGAATCCGCTGTCAACACCTTGTTGACCATTGTGCAAGCAGTCCCTGTAGAAATAATGGTATGGGAAGAAATTACCTCTTCTTGGTCCAAATGGGGAAGTGAATACGCGAGAATATGTGCCGCAAATGTGGAGGTTTTTAGCCACCTGCACAAATCTGGGAGCACTGTATCATTGCGACTGTCCGCTAGGATTCGATGGAACTCATTGTGAACACAATAAGGATGACTGCGCTCACGGACACTGTGATAAAGCAGGAACGGAGGTATATGTCGGTTTACATATTTGTGATCTATTTTTTTAAAGGAAATTAAGAGAAAATCTCTCTTATTGGTAGCACAATGGAATTAAGTGGAGCTCATAACTCGAGCTACTTTCTACCCATATAACCAACTAAGTCACTCGTTTCTTATCCGCTTCATAATGTGTTTCCAAGTAATCAACTTAGACTTTCAATTGCGTTCTTCAAACACTGTTTTACAGTGAATCCACATACGGTAATCCATTAAATTTGGAAAATAGGTCTAAGATTGTCATCACTGGTCATGTGTAGAGCGCATATTGACTTATTCTAATTCTTTTCTTTGTTCTATTACTAACACGTGTACTAGACTGTGTAAAGATCCGTCCAACGAGGAATAGCCATTATTTCGCACTTGTGTTACTTTTACTAATCACTTCCTCTTTAGTTCTGTGAAGATGGTATCAACACGTTCAACTGTGTGTGTAAACCCGGTTATAGCGGCAGGCTTTGTGAAATTCGTACTAGTCAGGTTAGCCGGCCCTAGATAGGTAGTTTCTCACATCTGTAGTTCGCTTTTCATAATGTTCAGTGTGCATTCTCTCCATGCATGAATAATGGTACTTGCAATGATGAAGGAGCTTCGTACAAATGCGAATGTGCTAGCGGATGGACAGGAGCGACGTAGGTTTTATTGTCGTCCGTTCAGAAATGTATACCTTATTGTACAGTACATCGAGTGTTGTGCAATATATAACTTAGTTAAACTATCGTATTTTGTCGAAGAAGGTGTAACATATTCTCGTCCAAAGTTATTCTATGGCATGGTACAGGACGTTCTGCAATGTCAACCTTCGGCCGTTCATCTTTATGTCATAGCTACTGTAGAATTACTGCTGCCTTCACATCGCCCTGGACAAGCCTCTTATCCCTCTGGGGTCAATAAATTTCTACCAAACTTGTCTGTAAACAGATCGCTTTTTCCAGTCAACATGAGCACACTCTGATACGGTTCCTTCAAGTATAAGCAGAGGCTAAATGCAAAAATCTTGTTACCTACATGGAAGATGGATCCTTGGGAACGAGTCGAATAAAAGGAGCGGTGGTGTCGGCACAGTAAATGTAAAGACGGTCATGTAAAATAAGTAGAGAAAATAGCATTAATAAACCGTAGAATTTCTGGAGATTGCCAAATTTTTATTAGCCGAGATGAGCGATTACCGGTTCTAGTTGCGAACAAGAAACTGGCACTTGTGACACGCACCCTTGCCGTAACGATGGTCAGTGTGTGAATTTGGTTGCTGACTACTTTTGCGTATGTCCTGAAGGTTTGTGATTATATTTACTTCCTCTTTTCTTGATTGTTTGCCTTTGTGTCATAATTATGCTTTCCTGTTGCTTTTGCTTTTTGCTTTTTATAGCGATGAGAAGCGGGCAATAAGGCAGTAGTTACTTAAAAACTAGGATAGCTCATGTGCATGAGTCGTGACGTCGCAGTACAGCTGCCATTTGTTTCTTTTAATCGTGGTGGTTCATGTCGGTAGTCTTTTCTGAGCATGTTTAAATCTTCAAGTTCCATTCTGTTATTCAGAAATTGTTAGCAAATGCAGGCATAGTTTTCTATAGAGGATAACATCCATTTCCGCTCACGAGGTGATTACCGTGGAAGACGTTGGCCTCCTTTTAGGTTTCAACTTAATACTTTTTGTTGATGTCTTGTCAATTATTATCGTCATATACGATTAATCCATGTACGTCTCGGTTTTTCTGGTTATACTTTCTGAATAGAGAGCGGTGAGTAAAAGTGTTGATGAGGAATTCTAGAATCAGTAAGTTGATCTTGAAAGACCCAAACGATGTCCATGTTACTGCAGTCCTATCGTTCTCTCGCCTCGTTGAGCCCTTTAGGAATTCTTACTGTCTTACTTTACTATTTTTTTTGCTTTCTTTTTTAGTCTTTTTATATTTTAAGATGAAAATTTCGTCGTCAAAATGAATGTTTCACAAGAGCTTACCATCGGTGCACACGCATTTCTGGTCCGAATTGACTGATTTCATTTATCTACCGCAATGCGGCGGTTAACAACTTCACCTAAGTGCCGTCGCTCTGTTGAACCGCTTTTCTTATAGAAGTGATAATTATTCGATAGAATTGCTACATTTTTGAGTCGTAGTTGTGGTAACAGTCAGATACTTGATACTTGAATGACTCGTCCTCACTGGTTGTGCCACCCCTAGCATAATCTCCATTTTTCAGAGATTTCCAGGTTAAGCCATTATGATTTCCTGGAATCCCAAGGTCAGCCAAGCCAAAGTCTGCCCCAGGTCTTCACCACCACAGGCAGTCGCAGCCCTTGTGGATCAAAGGGAGATTTGCCACCATTCGACTTTGATACCAGGACGATGGTGGATCCTGGTATTGGTTTACTCTTAGCTAGGCTCCATGATGGAAACACCGCACTCCTTCTCAGCTTGGGATTCGCTGCTTTCAAAAATAATACACTTCTTAATCGACAATAGCTGATAGGAAACCATTCATTTCTACTATGCTAACACACTCTCATCGTCGACAAAGGTTTGGACAACAGGCACATAGTATGTGCGACGGACTCCTGTGAACAAAGATATGGTCAATGCAACACCGTCCTCATTGGAATGTTATTTGCTGAAAAGCTTGATTTACGTTTAAAGTTCTTAAAATGTGCGATAACATAATCATTGTGAAGATTTTGAGAAGTAGCACAACAAGCAAACTGGATGGTAGTTACGAAGATTCTTTTGGTCACCCGTTTTTGAGAAGGATGTCCATGCGCGATGTCTATCACTGGTGCGAGATGCTTTTCTTTTGAAGGTAAAGTTGTCGAATAGCTTGCTAGGAGCGCTTGGTAGCAACTAGGTCCCTCACATAAAAGTTAATCCAAGAAGAATCGTGAGGTCGAAAAGGTGGACACGAGATCAGGTGTTCGTTGTTCTCTTCGCTATATCCCGACGCCCTTGAAAGCACCCCAAGCCGTTCGTTTCCTTCTGTTTAACTTCGGAGGTATTGGTACTGTTGAGTCCGTGTGGGGCATAAGAAACCATTCCGTTCCTCATGAACATCGTTTTTACGAGATTTAGTGGAAACCTCATCCTCGCACAAGTGTCAATAAAATCGGCCACCACTCGTTCTGCTTGGCTAATAGTCGGTGTTATAAGAAAGGTGTCATCGTCATCAACAAAGAGAAGATGGCGTAATTCTCGGGCATCCATTTTCACTCACATGTTGTTCCATTCCATACCCGCATGACGTTCTCGAGTGCAGCGGTAAATAGTTTTGGCGAGATTGTTTCGCATTGCCTAACCCCTCTTTTGACGTTAATGTTAATATCGTTGTAGAATGCTGATATCTTGATTGTGAAATTTTAGTACAGCTCACGAAGAATCTTTATATACTGAGTAGGGACTCCTTGACCATCAAGGGCTTCCATGACTGCTTCTATCTCAATTGAATCAAAGGCCTGCAAATCGATGAAAGTGAGACAGAGCGGTCTTTTGTACTCTCGCGATACTTCGGTGAGCCCCGTTATCGTGTGGATGTCGTCGTACTGAATCCTTTTAAAACTCTGCTTGCTTACACAGCTGTCCTTCGTCCACTGTTCTGTCAACCCCGTTTACGATGATTCGACTGACAAGTTTATATACTACAGAGAACAAACAGATTGGGTGATAGTTGCGGTATCGTGAAGGTCACCTTTTTTGAAAAATAACAGTTAAGTTGACCTTTCTAGGCTATGAAGAAGGCTGAACCGGTGAAACGTTAGCTGTTATATTCTAATAAATTCTATAATACCAACTTCGTATTTGCTTATTGAAGAAAAACAGCGCATTGTGATTACTAATTTAATTGTAAATCATCATCATCTTCATATAAGGGATGATGAGATAGTTCTAGCTTATTTCTTCTACTGTGATGAAGTCTGTATTTCCTACCACTCTTGGAGACTTTTTCTACATTTTTTGTTAAAAGTTGTGTTTCCAACACAAAAGTTCTTGGAAAAAGAGATTTTGTCAAGCAGAGAAAGACAACGTTCTACACTATGTCTTCCGTGTTTACGAGTATCACCTTTACGTTGAAAGTTTTAACTCTTTCGCGACTACGCGTACTTATTTCAATCTCATCACCGCTCCACGCTTCGGGCCGTATGTCTTGATCTCAATGTGCATTTTGATTCCTCTCAAATGACACGTGTCCGATGAGTCTGACACGTGACAGTGGCCGCGATGGTGAAAGGTTCAAAAAAGTAAACATGGTTTTTAAAGTTTTAGCAATTCCATTTTCAATGAATTTCAAAGCTGAGGATATAATTTGTACAAGTTATATATGCGATTAAGATAGGCTGTGATCAAGTATTTATTGTCAGTGATCGAAAACCAGCGTTTTGTTTAGGCGTTAGTGGGAAAAACTGTGAAATTACTCCAAATCGCTGTCTCGGTGAACCATGTCTGAATGGAGGAGTTTGTGGAGACTTCGGCTCACGTCAGGAATGCAGTTGCCCGAGAAAATATACTGGACCAGGTAACGCCAAATATGTTGACGTCAAACATCATTAAGGCATATGTAGCGCAGATTTATTTGATGGGTTAATTTGTAGATGAGTGACGAACTGGTATAAAAAGAGTTGTATTCAAAAAGACTTTTTAGGATGTCAGTATCTAAGAAATGCTTGTACTGAATCCGTTTGTCAAAATGATGGTGAATGCAACAGAACCTCTGATGGTGGATTTCACTGCAGCTGTAAGCCAGGTATGTTAAGTCTCTACGTTTATGTCACTTTATGTTCCCACTATTCATGAGAGAAAACAGACCAACGATGTCAGATTGTAACTGGAACAGCATTGAAATTTGACTTCTTCTTTAAAATTACCCGCTTAGGCTTCACCGGGATTTACTGCGAGACGAACATAGACGACTGTGCCCGTTCACCTTGTCCGTTGGGCGCCACATGTATCGACCAAATAAACTCGGCTTACTGTAGATGTCCTTTTAACATGACTGGAGCCAATTGTGACAAAGTAACAGCTCGCTTTAATGTCTCTAATCCACCATCGCCAGTCTATCATTTTAGGCAATTGATGAGGACTACGATTTGCACTTCTTCGATCCTCTCCGTCCTTCAAGTGCGTCACTTGCGCTGCCTTTCATCATCAACACGAAAGCAATTGCTGTAGCTTTATGGGTAAAATTCGATCAAAGTCAGAGCCATGGTACTGTGCTAAGGATGTACCACAGCAAGTAGGTTTCTGTGTGACAAGTGAAGTCGTTTCTACAACGGTACTGAGATATTTGCAAAACTCCGGATCGCAAAATGCCGATTAATGCTCCCTAGAACAATCGCGTTGACGGGTGATTGCTTTAAACGCCTATAAAACACGGCTGAGAGGAAAAGGAAATAAAGGACGCGCATGGTCTGGTGGTGAACACGTTAGTCCTCGAAGAGGGTAATAACGAGATTCGGTCTCCGTCGCGGACACCTGTGGTCCGGAGTTTTGCAAATATCTTGGCATCACTGTAGTTGTATTTCATATCAGACCATGCCGTGAAAAAACAATAGGCAGTAAATAAAAAGTGATTATATGGTGAAGTTTCGGTTGCACATATGGGTCCTTTTATTGTAGGGCCTGTCATTAATCTTGCTTTGAACCTGTGTGATATGGAAAATACTTCAAGTATGCTATATTAAACCCATTCGCCATGGCACTTAATTCTGTTTCGGGGTCACTTGGGTTGATTTCTAATTCTTCTCTTGACGCGCTACGAATCATCTCCGTTTTGCTTCCCAAAGCCGTGTTTTTTTTGTCTTTTTCACTCCTTTCGTGTTTTCTGCCTCACATATAATTCAGTCTTTGGATGTATTTTTTCGCTCGCCCCTGTGGTATTTATGTTTGAGCCTGTATGTTTCATCTGTTATCGTCCCATCTTTTTGGAACATATAGAACCCATGTATGTGATGAAAAGACATGTCGAGCATCCAGTGTTATTCAGCATTTTGGAGTCCATTTCTTAATTACGCTGAGTACATTTCGACATTCATTTTTTATACAGACCTTTTCCATTAGCGCAACAATGACTTATTTTAGTGAATTAAAAATGAAGAATCGGTTAGTGACTGTTAGGAACGGGCGGTTGGCCCAACCTACTTAGGTCCTGGTTCGCTTCTGCATCGAACTCACCAAGCCGCTCAGCTTTCTGAAGTCGGGAAATGATATGATATTAATCTGGGACAAGCTCACTCCCATCAATCCAGGTGCGATCACCCCAGCGCAGCTATCTCAGAACTCGTGGACGAATCTACCCGACCAGCATTCAACGAAATTCGTGAGGTGTCCGCAAAATCCTCGCTAAACAGTTGAACCTACACATTAAAAATGTTCAAAAGAGCCTTGTCAACGGTAGTTTCAAGGAAACGAATCGAAAGCGTGAAGTGCTAGTACCCGCGTATTGTGATACATGCGATATCGGGCCATGTAATGATACAATAAAATAATTAGTGGTCAAAATTGAATCTTGAATGCATGCACCTTCTTGACCCAAGCTGGAAAAATTCATTGTTGACTGGATGTTCATTCAGAGTAGGGACTAACAAGCTGAAGCCTCTGAGAGGACATGAATCTTTCCAATTTCCCAAAGGATCTGAAAACTATTGGAATGCAGCATGAGTACAAAGTTAACGGTGATGTTACGCTGAAAGGTCAAAGAATGTGAAGCCGGACGACTCCGTATCCTCGAGTGCTGGCCAATTTGAAGTGGATTCATGGCTTCTGTGTTTAATTTAGAAACGGATTCTCATCTAGGCGAGCAAGGCTGATGAGAGAATGAGAAAACAGACAGCATTCGAAAAGAAGAAAATATTCATCGTTCTTTATTCTTGTATGGGAAGTGTGAAATTGCTACTAACCCAACATTTTCAACATCACTAATTTGCAAAATAATTCATTATCTTGGGCGCGCGTAGCAGTGGTCGGAGTCACCCTACAATGCACATGGGATCGATATCACCTTCACCAAGCCTTCCATCTCTTCGGGGTCGGCAAATTGTTACCAGGTTTCTCCAGGAGGATAGCAATACTCGCTCGGCTCGATACACCTCTAGCGATGCTTAATGAAGTCGAATGCATGACACATCCCTCAGGTATTGATCAACTCCGACAGATTTATCTTTTTTAGAGTTTTTACTACCTTGTGGAAATAAGACACCCCTAGATATCGGACTTAAGTATAAAAGTACAGTAGGGGCATAATAATACTCTTTCCACCAGAAACAACTTCACGAAATGAGCAAAGTCGTTCAAAAGGGGGTTCCTTGTAATTACTAACTGCAGAGAATAACAGTTCTCGGACAACGCTTTTTACATCTGCCACGGAGTAAGCTTCTTTTAAATATTGTATAAGAAGTCCTCAAGCAAAACAAATGAACAAAAAACACATATGGCTCACCAATTTGTTAAGTTATATCCTTCATTCATTTATAATCCATGATAATAACTACTTTCTGGTTTTATTATCTTCGTGCGATCGTTATTTTTCCTTAAATTCTTATGACTTGAAATTCTTCTAGAAGATTTTGGTGGATAGTTGGATAGTTATGAAAGCGTTTTAGCTCACTGGAATAATATGCCTATTGTCGTCGTTTGTTTCTACATCGTTACTTCGTTTATAGGAAAGCCAACTACAGCGCTAACGTGACTGAAGTACTACGCATCGACTCAGAAGGGGTGACCATTGCACTGTTCAGTAATGAGAATCCACTTCAGTTACATTATCCGATGAATCAAAAGATCAATGACGGATCATGGAATCATCTTGTAAGCGTGACTTTCTCGAAGACCGTGTTATGTTCAATCAATTGTCAAATAATAATTGTTCATTGGTGTCTGTCATAAAGCTGTAAGTATACAGTGCAAAAGTGGAGGTATAAAATAACATACTGCCATCTTCTTTCTTTCAAGGTGTTCACTTGGTCGTCAGAACTTGGAACGTACTCACTAATCTGGAACTCAGTTCGGATATTTGCAGGGGATGGATATGGTGTCGGTCGGGAGATTAAAATAAAGTGAGTGGAGTATTTTTACTACTATTTCGTCTTTTACGCGTAGAGTGCTAGCCTAGCTGGAAATCTTTCAGAGTTCAATTTGACTAAATTGCAATAGTATAACAAGCAAAAGCGTACATTGTATGCTCTCTTTTATTAATCTAAACTTATTTAAGGAAGTAAACTCAAATCAGAAGTGCAATGTAAAGAGAATGAGGTGGGAATTCGTTTGTAAATCAAAAGCTTTAGCGCCCTCATCACATTGGGTAGTTTGGAAGCTGAAGAAACATTCTTTGCTGGTTTTATAACTCGTGTGTACATATGGAGCCGTGTGTTGGACTTCAATAGTGAGATACCGATGATGGTCGCGAGCTGTCGGGAAGCAGAGGTCAGATTTCGAGGTGTCAAGTTGTCTCGTAGGTTAGGCGCTTGTCATAAGTGCAAGAATCTGTAGCTTTACAAGTTATCTTCATTCGTGTGCTAACATAGTATATAAGTTGATTCATTTATCTATAAAAATGTCTCCAGTCCTTTTCAGTTGGTCTATGACAAATTGTTGTTACGATTTGCTGGATACACAGAGATGAAGGGAAAGGTGGAACGGATACCGAATAGCACTTGTGGGCGTGCGAAACGTAAACGGCCGGAATCAACAGTTAAAGCAACGGTTTGACTTTATCTGACATTTCCAATGGCAGAGAATGCCTTATTATTACAAAGCTTCCTTGTTGAAAATTCCTATATGAAGTGGCCTTGTTAATTTTTTATGAACAAGGAAGTGATGGTGTCCAAAATATATACTTAATTGGATGGCTCGCCCTCACTGGTTATGCAAGTCCCAGCAAAATTCACATTGTTCCAGAGTTTTGCTGGTTTCGCCATTATGGTTCCCTGGAGTCCCAAGGTCAGCCTGACCAAAATCTGCTCCAGGTCGTCACCACCACAGGCAGTCGTCGTCCTTGTGAATCAGAGGGAGATTTTCCACCATGCGACTAGCTTGATACCAGGGCAACGGTGCATTGGTTTACTTCTAGTTGGGCTTCCTGATAGAAAAGCAGGATTCCTTCTGAGCCTAGGAGACCCTGCTGGAGGGAATGAATCCTCCGCTGTATATCGCACTGTGGCACTCAGGAATATCTCGCAGCCATGATAAGGCGGTAAACCGTTGGAAGGAATAAATATACACAGAGAGCAAGAACTACCCATTCTCAGCCTGCTCTCTAAAAATTGTGTAAAACGAATATAAAGATTCTTACATAAATTCTTGCAGTTCATATATATATATATATATATATATATTATAGGGACAACATATATATATATGTTATGGTTTGCGTTCTATTCGGAACTTTCTTAGTTTTCGGAGGTTGAAGGATTGACCCTTTCCAGAGTTGTCCATCAGATCAGTTTGTGATAACGCCACAACGCGAAGTGAACGTCACATGGCCCGAACCAGAGTTTCAATCCAAAAATCCTTTAGAGAAAGTTCTAACGAATTTCAAACAAGGACAGGTAAGCGGAGGGTATGGGGAAGTTTTAATTTATTAAAGCCGACACTGCCTTGAATTCGCACTTTAGAAACCTGAAAAAGCTTTAAAAAGTAAGTTGTTTAGGTATTCACCTGGGGTGAATATGATGTGCTGTATGTCGGTTTTGACAACATCTCCAATACAGCAGAATGTAGTTTCAAAGTACGTTTTGTAAAGTGCTGTATAGGTCAATAATGAACATCTCTCGGTCTTATGAGTCCTAATATTACATTCTGTTTTAATTTCATTTTTTTAGATCCACGTGTCGCGAGAACACTGTCCGTCACCTGAAGATCCTGTGAATGGTGTTCAAGCCTGTGAATCCTGGGGACCAAATCTGCGGTATAAGGTAGTGTCATTATTTTGTTATTTTCGCGTTTCGTCACTTTATCAAATATCGCCACCGCCATGTGTTACCAATTAACTGCCACCGGCCACAAAACGACTTGAAAAAAGGCACCACATCTAAGCTAATGAAGCTGTTGATAATTTTGATGGCATCCTTTCTCAGACATTGCAATCAACGAGAACTAGAAAAGGGAATAAAATACTTTTAGGCAGCCTTCTCGTCTTTAAATCGCAGTCTGTAGGCTTATGCGTTCTATTTTCTCTGTCGCGTTGTAAATTCGCTGACTTATTGTGGGTCTTTCGCGTTATTGTAAGAGTGATGCTGCAAGTATTCCATATTACGAAAATGAGAAAGGAAACTTGACGTCTCGACTTATGGACTGGGTATACGCGGTATCGTTACCTGGGTTAGATGCGTTTAACGAAAACTTGTCGGCAAGGATCACTCATGTCTGATCCCATGATGTGTCAAACCTAGAACAGGAAAATCGGGAAAGTAATGGCAAAATTCTACAACGATCCTGGGCTGATAAGGGGCATTAAAGATAAAGCTCTCCATGTTGTCAATCAATCGCTGTGGGATGCAGTGTACATTCGACTTCATCAAGCATATTTAAAAGGTGATTGAATGCAAATCTGGCATATACAATGGCTTGCGGTGACTTACCGAAATACCACGTCAGTGCTGCTATCCTTCCAAACAATTCAGGTGCGCATTTTACAGAACCTGGATGAATGGAAAGCTTGGTGAGCGCAGTACGCGAGACCGAGCCAAAGACAGAGTGTGAATTGCAGGGCACCTTTAACTAGTTCGCCAACGTGCCCTTCTCGGCTAATAAAATCTAGCACGCGTAGCGATAGATGAATACTGCTTTTCTATGCATGATGAAGTTATTCAACAATCCTCAGGAGGAAAGGTGAAACAGACCGCAAAATTTGCTTTACTTCCAGGCTTGCTCAGTCGAGTGTAATGATGGCTACGAATTCTCGCGACCTCCTGCGATCTTCTACACTTGTGCCGCTGACGGTATTTGGAGACCACGTCAACGAAACCAACTAATGTTCCGTTATCCTCAGTGCACAAAGTCAGTTCACCGCACATCTTTTTATCGATAATGCGTTATAAAAGCAGCGAATTACACGATGTTCTGTCAAAGTGCTAACTATTTTGGTTCTCATAGGGTGTATAAACATGGGCTGTTCTATTGATATCGCTTCTGTGAACAAGTTCTTGTTTTCCTTTTTGTTTTTGCCTTTGTTTTTCCTTTTGTAAGATATTGATTTTAACCAGCAGTTTTACTGAGACAATAATAGTAGTGTAATGGTAAAAATAACAGCTCCTATTCCATTTCTTGAGTCATCTCATGTTACCTACAAACATATTTCTTAAGGTCCGTACCAGCGACAAGGGTAGTTCTACTTCGCGTGTCCTACCCAGGCTCGTCTCCCTGCTCAGAGGCAAGCCGTGAAGCGCTTAGAAATCGTATTTTGGCAAATATTCAAATAATAAATGAGAAATGGGATATCTGTACACTGACGTGAGTTATTTTTACGAAAGATCATCATCGTTCGTCATTTACATCATTATTCTTATTAACTCCTACGTCCGACTTTCTATTAACCTCGGCATTGGTTGGACAATTCTTTCTACTTCTGTATCAGCAAACACGAGGTGCTGTTTTATTTCTTTATTTACGTACAAGCTGACGTTTCGGTGGATTTCGCCTTCCTCAGAGCCTGGAAAAGTCAAATTGACAGCAATCTGTTCGGCCAAACACCTCCATAACCAAACAGAGAAAACGCTAAACCAAGATTTCAATCCACAGCTCCGCACAATCACCGCTTTCCTGTGGGTCTTCCACTGAGTACGTCGCGTGAAGACCAACCGCACAAAATTCACATGGAAGCGTAATGTGCCCCTCCCATCAGAATCACTGTGATATTATCACGTGTGATAATGAGGCATTCTTTCCTGCGGTTCATTTTCGGATTTATGGAGTTAATCCAGAACGCCTCGAGAGTTTTGCGCGCTTGCGTTCGTGTTTCCTGTGAGAGGATCGTGACACGAACTTCGAAGTCCTCCCCGTTATGTCTCTGGGTCTATGCGTGCCTAGCGGGGTATTTGGTTTATTTGGTTTTGGTCCCCAGATCAACCCCGCTGACGGGTGATTGCTGTGGCAAAAAAGATCGATAGAAATAGCTGAGAGACGTGCGAAACAAAGGACCCGCATGGTGTGGTGGTGAACGCGTTACTCCCCGGAAAGGACAATAGCGCGTTCGTTCCCCACCATAGACACCTGCGGTCCAGAGTTTTGCAAATATCTCAGCAACGTTGTGGTTGTATTTGGTTTATGTTTACCGGCTAGGTGCTCCTTTATGCGGACACAGAAAGGTCTGCCCGTTCCGCCAATGTATTCGTCTCCGCACGCCATACAGGAGATCGGATAAACTATACCCGAGCTCATGCAGTCACCGTCTTTACCATTGTGGTAAATTATGCAATTTTGCGTTCTACATAGACCGTCATATAGGCGGTTATGAACTAGCTGGCGCTTCTTAGGCAGCGTTTTATAGCTGCACTTACTTTATTTGAAATGAAGGGTCGGATAAACGGGACCTTTCTATCGCTAGAGTTGTCGTTTTGGGGCTTCCGATTTTTCCTACACCTATCGCGAGCTACAGTTTCGTTGCCGTTGGAAATGGCTATTTGCCGCGCCAAGTTCCGGGACTCCTCTGCTTTCTTCCCGTGCACACGTTGGTTGCTGTTCAAAACATGTTTCTTACAAGCGCTCTTTTCGTGTGAGAGGGGTGAGAAGAGACGTAATGTACCAAGATGTTTTAACTACTTGGCTTTCGGTACCACTTTGTAATGTAGCCATTTTCTGTTAGGTTAATATGGACGCTCAGGAATGGAAGGCATTTTTCTTTCGGCTTCTCTCGGGTGAACTTGATATACTTTGACTGTGCATTCAGCAATTCGAAGCATTTGTCTATTTCCTCTTATGTTGTGCAAAGGACAAAACAGTCATATACATATCTACAGTAGAGTAGCGGCCCGAGATCAGTCACAGGTGCTCCCACCTTAGACATAAATGCAATGGCAAGGCTTGGAGCCAGTCGTTGTCCCATCGCCAACCCTCTTATTTGAGCGTAGTACTTTCCGGACCATCTGAAGATTGAGCAGCTCAAGCATTCTTTTAAGAGTGCCATAAACTGCTCTACCTTAAAGCCACACATGTTTATTTCTCCTTCGTGTTCTATAAGGAGTTCGAATATGGCTTGCATTGCGAAGTCATTCGACACGTTTGTACAATGGGCGATAACGTCGAATGACTTCATCACGTACGCTCTGCTGGGCTGCGTAGTATGTAGACGATCCAGAAACATCTGGGTATTTGTAAGATGGGCTGGAATGTGTTCCAACAACTGGGCAAATATTAGGGCTAGAAACCATATTATCTTATCCATTGGCCCGTCTACACAGCTAATGATAGGTCTAACCTTAAACAATGATGGATCGGTAGACGCAAGATCATCGCTGGATACTAACTTATGAGTTTTTATAAGTAAGTACAAGACGGGGCATGTTGGTAAGTCAACTTTTAGTTGAGAGATAGCTGATGGTTTTAAACCACCAGCCCTTGCCATTTTGACCCATTCGTGGTTCAATTTTCGGTATTTACTTTTGAATTCCTCCTCAGATGATGGGCGATAAAGTGAAGCATCTTCAAGATGCTTTTTCGTTACCTCAGCATCTAACTGATGGGGAATTACGACAAACTCTCCACCCTTTTCACTAACGGATAGTCTTATGTAGTGGGTGGGTCAGTGTTGATTTTTAACTCTATTAGGTTTAATGCTAAAGTAACTTTGCAGAGAAAATTCGAAGACCTTTTGAGTAAATCGCATAACACAGCTTTAATAGCGCATAGAAATATCGCTAACGAACATCAAACAGGTCACAGTAGGATAAGTAATGTGCAAAAAACTCAAGGTTAACCGTGTTAGGAGGCATGACTCTCCCTGACGGCGCGCGCTCGTTATTAGAATTGGGACCGAGTTTCTCACCATCTGAACCCATTTCTAAGATAACCTTGCGTAGGGTCGCATGTAGTTTACATGAACTAAAAGGTAGACTCCGCAAAAAATCTAGAGATGTGCAGAGCCATGTTAAATGGGATTGAAATCTTGGTTTAGCGTTTTCTCTGTTTGGTTATGGAGGTGTTTGGCCGAATAGATTGCTGTCAATTTGACTTTTCCAGGCTCTGAGGAAGGCGAAATCCACCGAAACGTCAGCTTGTACGTAAATAAAGAAATAAAATAGCACCTCATGTTTGCTGAACAGAAGTAGAAGGAATTATTCTTAGTGTTCAGTAATAAAGTTCCACTGTTAAAAAGTTGGTTGTGACCTAGGATTCTAATTAGCTTCTATATAACACTACAGTAAGTGGATGGCATTTAACGTAAATCAGCTCCCAAAACGATACGGTCCAGGGAACATTTACAGTTGTACTGTCTTCTCGTAGTATATCCTCTATGTGACGAGATTCTTGCCTAATTTAGCGAGTGCTTCTTTGATTTAGCGATCAGACCGGATGTGTAGGGATTCGCATAGAAGTGGACTGTTCGGACGAGTTCGCTCGCGTGAAAAGAGAATCACATTCCTTCAACGTTCGAGTAGAGCTTCCCGTGAAAAGGTGAAGTAATTCATGTGATTCTAGCTATAAATGTCAAGTGTTCTACGTAGCATGAATTGTATTCCTGCCAGCTTTTCATTAAAACACACTCTTCTAAAACGTATCAATCCATTTTCATGCAGAATGCTGTTTTAAGTTTTGGGATTTTTATTATCTTTGCATCCTTCTACGTAAAGCATGATTAATGTTGACTAAATGAACATCAGCCCCATACAGTGACTTGCGCCGGTCTACCGATTTATAAATCAGTGCTGATGTCATCCCAGATAAATTTGGTACTAATCTGGTAACCCGCTAGGAGCGAACGACTTAGTGAACCAGGAGCACGAGGTCAAACTAACGACTGCGTATAGCAGAACACCTCTACCCAATGCACTATACGCGCCCTAAATCGCAGGTACATAGGAGGAAACCAAAATCCCTCTTGTGGGCACTAATGTGCATCATGTACAATAACCTAATGGCCGGATTTGACATTGCTTTTCAAAAAAAGTCAATATCCGTATTCAGAGATTTCGTCACACATTCGATAAGCGGGCAGAAGTTCAGAGTGATAGACGTTATTCAGACCGAAATCATCAATCACGGCGCATTCAACTTAGAAAAGGTTTTGTTACTTTTCTTCATTTTTTTGCCTTTAAATATTCCACCACTACTTTGTATTTTGGACTTTCGTATGGAAAAATAGTATACCTACAAAACTTTTCTGTACTGATTTCATATCATCTTAAGTTGATGATTAGTAGTTATCTTGGCCACAAATAATAAGTTAGCCACATTTTTTAATTGTATACTGGCGTTGTAATATATATAAATGAAATGAATATGCAGGTTCTTCCAAATGGTCGTCCTGATTTGACTTCTTTCAAAGTTCTGGACGAGTTCCATTGCCAAGCCGGACAGGTTACTGTTAATGATATGTGTGGTGTGTTTATCAGTTCTACAAATCTTACTAAAATATTTTGCTCCGCAAGACTGAGATAAGGTTGGTGGGAGCGGTCGCATAAGAATACTGAACCGCCTGCAGTGCGCTTTGAACTCGATGCAGGCGATCCAACCTGTTCGCAAAGATGACAACCTTTTTTCTTTATGTGTTCGAAAAGTTTTAAACTGCAACGAAAGAGATTCATCTTCACTCCAACAATGCTGTTTCCAGTCGGTTTCTCAATATATTTGTTATATATACCTCATCACTTTGTTTCCGCCCATATTTGTGCACGAGAGAGTCGAAAACCTGCAGTGTTGTCAAAGTTACACTATGTTTTCCTGGAAAATCAAATACCCTCCTACTCACTAGCAACAAGCCAAGCGCAAAAGGATAAACTGGTGCGACAAACGAAAAAAAGCGTTACAAATTAAAGTCTGTTGAAAATAGTTTTCAAAATAGTAAACCTGGTACAACATTTTTTTTCTAAATGCTTTCGAAAGGATTACTGCGAAGTATCTGTATAGTGCAGAATAATAATTCCGGAAATGCACCAATGCATGAGGTCACACATGTGCTTAAACAACTTGACTTAACGAGGATAATAAATTATGGAAAGGCTAAGCGCTCACAAAATTCTCGCTTAGCACTGTTTTCTACAGAAGCTTTTTAGAAAATTGCGTGTTTTTCTATAACCTTTCACTGACATTATAATCGTTTCACATTGGAACATTCATTTTACAACCGAAAATTTCCACGGTTCACTTCTCTTTACGCACAATCTTCACCCGCAAGCTTTGCAATGCAAACTTTTTACATACACAGTCGTCAGTCTCTACGATTTACATTTCTTGTAGCTGTTATCGCAACAGGAGTGCATTTATCGAAGTGGTTAGTTATACACTCCACCAGGAAGCAACTGTTTCTTCCATTCCCCAGCGCTTTCTCCTAATCTAGGTGGGACAACCTGGCTCACCTATCCTCAAGATTACAACGAGCGTAAATTCATCCAACATTCTACTGCATGAAGTCCTGAAACATGAAATCCTTAAGCAGCACAGTATTCAAAACATCGAAGACAATTGTTGACGACGAATACGGAGGAAACGAATCGAATGCAAAAAGTACTCGGATCCCCTCAATAGGTGCGATGACTTGTCATAGATTATGAATAGTAAACATTATGACAAAAATCGAAACAAAACGTGCTTTTGCACTGGCTACATCTTTTTTGATCTGCTTGCACTTTTTTAAGAACATATGAGATCGTGGTATTCTGCAATCGTATGGCAGTCAACAGAACGTCATCTGACACGTAATTTGGCACTGCACCAGCCTCGTTAAGAACATGCTACTTGTAAACGAAGCGACAGTAAGAATTTGACGAGAGCTTATTTACGCTAAGCATAAACAGAGCCCACTGGGATACTTTTGCATGCGACAGAGAAAAATGGAAGTTTTACTGGCGCCCCCTCGAGTCATTCGACGATCAACGGGGCTATGGGTGATACAGGTGTTAAGCGCTTAGCATGATTATACCCTTCGATAAGTTGCAGCTTTGTCACGTTCGTTTAAGAAGTCGCGTCATGAACAATGGAGATCATAATGTTTTTTTTTCACCACTCACTTTGGTACCATTACTCCATTCTTAGAGCTGCTTGAGGATGTCGTTTTTTCCATTCTTCCTGCACACACTCATATGATGAGGGCTCGAGTGATTTTTCAGCCAATGAAACTCCTGTATACCACTTGTTCGTACAGTATTTCATTCTTATCTAACAGTTTGTCAGTAAGGTTCAGATTTAGTGACATCCACACCCACCACCTTCTACTTTCTGGATGGGTATTTTCTTTGTTGCCAACGAGTAAGATCTCCATAGTTGTATGGGTGGACAAGCTTTTCCCTTTCCACTCAAGAATTGGAAATTTTCCAAAAACTTAAGAGAATGAGTAGGAGTGTAATACGGACAATATAAAGAGTATAGAAACTTCTAAAAATACGTAGAAGAAGCGAAAATGACAAAGTGTAGGCGTCGTCCGTTTAGGGGAAGCAAAATGAACGACAGGAATTACATAAGAGCACGTGTGGCGAAAAATCCGAGTATGAAAAGTATAAGTAACATTATTTTTTGAGATTCGGCAAAGTTACTTCTTAACAATTAATGGATTATGTCATCGATAATCTATGCGTGAAAACATCCTCTAATTTCTTTCTAACCTTCACTCGTTATCCTTAGTTTAAATGCTGTTAAAGGTTTTTTAAAACTGTTGAGACGTTACACACTATTTTTTTGACAACGTTTACAAAAATGTTAGCTAATTCTTCAGCTAAAAAGCGAAGCTTGCTATGATGCTCTGTGTTTCACTGTCTATTTTCAAAACTCTAGCATTCTCATAGGAAGGAGAAATTGATAACAAACAGCCTTTGATTATTGACCACATTATTGCTGATTACTTGATTAGTACAGAGTTTTGCGCGTCGATACTCTTGGTGTAATATTATCGACGACCATAGTTGTGAAAGAACTGATGTCTACTTATCATTTACTAATTTTGAGCTAGTCGGTATTTGACCCAGAGCCTAGAATTTTCTAGTGCCATGTGCTCCTGGTTCATTTTTCTCGATGTCCACTTCACATTGCGAACTGTGCGCCGAGGGGGAGTACCAGCCACTGGCAGGTCGAACCGAGTGCTTTAAGTGCGCTGCAGGTCAAGTCACAGCAGGACCAGGTGCAATCAGTGAAAACGAATGTAAAGGTTTGTTTGCTTAGTCATCTCTCGGTCGACCAGACCATGATCAAGCACTTGCAACAAATGTATCGCGTTAAAATGTTATTATAAGTTACCGAATAAAACAGCTGCAGTCCTCAGAATAGAAAATCGGGTTTGAATGATTGCTTTAGGATGCAATTTATCTTTTATATTAGGGTACTAAAATTCCTTACTATACATAACTCCCAAAGTTTCAATTAAATTCGTTTAAAGCTTGGGTAATTAAACCAAAAACCAGGTTTAATGCCTATTTGTGCTTTTCATATCATTTTGATGGGTGATTGCTGATGACACCGCTGAGTAAAAAATATTGGCTGACAGAAAGCTGGAAGAAGGGCCTAAGCGATGCCGTGCGTAATATATGAATCCGCGGAAAGGGTATTAAGGGTTCGATCTGGCTTGGAGCCCAAGTTTTGAAGACATCTCACCTTTATGTGGTTGCATTTCACATAGTACCGTGTTGTGAAAAATAATAACAGGCAGTAAATAAAAATTTAACATTGTGATTTCAAAATATAACTACTACAATGCTGAGATATTTGCAAAACTTCGGACCGCAGGTGTCTGCGGTAGAGAACCAACGCGCTATTGTCCTTTCCGAGGAAGAACGCGTTCACCACCACACCATGCGGGTCCTTCGTTTCGCCTGTCTCTCAGCTAATAAAAGTTGATTCCCACTCAGTAAATAGAAAGGTTAAGATTGTGATTACAGTTGGTTGCTTTGAGGTAAATATAAGTTGGCGCAACTACTTTGGGGACATTTGTATCGAACCATTGACTTCAATGCATGCGCTACTAAAGTTATTTTAGATTTTAGGCCAGTAAATCTCAACTCGTCAGAGGTCTAAAACCTACATATTCTTGCTAATAGAGTCTAAATCTGCTTAAAATCCGCCAATTTAATTTATACACGAGCTACAATTCTATCTTTACGAATAATTTTTTACAGTGCTAATGACATCTCGAAAATTTTTCAGTAAAAATAGCCTTCAAATATGTGGTCATTATAGCGTTGTTTAAAAGAAAACCGTGACACATTTTTGATTTAACCGCTTTAATACCAAAAGCGTGGTGTAGCAGTGTGTCTATAGTGACTGCTTTAGCAAGCTGTCCTCCTGGCCACTACTTCAATATGGCATCTTCTCAGTGTGTTTCGTGTGGGTTGGGATTCTTCCAGCACCGTAGTGGATCATTCGAGTGCATACCATGTGATGTAGGAAAGACGACCATCAGTGAAACCGCTGTTAGCGAAGAAGAATGTCGCGATGAGTGTCCAGGTGAGGCGTTATGAGGTCCATTGAATGTTCTGTGCATTGATATTCATAAAACCAGCACTCTATGTCATTGACTACATTTGGAATAATCCGTTAGTATTACAACTAAAAAGTATATATTTTGGTGGAAACTTGATGACATACTCATTTCAGAGTGTAATGAAAAGCTAGAATAAGGTGAAGAGAACAGAAAAAAACTGGTATTTGAGTTCGAACATTTGCTACCGATTTTGAGAACGGCTAAAGCAGCCAATTCAACTAAAAGAACGTCTATGTATTAAGTTTGCAAAATCTTTTTAGCATTTTTTTATTTTATTTGATTCGCCTTCATGTCTATGTGCGGATCCCAGCACTTCTCACATCCCATTCCTTTCCTCACTTCCATCGTCCACGAAGGTTTTTCAATTTTTACATGTGGCTTCGGTTGCTGCTTGAGGATTTTTATTTCATCTCGAATGTCGTAGAATGCTGGTCGAGCGATTCTCCTGTAGACCTGAGATAGCCGGACTGGAGTGTTCCCAATCTGATTTCAAAGAGTGATTTTTCCCATACAAGTACTGTACCAAGAACAATCACTATGCTCGTGATGACGGACATCGCTGCCACTGTGCTATCTGTCCCATCATTACATATTACCTCATGTTTTTATCATTACATTTTAGCAAAGTCTCACAGGTTTGCGTTCCTGTCGTATATTTTTTCAAGCACTGATTTCCATTCCACACACGTTGCCTTGTATAAATTTAGTGGTAAGAATGAGAAGAATTCGAACAGCTGTTGGATGAAAGGGATAAAGCTCTTGACGTCAATCAATCCCTAAGGGTTGCGCTATGCATTCGGTCTCATTAAGCATGGTTGGAGATGACTGAATGCATATCTGCCTTCATAATGACTCGCGGTGTCCTATCGTTGCATCGAGTCAGTGTGCTGCTATTCTTCAGACAAGTCTGTTAGCAATTTGACGATCCTGGAGAGATGGAAGGCTTAGCGAACCTTGAGCGTAGGATCGATCCTATGTGTATTACAAGGTGTCTCCGATCACTGCTACACGCGCCTACTTGTTCGTAGGGATTCCAAATTCCCGTTGTAGGCCGCAAGTGTTTCGTTCTACCAGAAGGTCGTGAACGCTTGAACGTCGCTGTCAGAAGTCCCATGACAGAAATGAGATCCTCGAAGATGAGAACCATGGTTGATATATTGGCAGCCACCATAACCATTTAATGCCATAATGGGAAGCATATTGGGCGCTCAGCCATCAGAAGGTGTCTGTAGTACACCCATAATCGTTGGTTCAATTCCGTGGTACAGTCCCCCGTCCCCTCTTCTGTATGTTTGGGATGGAAGAATTGGTGCCGCACAACCTCCTGCGAGAATTGGAACAGATTGATACATCGCTAAGTCCCTGCAAGTCATTGAATAGGAAAAATGTACATTCAATTACCACTGCAATCCTAATCGAAGTGAATAGGTGACGCACCCTCTAACAGAATCATCAAAACCGTGCGCCGTATCGTTCGTCCTGTTTTGGTACAGATCCTTGCACAGTGGCTCGAGAGATTGCGGAATAAATGTAAGTATATAGATAGATATATGTCTTTTTTACATGCGCCGTTATCACATCAACAGTGCGCATCCTAAAACTTTTTTTATTCGATTCGATTTCTTCACCTTGGAACACTTAAAAGTTTAAAGAGATTGACATGTTATCCACTTCATTTTTCTTCCAAATCACTGCCAATTTATGCTCCGCGGATCATTCCCGTTGATGGATTACTTATATAACATATTTTGAGTCTAAAATGAAACAAATGAAATACTTTCTTCAAAGAATCATTCAATATTCCGGAAATCAAAGAATTATTATGGATACTTTTTCCTGGGCTTATACTCTGTATTTCGTTCACTGCTTTTTTTCTCCTCTGACTTCTTTACTAAGATGGCGAGCAGCTGTCGTTCTCGGGGTCTTGCCAGCCTTGTCCAGCCGGTTTCTATCGTACACGTGGTGTGCACAAGCAATGCGTAGCATGTCCAACTGGTACGTTTAATAATAAAAATCCATATTTTGTCTTTAATCTCGTGTATTTACTGAATTCTTCACAAAATTAGTACGTAATCAATATGGTTGTCTTCGGGCTGACATGATAACTGCCACTTTACAGTGGTGAGTGGGGGCATTTGAAGGAAGTAAGGAAGTAAGTTCGAACATGAAAAAATCTAGTATGGCAGTAAACTGAAGTTGAAAATAGTGATCGTCGGCTGACTGTTCAACAAGTCTTCTTGGTTCAAATCAAGTGCAGAAATATTTTCTCCACTCTTATTGTCTGTTGTCTAAAATATAGCTGACGTTTTGTTTCAGGAACCACCACCGAATCAGTGGGTTCAATCCGTCGGGAGCAATGCAATACGCCGCGATGTAAAGTAGGACAGTTTCTAGTGAAGGAGACGTAAGTGTCTTTTTCGTCGAATAGTTATTATTTTCAACTACATATCAAGCTCATTACTTTGTTCCTGTGTCAAAAACTCGGGAAATAGACCCTCGAAACCCATAAATTGAGGTCAATAATTTTTTTTCTCAGGGAGAGTGATTGGTGGATTTAAACTTCACCCAACGCCCTTATTGAATCTGTCTACATGGATATATGATTTATATATCGAGCTGATTTATTCACTGTCACTAGATAGGTTACCCTTTTCATGGCAAAGACGTTTTTCGATAACCAGAGCACTTCAGAACTAAAGCACTTAAGAGACTTCTGGAAGAAACTTCACTCGATCACGCTAAGAATATATTATTTCGCAAGTGTTCTTTCAATTTCGTTTTTTAAAAATCGGATTTATGGAGAAAATAAAGAGGGAATGTAATTTTTTAAAATTCCCAACGTAAAGGCGACAGTAACAATAACTAACGAGTCCTTGGGAAACACCAGCTTGTTCCACTGGTCCAGATACCGCTTGTTCGGTGGCCTTCGTGTTAGAAGTACAAGCTTCAACAAAAAGAAAGAGCGGAAAGGTATATTTTGTGTTTTCCAAGAGTCCAGCATTTTATTTTGGTGCAATAGGGAACTTGTATCTGGTTGGCGGAATTCTGTAGAGGTACCAATGTTTCCGATGTCATGGATAGTGAATGTATAACGAAAATTATTCAGCATGAACATTTCGTTTTTCATTGAAAATTTTAAATGCCATAACTTTTTTGAACCTAGCTCTTTCAATTGGAATGAAAAGTACTAAAACCAACGAGGGTTTTTTTAGCTTAAATGTTCGTCTACAGAGTGTGGAAAAGCCATAGAAGGACTTTTTGACTGCGCGTCGAATGGAGCAAATGCTTTTTTGCAAAGGAAGTTGTACACGTGTTTTAATAATATATTCTTGGCAAAAGATCTTTTAGTAAAGCGAGTAAGGGGAACTCTGTATTCATCCAGCTTTTTGATAGCTAACCTAAAATTGAAACATGCAGCAGAATCAACTGTATTCGGTTGACAAATGTTTGTTGAAAACGTTTCAGTTCTTTCTGGACACTGTGGACATCTTCACAACAGTTATTTACTGTAGTGGTTTCACCAAGATTTAGGAGGTTATGAATGGCGATTTCATCTGCCAAGCACGAAAGAGTCATCTTAACCTTATAGCGTAATTTTATCTCTGGAAGCATTTCGGTGGGGAGTGTTTTCGCGTTCAACCTTGATTATTCTTATCCAAAGTCATTAGTGATTGCACAGAATCCATTTTAGCTCATATTACTTCTTTTAACAGTTTTCGAAATCCTATATGTGGCCCTGGGCGCGTGTGGCGCAGTGGTTGGAGGCGCTACTGCGACGAACACGTGGAATCGATCTCCGAGCCCATGGCCCACCAAGTCTTCTCTCTTTCCGGGGTCGGCAAATTAGTACCAGACTTGTCTGGGAGGGTAGCAGCACACTGGCTCGATACATCGGTAGGCCAACGCGAGTCATTGTAAAGGTCAGATATGCATTCAATCACCTCCAAACGATACTTAATGAAGTCGAATGCATGGCGCATCCCTCAGGGATTGATCAGTGCCGAGAGCTTTTTTTTTATATGTGGCCCACTCATTGCTAAAGCACACGCAAGAGCCAGCCAAGAGAAGGTGGCGCATTATGAGTCGCGTTAAAACAGAGATTTGACAATAACAGGAAAAGCAGCATAGACCTAAACCTAGAGAAGAAAAGTTTGCCACTTGGTAGTTCTCCTCAGTGCAAAGTGAAGTAAGCTGTCTGGTCGCTCCCTCATAAACACAGAAGATTCTTGAGATGGCGGAGTTACTAGGCAGTATGAACATCATAGTAATGTTGGTCTTACTTTTCCGCTTGAGCACCCTTAACTTACATGTCATAAATAACCTATTTTCACGTGTGTACCATCAATTTGTCCACTAATTTCGTTTTCTTGCAACTTATTTGTAGGAGTGGTCACACCACGTGTAGATTCGTCTGCTCTTTAGTGATCTAAAAGTTTATTTTATCTGTGAGTGCAGCTCCTTCTCAAGTTCGACGAAACGCTGAAACGTCTTTTAGGTTATCTTGACGGTCTTTCTGACTTTTTCGAAATCCATCTATTATTCTTCTGGCCCACTTGTTACCTTTTTCCTTCATTAATCGACGGCTCCGTCAATGTTTAGTTCTTTGAATTCCGCAAAGGCCGGAAAAATCTAGACCCTTCGAAGATCTTAGCTGCGAAAATCAGTTTAATTTCCACTACTTGGTTTTATCTTCATAGAATCTCGCTGGGGCATTCTTTATGATTTTGTATTTTTTTTTTTGAATGATTCGTAATTGTACATTTTTCCACATTTCCTGGAACTTGACATGCATTCTGCTGCGCTTCGAAGAGGTGAGCATATCGTAGACAAAAGGAAAGAATCGAGAACGTAACCCTTTTATCGCATTTGCCCATCAGCTTTTCCGTTTCCGATTTCCAGTGGGTTGTCTTCTTATAGAGTTCTTTCCTCTTTTGCATCTACCGAAATTGATCTCCATCTGTAGTAGTCTTTCACCATAAGAGACACTCTTGTACTTTGTCCCCATACAGGTGACTCCGTTCATACAAGAAGCAACTTTTTCACAAGCTCTATGTGTGTGGTACGAAATGGTAGGTGTGATGAAAATAGAACGCCAAAACGTTCTCTACATATGCTATGCACCCAACCACCAAAGACCGATGGAGTACATTAAACTATACGTAGAATGGACATCGAATCTGAAGGCATAGAAATTTCTTGGAAAAAACTGTGATAAAACGGAATTACAGGGTGAGAATTGCAAGAAAAAGAAATGGCGTGGTTATTTTTCGAGGGTTCTCACCTCATGATTTGTATGACTCTTACGGTGTGTGTGTTAAAATTAGGTATTATGAATTTACAGCAAACATGGGCACTGAAATCTATTCAAATTTTTGGTTTTATTTTGTTCTAGCATGTTGTGAAATACATTTCGTCTTCAGTACAGCAGGTAACGAAACATTTATGTAGAGTACATGATAAAACATTTTCCGCATAGCAGCAGTTGAATAGGAAGGAAGCACTTGAACTGCAAAGGGTTTTCCCCTTTGTGCCCCGCGTCTGTGATTGGTGTGAATCATATGTCCTTCAGAAAACACTGTCAGTTCTGTCCGCGAGGAACATTCCAAGACGAAGAACAACATACGACCTGCAAGCTGTGCCCCGTCGATCACACCACAGCTGCTCAAGGTTGGTTTACTTTTCTTTGGTTTTCTAGGATATTGCTCCTAAAGAACTGAAGTTTCTCAATCGTTCGTGGTCCGCTTATCATTATATTGGTTCCCAATACTTACTCTGAAGTGAAATGCGTTTAAAAATACTAATTTGAAATACTCTTCTTAATTTACGACCGATTGGATTTGCCAAGGAAGATATCACTTGTAGATACCACATTTCCAGCAACGTTTTTGGCAGTTTCGACAAGTTGTCAATAATTATTCACTTGTTTTCAATATTCTAATATGCATATCTCTACTGCAATGGAATAAAGTCTCTTCTGCAGGCATATTTGTTTCGCAAATTCTGCGAGAGAAAATTACCGGGTGTTATCAAAAAGCTGACATTATCTCTCATGTAAGGGCGCGTGTGGCGCAGTAGTCGGAGGCGCCCTGCAACACGCGCGTGGAATAGATCCCTGCGCCTATGGCTCACCAAGTCTGCCATCCCTTCGGGGTCGGCAAATTGGTACCAGACTTGTCTAGGAGGATAGCAGCACTGGCTCGATACATCCTTAGGCCACCGCGAGTCATTGTCAAAGCCAGATATGCATTCAAACACCTCCAAACGATACTTAATGAAGTCTAATGCATGGCGTATCCTTCAGGGATTGATCAGTGCCGAGAGCTTTATCCTTTATCTATCAAATTGCCCACAACTATAGTTATGCACGCAATATTTCACAAATTTGTGCTTTTTAAGTGGTGCTAGATAGGCTGGTTTCATTTACTCGCGTGGTGTGAAGGGAGCACAATAATTGTTGACTTTTTTTTAGTACGTATACGTATCTATTCATTACGCTTGAAGGCCAACCTACCCTCGTGCTGGTTCGACCCTGCGTCTGGCTCACCAAGCTTCTCATCTTTCCTTGGTGGAGAAAATTGTCCTAAACTTATCGTTGGTAAGCCTACCGTCTCTATCCCAAGTGAGAACTCCTTAGAAAAGGGCTATCTAACGATTCGAAAGAGAATCGGTTCGACCAGCATCAACGACTTTCGTGACGAAGACGAAAACCTTCAATAAGCGGCCGATCGATCCCACGTACAAAAAAGGGTAGTGCAATGGTCGTGGTTGGGTCTGCGTAATGTGATGCTGTGATGTTAGCTCTAGCATCGTGCCCAGAAGGGCAATATCTCTACGGAGCGTCTCGGCTACTGCGCAACGCGTCACTAACCGTTTCGTGGGGCTCTGTTATTTAGGAATTTTGTAAGGACAATATTCTCTATGCCGTTCGGCTTACTCAGTATTCGGTTAGTGGAAGTACCATATTATCCTAAATGAAGGAATACATATGGTTGATCTTATGTGTTGTATCTATCCCAGTACGAGACCTTGGAATACTACTAAGAATCAACATGCCAGTTTCTCAAGATTTGAGTATGAAAAACGAGTTGGAGATCAAAGCATTTTTTTTCATGGATCATGCTGGAAGAAGCTTATTAGTTCCTGTTCCGATTGAGATGCACCAGACAGAGATCGCTGAGAGAACGGTTGATTTCCATAGTCCTACCGTTTGCACATTTTATACATACGTAGAGCTGATTTGGCCCTCTATGCGACTTAACAATCTATATTAGTGGGCTCTACGGTGCATACTTTCAGTTTTTCTTGGCATCTAATTTTACCGCAACTACCAGGTGCCATTTCGGAATCTCAATGCTATTCTACGAACCAATGTTCGACCGGCGAAGATAACTGTTCCTGGCATGCGCACTGCATAGACTTACCGGACGACAACGATCTGCCTTCGTTCCAGTGTAAATGTAAGCCAGGATTCCGTGGAAATGGAACGTACTGTCAAGGTTAGTGCAAGATCGTATGATTCTGCTGACTAATTTAAGGACACGAATCTCGATTTTTTGAAGAACGTACATGTCTTAAAGTCTACGCACGGTAGCCGCCTTTAATAAACTTTTTTAAAAAATTGTTCATAACTAATCACTTTAGTCTGTATAGCCACCATATTTTTCACATTTACTGGAATACGTTATCATGTAGTAGTGCTCTCCTCAGTGTTTCTAGTTCTATTGGTCGTTCAGACGCCTGTACTAATTACTGTCTCAACGATGGTGTGTGCAAGAAGAACCCTATTGGTTACGTGGAGTGCGCTTGCAAAGAGAATTTCAGTGGGGAACGGTGAGCATCCCTAGTTTGTACCTGTTTAGAAGGTGCTTCTACTGCTGAAGATGCTTACTTACCATTGAATCCTTTAGTTGCGAGGTTCGATTCCAACCAAAGTCTCAAAGATTTGCAATTATAACTGCTGGGATAGGTGAGGTCCATTTATGTTCTAGTTTATTCCTTTCTCTGGTTTCGGTTGGTTGTTGTTAAATAGTTCATTATTGTCGATGTTTCATCTTGTTTTTCTTGCTATTCAACCATAAAAGGATAAAGGATAAAGCTCTCGGCGTTGATCAATCTCTGAGGGATACGCCATGCATTCGACCTCATTAAGTAACTTCGGAAGCAATTGAATGCATATCTGGCCTTTACAATGACTCACGGTGACCTGTCAATGTACCGAACCAGTTCTGCTATCCTCCCAAAGAAGTCTGGTAGCAATTTGCCCACCCCGGAGAAATGGAAGACTTGGTAAGCAGGGATAGATTCCACGTATGCGCCTCAGTGGCACCTCCAGCCACTGAGCCATACGCGTTCTTTATTGGACCATAATATGAGAAAACGGCTGTGAAATTGGTAGAGGTGCGTTATGAAACTTCTTCAAGATTCGCTATTTTGTGTGATTTCTACAGTATTCCCTATCTTTCTCCCTTTATGCTTCATGTGTCAGTTTTAGGGGCTGTTGTTACGATACTGGTAGTCATCGTCATCGTAATACTCATGATCTCGTTCCGGTTCAAACGATCCGACGTCGTTCTTGTGGATAAAGTGCAAATCGACGAGCTGCAACAGTCTAATTTCCTCTATGGCCATCCTGCATTGGGTGAGTTGTTCGGCTTCTTACAAAAAAAAAGATAAAGTTCGGCGTTGATCAATCCTTGAAGGATCCGCCTTGCATTCGATTTCATCAAGAATCGTTAAAGGTGGTTTAATGCATATCTAACCTATACCATGACTGCCGGTGGCACACCGGTCCATCACGTCAATGCTCCTATCCTCCCAGATAGGTCTGGTACCAATTTGTCGACCTGGAGGGATGTAGGGCTTGGTGGATCTGGGGTGCGCGGTCGAACCCATGTGCAATGTAGGGCGCCTCTAACCACTGCACTATAGCCACCCTCTTTATATACACTATACTTATGGGCTTTCTATACATTGATAGAGAATCCCTCATTTTTGAGGGATCCACATAGCTCTCGATCTTGACGACTTCTTTGGAAGTTATTTCGTTGTCTTTAAAAGTTACATCAAATGTTTTTTTGTTGAAATTTCGATATGTACTGAAGTGGAACTGCATTGAAAATCCCTAGGTTTTCATCACAATACTTTGTTTAAAGAATTTACCCTCGACCACTAGTGAAAGGGGATCGCTCTATGTATCGCAAGAAGCAAGACATGCATTATCAGTAGGTGGACGGTGCTATTTTTAGAAGCTCCACGTCCAGTCGGCTACTACTACGAGGATGACGACGAGTACGAGGCGAAGGCTATGTACGTGGCACGAGAGGATGATTCCAAAGAGATCGAGCAGCGTCGACGGATTGCTCAGCAGCACATGTATCGACCATCACAAACCGATTAACAATCACTTACTACCACGTGTTAGCTTCTCGAATTTTTCGAAATGTGTCCATGCAGTAAGTACAGATTTTCCCAATCAGCTGAAGATACCTTACATTGAAGATACGGAGTCAGGCTGCTGCGGACACCACATTGTCTACGACTTTTCTTGACACGAATCGATCTCTTCGATTTGGTCGATGCGATTGCGTTTAGTAACCTCAGTTCATCAAACTTGAAGTCAATCCCCTTTTTTTTCATCGTGGTGTGTCACTGTCCAACTTGCTCCACACCATTAATCCATCGTTTTTTTCAATTCTTGATCTGCGTTCGAGATTTAGTAAGCTCGTAGTACGGTATTGCTATTTATAAAGGTCATTTTCAAACCTTGGAATAAAGTTCTATTTGAGTGAATCAAGGCAATTGATTTAAGACAAATGCAATAAAACAGGCACTCAGTTAATGGACAAAATGTACTTTATGCAGAACACCCTCTACTCATAGCTTTTTTAAGCAAACATAACCACTTGTACCTTAGCACAATGTGGTCTAATGTTAGTCACGCATCCGTGTGAAAACGTTAAGTTACTAGTTTGTTGACAATACTATAGAATACGAGTCGTCCTTTCCTGTTATCTGCCGCCTACAGCTGTAGTCGTACTTCTCCTGGTCTTCAGGTAACTAGGGACAGGCTAGATGATCTCTCACTTTGTTACCACCGCACTATAGAGCTTAGTGGATGATTCCTTCTATACACACGAAGGGCATAACATCTTTAGCACATGGCCTAATTTCAGTTTTTCACTGTGACGCCGTTACAGGTAGTTCGCATATTTGTATTACGCCATTAGTTCTTAACTAAGGTTCAGCTCGGAAGTGTTGAACTCTTCAGCTTGAGCAGTGTGACGAACGGAGAGAGTGCGGTTCCCACATTAACCGTACAAAGTGACAACTTTGTAAGAAAAGAACAGAATAATCCTAATTGTCCAGCTTGCTATTTATAGCCCTTATTTCGACATTTGCATCCTACGCCGTGACAGCATAAATCAGCTGCGATACAGCAAGAGTACACAGAAGGAATGAACCTATGGAAGTAGGCAGAAGATATTGACGACTGATAACAAATTGTTAAAGTGCACCAAGATTTATTCAGTTGACTCACATATACATGCATAAAGGATCTAGTAAAATGATATGCAATCATCTATTTCTTGACAGCCACCGGTGCATCGTAATCAGGATTTTTTTTTAATATCACCAAGCCTTCCAAATAAGGAGTCATTGCAACGTCTAAACATAATATGAACACTGGTGTATGTAATTGGCAACTTGCTGCTAGAAAAAGAAACGTGTATACACATAAAGAGGCATGAACTCACATTCTTCGTTAGCTAATTCAGCACGCTCACCATACGCTAGTAGGACTGGGGTAGTGTGTGTCTGGAATCCAGTGATCGTTTTTGGTTTACCAGCTTGTGCCACAGTGTCCACCGCTTGCCCAACTCTTACGGTGACACCAATCTGTAGTATTAAAAATTAGGAATAAATACTCTGCAAAGGAATAAAATCCAAAACAGTGACAACCAAAGTGTTAAGGATACCTGTTTAAGATTACCAGGTTTCTTCTCGTCATCACATAACGTCACCAGCATACGAGGTTGGATAGCTAGCACTAGACTATACAATAAATAATGTTGCCGATTATTCAGCACCTAAAATGACGAGGTTGAAATTTCCGTAACGCTGTCGAAACATGACAGATAGTTCCAAAAATACCGAATTATTCGCATCCAGAAATGCGAAACAAATTGTGAGCAGTGCCGCGATAGCACTTGGACAAAGCAATTGGCGATCGGAATGCCATGGATTCAGAGTCATTGTTCCTTTCCCAAGGTGGGTAAGCCCTTGAGCCAATCGTACTAACATCAGAGATACCTAAAAGAAAAGCCCACATTTATCTTAATAAGTAAATCCTGTCACAAATGCACATAGTGTTGTCATTTTGCGACAACACCAAATACTCTGAGAGAGCAAAACTCGCGCTACACACTGTGTAAGTCACAAGACCCACATAGGCGAATGTGCTACCACGGAGATATCGGACAACCTTCTCATTAACACCAGTTTCTGGGCTACTATTTCCACACAAAACGAAAGTGATCGCAAGACTCAAGGATGTCACAGGTTGCCAAAATAACTGGTTAACTTAACAGCTATGATGCACTTTCCGTACATAAGCATTTTTCTAACTCCGCAGTAGTCTACTCAGTGGACGAATAAGTTTATTCGAAAGGTTTTTACAATATATTCAGTGTACCGAGCGCCTTCCAATGGCCAATACCTGGCACAGCAAAAGCTGTGTTGGATAGATAAATTAACGAATTAATAGAAGGACAAAAAACCAAAAGTGATGCAGTAAAATAAGGACCTAGGAGAGAAGCTTAATATATGCCGCTCTTTCCCATATAAATGCGCTAAGAGTAATTACCTGATCCTTATGATGATAGCTAGCCAACGATCGAAGCATAGCAACGAGACGAGCGTTATTAGTTCCAGCACCAACCTTAAGTAGCAAGTTTAATAAGACACAAAAATTCCCGTGCTGCAAAGATCACATTAATATATACATATATATATATATATATATATCCATGCTTCACCTGATAAAAGGAAATCTTAATGACGCAAGCATAATGTACAAGTTGGCGCCACTATAGCAAAAACAAAATCTCTATACGTGAGAATGTGAAAAGACGATATATATGTATTCATGTATGTGTATATGTGTGCAAATCTAAATACTAGCTTCAGCGATGGATCGGTCAATTCGCCTATCGATGAAAAACGCAGCTAGCTGTGCTATTAACCACGAGTTGCGGACGCTTAGAGTGGTGAAATTTTGAACGCATAGCGTCGTTGGGTTTTCCCTTCAGCACATCTGGTTCAGGATTGTTAAACATTGAAACTATTGTCGCATACATGCATATTACACATTGTTTACGCATGGAAGAATGCACGAGATTGATCGTCTAACGCATTCTGTGTATACAATTCATGTGCGACTATTAGTCAAGCGGCAGCAGTAGTCGTTGTCGTTGTGGACGTCGACGCATTGTTCCCGTTTTAGTAAAGAATGAACAATAGCAACATGCAATAAATTATGGATGTCTCGATTTGGTGGTTGGTGGGGCACGGCCGTTCTTAGTTGGTGGAACGATTTGTCTGGTTTATTCCGACAACGAGCAAGACTCTAGTCTGCTGAACAGTGACTAGATTCTCGTGTCTAGTCTACTTCTTGGAGCTATGAGCAGTGTTTAGCTGCACGAGATTGAGCGATAATAGGTCCATATCAGTCCCTCTCGTAACGGCAAGGCTCTGAGAAAGGCGAAATCGCCGAAACGTCAGCCATCGACCAACAGCACTAACAACAACGAAAACCTGTACCAACCTCGCTTCATCTCAGAAAGATCAGTTCATAAGATCGTGTAAATAAATATATCAACTACTAATGCTAAAGTCTATAGAAAATCGAGTTTTTGAAATTAATTAATTAATTAATGGAAGAATCAGCTGGCCTATCCATTGCCAGAAGATGTTGGTAAACTGTTGAAACTCTTCCGTGACCGGGGTAGGGAATTGTAATTATTTTCCTTGAACAAGGAAATAGTTTCAGTACGATTATAGACCGCGAAAGCGTCGCCTATCGTTCCTTTTAATCCAGAGAGTTTCTGGTAAGTTTCTGGTGAGAGGTGAGCATATACAGGAAATGAGAGCTTATGCCCTAGTGCATGGCTTTAACAGTATGAATAATCTCTGCTGGCTGCACTCTTTTTCCAGAGCTAGAGCACAGTTTTTCAATGTCGGGGCACAAAGTCACAAGTATATGATATGCATGGGTCATGGTGCTGAATCCAGTAGAGCAGCGCTTGTCTCTTCCGGCTTTTCTATCAGGAAACCTAGCTAAGAGTAAACCACTACCAGGAAAGACCACCGTCCTGGAACCAAACTATTCACATGATCTTCCTCCCTCTGATCCACAACGGGTGCGACTGTCTGTGGTGGTGACGCCCTGGGGCAGATTTTCGCCTCGGGGTCCGAGGGAACCACAATGACTGAACCTTCAAGTCTCCAAAAAAAAAAAATAAAGAAAATTGGAGATTGTGCTGGCACTCGCGCAACTAACTAGTGAAGACGGGCCATCTAAGTAAGTATACATACATATATACTGCTCCTTTAAGGACTCACAGTACGGTTGATCATTTTGAATGCTAGCTAGATGAATCCATGAATTATGTAAAGAATCAATGCCCAGATAATTAGGAATACATGACTCACCAAACCCATGGCGAATATAGCATTATGTGCAGTGTCTGCATCGGCATCGTGAGAGAACTTGCTCAACGTTTCTAGAATGTTTAGCTGTGGATTTGAGACTGAAACCAGGGCAAGAGCTAAAGGAACTGCTCGTCGAATAACTGCTTCGCCGTACCGAATAAGGTGACCGAAAGTTCTCAACGCCATCTGAAGTATAGGATAACCAATTTCTATATAAAAGACTAAACAAACCCAGCTATATTAGTAGAGTTGCAATAAAAGGGGAAAAAAAGCAAAGATACTAAAAATAATATCGTTTGAAATACCACGAAACAACTCTGGACCATATGAAATAAGGTCACTTACCTGCGAACCAACATCATCACCCATCGCAATTAGAGCAATACCAAGAACAGCTACTGCTTGTTGCGAAGACAAATCAGGCTTCGAGTCCTTGTCCTTCTCATTTTTCGTATCTTTCTTAGTTTTATCCTCTTTCTGAAAAAAAAGCGCGAATTACATTTGAAAGTGTTTTGGCAATTTTCCACTAGCAAAAATAATTTTTAAAGGGGTCACACGAAAAACATAAAGGAAACAAGGAGATGAAGTAATGAATCAAAGGCATATAAGTAGATAAAGGGCACTAGCTAATCAAATTCAGTTACCTTCTTCTTCTTGTCCTCAGTTTCGTAATGTTCAGAACACATATGGAGCAACTTCTGTACCTTAAGTACATTACCCGTTCCAGCATATGCACACACATCAACTAATGTAGACACCTTAAATGATTTGAAACCTTTATATTTCATAAACAAACATAAATTGTAAAACTCGACAAACATATCCAACACAGAAACTTGAACTTTCCTAAAGCTTTAAAGACAGAAAGACACACCATTGGGCCAAAAGGTTCCGGTAATGAACGAAGAGATTCAACAAACACTTCACTTTTTTCCTGGGTACCTAAAATAACATTAACGATGAATCGCAGTTCTTGAAATTCATAAAGTAAAATTACATGGGAAGTATAACGTAAACGTAAACCGTTGTGAAATATTCAGTAAAAAATCACCTAGGAAAATTAACGCAATGCCAAGAGCTAAAAAACGCATATTTGGGTCGCTGAGTTCCGATTCGCTGCGTTCCATTAGAGTTTGCAACATCTCCATGGCTACAGTGTGATCAGCTGTTCCTACCATGATAAGACCAAGGGCGAGACCACTTAAACCCTTCACTTCACTTGTTGCCGATGGATTCGAATCCGTCAGAACCTTATATGAGAGTAATTATCATTATTAGCTAGATATTGATCTATAGGACACAAAAATGTGGAATAATATACCTTCTTAAGCTCGAATATCACCCCACCTTCCTCATTTTTCACGACAGTTTCTCGCTTAGAGTTAGCATAAGCCAAACCTAGTCCGAGGACCGAACCAACCCGAATAACAGCTCTAAACATAATTGCTAGAGGATAAAAAATCTATAGCGGAATACCACTGATATCACAACAGTTTTAAAATGTACTTGATCAAAATATTTGTGAGGATAGTGGAAGGTTGCGTAACTTGCCAAATTTTTGGAAATTTTCCTTAAAAGCATGGTGGAATTAATTGACCTGGCAAAGAATGTCTACCCTTCCGACACTTGATCTAAATTGCTTGTTTACCTTTCTGAGTGTATATGATCAATAAGAAGAGCAGAAGCTGGATCACATGCGTCTTGTATCCCAGATGAAATAATACCAATAGCTAATAACGTCCCGGCCTAAAATTGCCATCTATGAGTGCTTTTATGTGAATTTTAAACCGATCACTCTCCTTACCTTGATAAAATCATCGTTTACATATAAAAATTTGTCACATTGTCCAAGCCCAGAGTCAATATCCCAACGCCAAACGAGTCCCTGAGATGCTGCTGCGGATAACATGCCTTAATTAAATGAATTCCTTGAAGAAAGTTCTAATACTTGAAACAACGCACCGTACTCCTTATTCTTGTAAAACCATTTGCTAGCATCTTCACTCTCTGCCATCATTTTATCCACTCCAAAACCGCAATTGACAAACCCATTAACAAAAGCTGCTGCTAGGTTCATTCTAGCAGAATCGGGAGCTGCGGTATTTCCAAAAGGGCCTGGAAGCCCATATTTTTATTCAATCCATACCTCACTGGTATGTTAATAAAGCAAAACAGACCAAAGAGGATAAGTTACAAGCTAATACATATATTCTAAAGAGAACACGGAACTCCTTAAAGTATTCAAACTCGGAGATATTTTGTAACTAACGACTGTGCTCTAGATGACTTTTGTAGACTCCTTCAGGCGTTTTTGGTTCCATGATGTCGAGCTCTCGAGCAAGGGAATGGAAATATTCGTAAAGATGAGCATTTGAGTTCAACTCTCCAAGTTGTTCGCCATTAGGAACATTTTCGAAGTCGAGGAATATCTGATGGCGACCAAGCAGTATTGCCATTTGTTTTTGTAGCAGTCTGCAATGGTGTTAAAATGTTCCGATTAGTTGGAACAGAATAAAGTCTTGTCAAAAGCTTTGCTCAGAGGAAAAATAATATTTGAAATTTCCGAGCCTTTAAGAAACATGACCTGATTGTTTTTTCACCACAAGCACTGTGAGTTGAAATATACCTACGATGGTTGATATGCCACCCCTCATCTTCCAAATACAAGTCAAATATACACAGTTTCATGCTACTCCTTCGCTACGAAATTAATTGCCGCTCTCTGCAGGAATTCGAATACTGGAAGTTAACTTCTTTTTTGCAAATCATTACGTGTGAAAAAGAGATTTTCTGGTTCTACATATACGTTTTTTGTGTTGAAGAAGCCACTAGTTGCAAAAAAGTTTAGCGAGAAGCCTCTTTGCGGTAAAATAAATAAAAATGAAGTGAACCGACATCAATTCAGACGAACCAATCTGTCCTTCACCTGGACCAACTCACGTCGGGCTCCAGGTGTCAAAACACCCAATAGAGAACTACGATGTCACGGGAAAGATAGAAAAAACGGAATGGAATAACTACAATGAAATTATTCGCAAAACTATAGCCTCAATTTTTGGGTTCTATACCTATTTGCGCTCTCTAGATCATTCCCACAGACGGGCGATTGCTGATGACATCGTTCGGAAAAAACTCGTTGAGAGCAAGGCAAAGCAAGGACCTCGATTCGCGTGGTGGGTGACACGCCAACTCCCGGTAAGGGTAATCGTGAGTTTGAGTCTGGCCTGGGGTCTGAGTTCTGCAAATATTTCACCATCATTACGGTTGAATTTCACATAACACCCTGCCAGGAGAAAATGCTAATCAGTAAATAAAAAGTTGCACACTGAAATGATCGCTGGATGAAACGTTCTAAAAGAGAGAATTTATGGAATTAGAGCAAATAACAATAATCTCTCGAGTAAGTTGTTCGACGTACTGCGAATGGCTGCTACTTCCCTGCTTCTCAAAAGAAAGAAAGACAAAATGACAGTTCAGTTGTAATAATCTACCCTTTCCTATCTGTTTCACGACGCGCTTTAACTGTTAGCACCGGAAATGTTAACGATGACTTCAACCAATTCCCACCACTTGGACCACGACCCTACGTCGAAGCGATTAGAAATACTCAGGTTGAAATGAAATGTACTACTCACGTGTCTTCAGTCATGGTGAAAATCTCTTTGATCTCGTTCGGTTCATTCAACATAATAGCACAGCGTACAGCTTCCAGATAACGCTGGTACTTCAAATAAATATTCTTCGCGGTGCGAATGAGGATGACATTGTCTGGATCAGGAGTCAGTGGTGCACAACTAAACAATGATGAGCAATGATTCAGATCTTTTTCACCGAATAATAAGAAAAAGCTATTGCTGCATGATTACTGAAAAAAGACTAGGTTCTTAGCTTTGAAGAAAAACAACTTTCAACGACGACACCTGAGTAAATAGAGGCAAACCCTCTGATGATCGACATCTACCACATATTCCATGAGAAGATCAAGTCGCTCAATCTCGATAAGCAGATCACACGCCTCCACCTAGACCTTTCAAATTTCCATGATGTCAAAAAACTTGATTAATTGAACAGGAAACCGCACGGACTTCTGCATTGTGCTTCATATTGTGCATAACGATATCCCTTGCAAGCGTGAGAAGTTCACTGCGCCTAAAATGGACACTTTCGAAAGATATTCAATTTGCATCTGCAAATCCTTCCTGTAACTTCTGAATTGCAAAATTTATAGTAAAGCCTACTACACTCTAAGTCCGCCTCTGAAATGTTCACTGAAAAACCGGTGCTCAGCTGAAGAGACTTCTCAACTATAAATTGTGTATTCAACAAATCATAGGAAGGAAATAGACCAGAACACACAAGTGCTATGCAGTGGCATGCTGTAACACTAATTCACTGATTCTAGTAAGGTAAACTAAACACAACGACTTATTCCCACGACCGACTTCCTGTTAGCCTTGCCATTGATCAAATGAAAGGATAAAGCTCTCGGCTTTGACCAATCCCTGAGGGATGCGCCATGTATTCGACTTCATTAAGCATCGTTTGGAAGTGACTGAATGCATATCTGGTCTTTACAATGGCTCGCGGTGGCCTACCATTGTATCGAGCCAGTGCTGCTCTCCTCCCAAACGAGTTTGGTACCAATCTACCGACTCTGGAAAGATGGAAGGCTTGGTGGGCCATGGGTGCGAGGGTCGACGCCATGTGTGTTGCAGGGTGCCTCCGACCACTGCGCCACACGCGCCACATTGATCGAATAGTTCTCGATATTCTTGTTCAACTAAGAAAACGTGCTACTTTATTCTTTATTCTGTTAAAGCTGATGTGTCGGTAGTAACGTTTTCTTCAGAGCCTGGAAGGGTATATTGATATTCAAATTACTAATTGAGCAAACACGAGGTGTTAATTATTGAAGCGTTTAGCATAATAAACTGCACACACCCTTTCAGACTTTGAAGAAGGCGATACTGCCAAAACGTCAGCTTTAACGGAATTAAGAATAAAATAACATCCTGTGTTTGCTCATCAAGAACATCGAGAACGACTTATTTCCTGTCAATATCAGCACATGCACCGACAAGTGTTTTAAAAAACCTATGTGCCCAAGAGTTACGTCTTTTAGCTTTTTCTCATACTGTTAAGAAAATTTTGTGCACACATACCTAGCTTTGCTTTTTTCTGAACCGTCAGATGATTGCTTCCACTCTTCTGATAATTCCATGGCTAGATGGCGGACATACTCATGACCCCAGTCACCAATCGGCTCATGCATTCCCTAGAGAAGTTGATTTCAGAATGTAAATGTAAGAGGAAACAAAACTTAGGAAGAATAAGAAAAAGTGGATTAACTGCGTCCTAAATCAAACACAACTTCCTCTAGAATACCTTTCAAACCTTCACCTTAATTATCTCCGAAATATATGAACACACCTTCATTCGAAAATTGATGCAATCGCTCCTCTCATCAGAACACATCGCTAACACGGAAATAATGTCGGCACAGAGTCTCTATAAACTATAAAACATGTACTGTAGTACAGAAATATGCCACTTGCCATACCTTTGTTTGCTCCGGTTGCATTTTTTCGAACACCTGCTTCATTTTCGGATAATGAGGACGCATGAATTTAAGCGGCTTTGGGACCGAGGTCATAGACGTGGTGGATGCCCGAATCAGAGAACGCATCATCTCCAGTGACGGTTGATACAGACTACTGTTGTTTTCCTGCACAAAAAACCTCTATGCTTCATTATCAAGTACTACATAAAGAATACGAAATAAACAAAGCATAAATAGCGCCTACAGTCAGACGCTGCACGAGCATATTAAGGTCCTCTTCCAGCTTTTTATCTTCCTCAGTCTGGAAATCGAAATAGGTAAGAAACAAGCAAACTGGCAATGTCTTCTATCAACAGCCTACACATACCATCTCGTCCTTCTTTTCATCCTTGCCAGTTTTTTTCTTCTCATCTTTGCTCAACTTTTCTTGCTTAGTCTTCTCATTCTCTTGCGCTGCTTCAGCCATTCCCGCCATTGTGAGTCTGGAAAATGGCTTTATTCAACTGATAATAATACAAACATATATCACGACTGCTAAAAGCAAAGGAATATATGTTAAGAACTAAGTGCCATATAATACGATACAGATGCATACATGCAATAGTGAGATCCAAAGGATTAGACCGCTGACTCAGATGGTTGCACCTGCATTCGCTGCTTGCGCTAGTAAAAGTTCTATTCCACTTACGTAGTTGCAAGCAGGTGATTCGCAGATATCGTTACAACGATGGCATAACCTGCCATATGTTTAGGGGTAGGACACTTCGGAAAACGATCTGTATCATCATAGAAAGCATTTTCAACGGAAGCGATACTTATTTCCCACTTTTGTTAAGCTTTCCCATAGACTTGACGAGTGAGACTGGTGAGTATGAAGAATTGGATCGTTTACTTTGAACACGAAGTGGTCTCCACGTATCTTCACAGCGTTTCCGAAGGTCATCTGGGCAGTTTTTCAGAATAAATGCGTTCTCGTTTCTGTTAAGCTTGTTCGCTAGCAAATTTTTCACTCCTGGTAGACAGAATACTTTAGCAGTTTCCGCGTAATTACTGAAGTAAAGCCCAAGTGCGTTAGAGACAGCACTGGGGCGAGGACATGTAGAATCAAGAAAAACTATAGCTATCGCTTCGCTCTTCACTTGATCCACACATGCTTGAAGTCCGAATGCAACGCTATCGTTACTGAAATTAGACGAATGATGGGAAGACTCTTCAGTCTGGTCGTTTCCACAACCACTGCTCTCAAGGTAATCCATAACATCAGCTAACAGTGCATTGGTGTCATCCTCAGACACGTCGCGCCATGAATTCCATTCGAATTTGAGCGATGTCTTTAGGTAAGGAAGACCTCCTTTACGCTGTTTTCCCATGGTGTCCAAATGAAGGCAAGATTATGACTGAAAATACGACCACCAACAACAATACACCAGCCAGCAACCAATGAAAGGTCCACCAAAACTGATTATGATCGATTTCACTCGTATCGGTTATTTGACAAACCTAAAACATAAAGTTACGAAGAATGTGAACTTTGTAATTACGTATGAAAAATGCGAAGGTATGCAGTAGAGAACCCTGGCCCCTCAAGAGCACTGGTGTTGCTTCAGACATGCACAGGTTGAAATCTTAGCAGCAGCGGACATTAACTGTAAGCCATCATTGAAACAGAATTGTCAACGTAATGTACAGCACTCTCTAGGTTAACTAAAGTGACACTCAATATTCTTTCAGAACGGATTTCCCTTTAACCTTGCTATGACTAATCAAAATGTATTCTTTTCCCGCACGTAACATCACTGCTCTGAGGAAGGCGAAGTCGCCGAAACGTCGGCCATCGATCAATAACATCAAAAACAACGACAACGAAGATCTATACCAACCTCGCGTCAGCTTAAGAAGATCAGTTTATAAGATCACATAGATAAATATATCAACTATGCCGAGGTTTATAGAAAGTCGGTCTTTCGAATATGTATTCTTTTTCTGACAAGCTTACAAGAGGTTGATAAATATTTATTTTCGGCTACGTTTCGACGTCTTCGTCTTCCTCAGAGCCGGTGATCCGAGTCGATGTCCACAGTCGATCGTCTTCTTGATGTAGTTTCTTTACCGCCGTACGAACAGCGTAGTCAGAACAAGTTTGAATAGTTTTCGAACAGTCCGACATGAGCGACTGTGTACATCGACTCAGATCATCGGCTCTGAGGAAGACGAAGATGTAAAAACGCTGGCCGGAAACAAACATTATTTATCAGCTCAATATTCTTTCTGGATTTGAACCCTCAAGGGTCATTCCTAAAAACATCTTAAGGAGATTCAGGTTCCTATTTTCGATAGACGAATACATTATGAAAAGCAAAAAAAACGCATCCACCACGTTAAACGGCAAGAACCTAGGACAAAGGATTCTCGTCGGCAACGCAAACTCTACGAGGCACTTATGATAGCCGAACAGCGTAAGCGTAAACTTGTACAGATTCCTGACAAAGAAATAGATTCTATGACTTCAAAATTACGGACCCAGTCGTGACCGTATCCCAATCAAGTTGGCCCGTCCCAAAGAAAAAGAAAACAAAACTACAACGCGCAAGAAATGTAAAAGTCCGCTTCACACGCACTTCATACAGCAAATGAAAACGGAACTTTTAAAGAAGCTTCCAGGTCCGGTCATTCGGAGTCCCAGGATACAGCACCGGATGACGACTTGACCAGGAACGAACTCCCACTCAGCACTAGCAAACACTATTCACAACTTGTGGGCAAAGTCATCACGCCTTGTTTCAGACCCCTCAACGATTGCGCTACAGTACCTGATGGACGTGAATGGGATCAGCATGAAACTCGTACCCATTTGAAAAGGCGCTGAACACTGCGCCTGGGACCTTCAATATCCAGTTCCACTGGTGTTCGTTTTTCATTCGAAATCACTGTGATGAACACTCCCCATGTACGACTCTTTCGATGTACTACATTAGCAGGGCACTTTATCTGCTCCTTACTATTTTCTGGGTAGTAATTAGTTAACAAAAACAAGGAAGTGACTGGGCTGGGGATTTGCGAGCATTCTTTCCTGACGTGTATGAATCTCCGCGATGTTTCCAAGGTAAGCGAGCGCTGACCAAATTGCTTTTCCAGGTATAAGTATCTGCACGAAAAACAAGCAATGTGGCTGCTGTAATGTGATGTGAGTTTGCGAACTTTGCAACAATTTCGTACCACGTGGTCCTCCAGATATACTGGTTTGGTTAACGGATTTCCCTGCTATACATCTGCACACGGACGCAGGACGGAGTGTTATCAGACCTGTCTGCGAAGATAGTAACACTTAGTCGATACATCAGTAGGCTATTGCGAGTCATTGTAAAGGCCAGATATGCATTCAATAACCCCTGACGATGCTACGAATGGAGTTGAATGCATGGCTCGTCCCTGAGGGGGATTACATGGATGGAAATGGCTAACGCTGAGAGCTTTATCCTTTCTGTTTAATTTTGCAGCTCTCGTATTTCTGCATATGGGAAACACCACTGACGAGGACTGAGGAGACCCGTGCTACTCTGTTATACTGCTATCCAACGTGTCACTAACGGACGAGTTCTCCGGTCTGTTGCGCTGTGCTTTGTCACAAGGACTGTAGTCCGTGCTATCCGTACCCACCACGTTTATGGCCCTGGCCACCATGTCGATACTGAAGTAGTTCAAGCGGGAGCCAGGTGCTGTCTCACTTCGTCTTCACATTTTGGAGTGACTAAGACATTTTGGTGGGACACTCTTGTACTACCGTTCCTTGAGAATGTAGCCGCACTGAGCTCGCATAGCTCACGTTTACCTTGAGGTCGGCCTCTGGATAGTGATGTCGAATTCTTTCCCATTTTCATTTGTACTATTGAGGGATCTATTCCGCAGTGTTAATCGACCCTTTTCGCTCGAAAACACTTTTCCTCCACGATGAGATTGGCGGTCTATTGGAGTGTTAAATGTTAGATGTACATCGCTGCTTTTCGCTGAAGGAATTATTTGTGTAACATTGCTCGGCTCTACTTTCCCCATTCGTCGATGCTGTATTTTTCATAATTTGTTCGTCTGATTTTTTAAGTGTTCTTCATACAGGATGTGGGTACTGTTCCTACTCTTTGTGGGTATTACATCTGCCAGCGATTGGAAAGTGGTCAATGTCGAGAGGACTGTGGATATATCGTCGCAGGTTAAGTGTTATCTTTTATTGTAATCCTAAGGAACTTCTGTTGTCTGCTTTTGGCTATTCTTCCTTTTCTTTATAAACGTTTATCCCAAAGCAGACCATAAGATGTGGAAAAAATTGCCGTTGCTGTGTTCATAGTATACCAACTGATGTTTGGGTTAGAAGCATTCTGTAGCTTTACTTTTGGTTACATGGGGCTACTGTTTTACCGTTCTACTTTATCTTTCTTATTTTACTGTCTCTTTCTACTGTTCTTTGGAGGATGTTTTAGGTTATAGAGGTTAGGAAACAGTCCTGAGTATATACCTACAGTGGTCAAAACAATCATCAAGTGAGCCAAACGAAAAAAGAACCCACTTTTAGATTGTGAAGGTCTCATCACAGCTAACTTTATTCAATTCTGGATCTACCGATGCTAACTCCGTTGATATTGTGATCTCTAAAGAGCAAAGCGGACACCTTTCTTATATTTCTGCTGAGGAGTTCAAGAGCAAAGTAAAGTTGCAGATTTCAGAACAGCGTAAGGAGACACATGGCTACAAGGTATCCATGGACTATTTATTTCACAGCAGTTTTTTGGGACTAAAATTAATCGGGATTTATAAGTCTCTTCATGAATAACGCTTGTATTGCACTTTTACAGATCTATAAAGTGGAACTTCTTAACAGAATTGCTAAGAATAGTGAAGTGAAGCTGAAGATTGAGTATAGACTTACGGGTTTGCTAACACCATTCCCAGCAAAAATCACCCAGAAGGAAAACCAGTGAGTTGATCTTCATTATCTCCACAAATTTGAATGAAAAACTGTGTTACCTCCGTAAAAAACTGTGTCTCGTTTCTCGTTCCATCTTTCTTTTTTCTGAGAGACGCGGATGGGAAAAAAGGCGAAACGAACGACCCGGATGGTGTGGTGATGAACGCATTAGTCCCCGGAAAGAGTAATAGCTAGTTCGATACCCACCGCCGACATCTGCGGTCCGGTATTTTGTAAATATCTCAGCATCGTTGTAGTTACATGTCACATCGTACTGCGCCATACAAAAGAGTGGGCAATAAATAAAAGTGGCTACATTGTGATTTCCTCTTTTTCTTTTTATTTTTAGTGATGTGATTTCCATATCTTCTGTGATTCGTAAAGTATTCCTGGCATTATTATTCAGATTCGTTGTGTATCATGGTGACGCTCATTATGCTTCGGCATATCCCGTTATGAATGAGAAGACCATTGTTAAGACTGGCTCTGGAAAAACGTTTTCTGTCACGGAAGTAGTGCCGACTAATCGGGAGAATGAGCGTGTAATATACGGCCCATATAAGGACCAACCTGCTTTTCGAAGCGTATGTTTTGCTTATTTTATATATCCATTCAGAACTTATCCCCTCTTCAAAGTGTATTTTTTATTACAGGAACCAATAAAGATCCATTATGAGAATAATTCTCCATTTGTTGTGGCAACCGTAGTCGAGCGATGGATTGAGATATCACATTGGGGAAACATCGCTGTCGAAGAACATATTGAGCTTGTACATAAAGGAGCGGAGTTGAAGGTGATATTGCTGTACTAGAGCACGTCGCTGCGTTCATTCCTTTCCCCTCATAGATCTATTACAGTGTTTTTTGTGTCATCGGAGTTAATTCTTGAAAGTGTGATTAGGCCATGGAAACTTAAGTAGTCCAAGTACGAGTCCAGTAGTGTTTGTTTTCGAAAATAGTCGAATTGCTGTCATCTGAAGCTCTTAAGAAGCATGTTTAGGGTCCTTTTTCACGCTTGGACCAACAGTTGGATCGACGCGGACTACGTCAACCGGCACTGCTGTACTTTACGGTTAGTCGAAGTGCTAATGTCGGAATGTCGCGTAATCGTCCAAAATTCTTCGGAACACTTCCAGTCAGTTTTTTTCTTGTGTTGTTTTAGACGGTATTGCCAGCTTCAGCGAAAGACATTTATTATCGTGATGTTATTGGAAATATTTCAACATCAGCAGTGCGTCCTCGTTCCGATTCTGTGGATGTCGACATTAAACCAAGGTATTGGTTTCTTAAGTTCTTAGAATTTCTTTCTATCAACGTTCAGTTTATCTGAAACATCAGGTTTCCGTTGTTTGGAGGATGGCGAACCTCGTATGTCATAGGGTACAATGTTCCCTCCTTCGAATATCTGTATAACAAAGGACATGACTATGCGTTGAGAATGAGAGTTCTCGATCATATTTTCGACAATGTGGTAGTTGAAAATCTAACTATCAAGATAATTCTTCCGGAAATGGTCAAGTACGTTGTCATTTTTTCAAAAAATATTGTTATTTGTTCCAGCGTACTTTAAAAAATCATTTGACGTTTCGCTATCTCTCTGAAACAAACAAAAGGAATATTGACGTTATGCTGTTGTACTATCTATGGCGCGCTTGGCGCAATGGTCGGTGGCGCCCTGCGACACACACATGGGATCGATTCCTGCTCCCATGGCTCACCAAGCGTTCCATCCCTCCGGGGTCGGCAAATTGGCACCGGACTAGTCTGGGAGGATAGCAGCACTGGCTTGATGCCTCGGAAAGCCACCGAGAGTCACTATAAAAGGCCAGATGTGCGTTCAATCGCCTCCAACGTTTCTCAACGAACTTGAAAGTATGGTGCATCCCTCAGGGATTGATCAACGCCGAGAGCTTTTATGGTCTGTTGTAGTAAGAAATTTCACTGTTTAGGAAAGTGAGGATCACCACACCATACTCTATGACTCGTCGTCCAGACGAATTACATTCGACTTATTTGGATACAACTGGACGCACTGTGATTGTTCTGCAGAAAGCGAATCTTGTTCCAGAGCATATACAGTTGTTTACAGTAAGTCTTCATATTTCCTTTCTTAATTACGGGGTTTTTTTTAGTCTTTCAGTCATCTGTTAACTTGTAAGATCCACCATTCTTTTCGAAAGTGAGGTCTTACAAACAGTTTATTTCAGCTTTTCTATGAATTTGACTACGCTAATATGATCCGTGAGCCATTGATAGCGACAGCGTTCTTTTTTGCTCTTTTCACTGCTGTCATCATTTATATGCGATTCGACTTCACTATTGTTCCGGTGAGTATTCGTCTGTTTGCTAACGTAATTTTTACTAATAAGCGTATTTTCTTGCCTCATTGGTCTTCCACAAAGCGGCGGAAACCTTAACATAGTTCCCACGACCGCCTTTCTGTTAGCCTCGGCATTGGTGGAGTAATTCATTGTTTTATTGCTGAGCCAGTACGAATTTATTACTTTGTTCTTCATTTATGAACAAGGTGACGTTTCGACGGATTTCACCGTTCACTTTTCGCGGACTTTTCTTTTAACTCAGTGTTATATCCCTGAAGCTCAAAGCTAAGCTTCAAGCTAATTCTTCAACTTGAAGTTAAACCAAAATCTCCACTAGGCGCTCCTAGGACACAGAGACATAACGGTGAAGATTTCGAAGTGGAAGTTACTATTGTCACACAAAAATCGAAAACAACAGCATACAGAACTCTCGAGGCATTCTGGATAAATTCCAAGAATCCGAAGTTGAACCGCAAAGAATGCCTCGTAATCACGCGTGATCTTACACAATATTTAAGACTTAATTTTAATGTGCGAGGCACACTACGCTTCCATGTGAACTCTGTGCGGTTGGTCTCTAAGTGACATACTCCGGGGAAGACTCACAGAAAGTAGTGAGTGTGTGAAGAAGCTAATTTGTTCCCAAAGCAATTGAAATTTTGGTGTAGTACTTTCTCTGTCTGGTTATGGAGGTGTTTGGCTGAGTAGATTGCAATCAACTTGATCTTTCCAGACTATGAAGAATGTGGAATCTTCAGAAGCGTCGACTTATTTATAAATAAGGAATTAAGTAACAGCCTCGTGTTTGATCATCAAGATAATAGTTAACATAGTTGTTTCAGCACATTTTAATAAACACAGAAAGAGCAGTTCTTCATGAACGAAATTTCCAAACGCTATAATTTGACTCAAACCAAAATTTATTGATTCAACTATGGAATCCACACGTTTTTTCAGAACGTTTTTTGAATTGCTTGGAAAAATGACCAACCAACTAACGAGCGGTATTTGATGAATTGAACAAAATGCAGAGTTTCTTGAACATTTGCAGCTTTAAATGTGTAACATGTTGTCTGTTGTTTTCGTTCAAGAACGTTGGACATTTTCTTTTAATCAGTTCTTAATATGTTCGCAGTAATTTCTTAGGCGTTTCATAAGTCCCGTAACATTGCTTTCTGCTGTCATTCTACGCTAGGTTTGAAAATGTTTCATAGTTTTACTAGCGGCCAACAGGAAAGTCAGACGATTTGTCGAGGTTTTCTGCCATTCCAGCTTCTTAAGATTAAAATCGTTTGTCGAGTTACTAATGTTGGGTTCTTCATCAAGCCATCGAGTTCCGTTTTTATAGAGTTACCTTAGGTTATTGCCTACGGACGGTTATCGTTAACTGATTTCGGGCTCCCACAACCTTCCCCGTTACCGTGGCTGTTATTCCAATACGAAACTTTTCGATCTATCTTGATAGTCTGCATTCGGAAGCGCTACTCTGAACGATGCTTTATTGGCATTTAGGGTTACATCCATAGAATGATTACAAATTTAGACTGATAAATCGAATCGACAAAACTTTTTTGTCTCTAGACCATCATTTCAGCAAACATGAAACCATCATAAATCATCTATTAGACGATGTTTACGTAGCAAATAGTTAAGAGAGAAATAAGCTATGAAGTGGTTTACGGCTGTTGTAAGATTGTTTTGCAAAATATATAGCTGTAAGAGCGGCCATTCTTTTTGCACGAACCATTATTTACATGGGTTGCAACAGTGTTTTAGGTTTGTGTCGTGATGGATTCATTTCTGGTTTCAGTGTGACATTTAGCGTTTAGGATCCCGTTCGTGAAACACGTGAACGTATTCAAGGTAAAGTAGCACCATTGCCTCACCTTGTTGATAAGAAGAATCGTGTGTTTTCACAATTTCTTGATGCAGTCACACATTATAAATCTACACGAGACCTCTCTGAACTAGAGGTAATGGAAAATTGCAGGTTAAATTACAGAACAGTAACTTTTTTGTTTAGAATGGGAAGAAGAAATTAGAGGCTGGTCGAGTTGATATCAACAACAAACTAGCGAGTGCAATCGACACTCTGAAAGAGGACTGTCAAAAAACGTTTGATAAGGTGTCTATTCGTTTTAATAAGTTTTGTTGGTTCAAGATTGACTCGCTAGTGATATCATTGCATATACGAGTTCTCTAGTGATATCGATATTAATGTTGTTAACGAAGCTCGTTAAAACTTTAGGCTTTCTTATTAACATCAAAGTAATTATGGTACGACAAAAATTTCTGTAAATGGCGATAGTTTCTCAATTTTCCTTTTTTCAAATTTTTTTCAAGAAAATTTCCAAGTTTCTCAACGAATCGAATGTGAGAAGTGCTGGGATGTACACGTGAAGACGGGTCATATAAAATCAAAAACAATATCTCATAAGCCTTAACGGAGAACATATTGTTGCATATATATATATATATATATATATATATATATTCACCTTAGTCCGTTATGGTTATTATTTATTTTTGTTCTAGTGTAATCTGCCTAATTTTGGTTAAACGATGTTTTGAATTTCTCCCACACGTATTTTCTCTGATGTTCAGGCTCAGGAACTCTTGAAATATGAGAAACCGATCGTGGATGCATTGGAAGGCTACATTGCCAGTGTGCAGAAGAGTCAACAGAAATCTGCGAGCAGCGAGGACACACAGTTCAGTCAGAAGGTGACAGAAGCACGTATGCGTTCGGAGTCAGTGCTTGCCTCACTCTAGTTTTTCTGTGGTTTTAAAAGGGATACTATATTCTGTATCTGTGGAAGCGTGCAAGTAATTATTCTGCGTTCACACGTTCACTTGATACTCGTTACCAAAATCTTAGAGTCCTTCAGACCTTAGTGGGAGATATATTTTTCGTTAAATTGTTTGGAAAACTTGGATGCAATATTTTTTATGTGTTGATTGTTTTTTTTTCTCATTTCTCCTGGAAATTGTTCTGATTCAAAGATATATAATGTATGGGTAAATGTGTGTAAGTTCTGTTTTGGTTGATAAAATCTTCTCAACTTACCTCTGTTTGGATATTAACAAGATTAATTTTCCGATACATCTACGAGCGTATAGAATCATTCATTTACTAGAATTTAGACTAGGAACAATTCACTGAAGTGTACGGTGCCACATGTTAGAAGCAATTATAAAATAATTAATGGTGTTGGACATTGTGCCTTGGATTTGCTTCGTAGTCAAATGCAAGCCATAAACTTCATCGCGATAACTGATATATTTCGCGCTTGATTCCAACCAGTCACTTCCTTTCATTTAATTTCGTATGCTTTGAGTTAGAAACGTCATTGGAGTTATCCGTAACCTTAGGTTACAAATGTCATTGGGGTTATCGTTATTCGTAAACATGTTTTTTTCTCTTTATTTCCCCATTCTTTCAATGTCGTCTCTACTCGATAACTACAGCGAAGCTGTTATTCACTAAAATTGGATGAAAATGTGTATTCAAAAACAACTATTTGAACAAGCTTTGAGGTGGCAAGATTTAGCGCTGGAGTTGGCACGGTCTTCGGCTTATCAATCAGAATTCTTTCTCATCGATTCGCACGAAAAAAGTTTTTTTTTACCAGCTCTCTGTTCACCGCACAGTTTCGTAATGGTATTTGAGTGGAGAAATAAACTCCTAAATATCCTTAGTGGTTGTTCGATACATTGTTCACCACGGAATACGAAGATCAACAGAGAATTAGAGCCCAACTTCTCCACCGCTAGGTAGTAGTCCAGTTTAATAACAAATATCATGACTTTTCGCTCAAACAAACACCGACAAGCACTTCCAATTAACGATTGAGTAGTAGTAGTATTTACTAAGCTTCCAGAAGAACTACTAGTGCTGGTTTTCTTCCGTTGTATGGTTGTACCTATATGTCAGCGAAAAAATAAAAGCTGTCCGATCCGAAACTGAGGAACGAAAGTTTTACGACTCATTATCTTTCGCCTTCACGCATAGAAATCTTGATAACACGCTTGGAAAGCGACATAAAAACCATGTACTGGGGGAAAATACTGCTGTGGAGCTGTACTAATACCTACGTATTTCCCGCCAATTCCATCAGCTCCCACAGTCCTGTACACATGAATATCATATTGGAATAGAACATATATAAGAAGACAGACTATTTCACGTTCATTTTGTAGTTTACTGAGGACCAGAAGGTAAGCTACCGGAGACTGGGTCGGCTCTGCGGGATTCCTGCATTATTGAAACTCCGAGAAAGTGTAGGACGTCTGGAGCAGCTGCAATCACATGATGGGTCGAATACTGAGGATGTCGCTTGCAATGTTGGAAGCACTGGTTTTTAACTACTACGACGTAGCGACGAGGCAGCCCTTGAAAAGACTCCAGGGAACGTCTCCATCCACTGAGCCAAAAACTGTCAGCAAATATTCCACTAGGCGGCCTTGACGAGAACCCTTCGGCAGAGAATCTTTAAAAGACCTCGATGCTAGTTGAGCAGGATATCACGACTTGTAATGTACGATGTACAACATGTATCGTTTCACAAAAAGGAAGTGCACGCCAAAAACCACGAGTAGTCTAACTTCGACCTGCATGATTTCGTGAGCAACTCCGTTGAGAACACCGCTTTCGGAACGGAAGACACAAGTGCTTTGCTAGATTAGAAATCGGCGAACAAATGTTAACTATTAGACCAATCAACAGTGAAGTAGACGGGACTAGCGTTGTGTCTTTTTGGAACACATCACGGCTATCATTCATCACTGATTGAAATTGAACCGCCAGATGATAGGCAGTGATGAATTCCGGCATCTATCATCTTGTTACAAAAATAGACTTCATTGAATTTTGTGGCAACAAGACAAGATGGTGTTTTTGTCTACTGCTAACTCTTACTTACTTAAATACCTGGATGGTCCGTCCTCACTGGTCCTGCTAGCCCCAGCATAATTTCCATTTTTTCGGAGTTTTGCTGGTCTAGTTACTGTGGTTCCCTGGAGTCCCGAGGTCAGCCTGGCCAAAGTCTGCCCCAGGTCTTCACCACCACAGGTAGTCGCCGTCTTTGTGGATCAGAGGGAGATTTGCCATCATATGCTTAGTTTGATACCAGGACTGTGGTGGATACTGGTTTTGGTTTACTCTTAATTAGGCTTCCTGATGGAAACGTCGGACTTCTTCTCAGCTTGGTAGACCTTGCCAACGGGATGAATCCTCCCGCTGTACGTCGCAGCCCGACACCCAGGAACGGATTGCTAACTCTACTTATGCTATTTCTTAAAATGAACTGCGCGGATTTCGAAATCCAAGTTATAAGCTGCGAAATTTACGCCAAATGCTGAGGAGGAAGTTGCGGAAACTAACACGTGAATTATGAATACTCAAGCATTAGAAGAAATTGTTCGATCATTTCTTTCTGAATATAGCACTGATGAATTTCTCGTCACTATTGCTTAGCAACCAAGGAGCTGAATTCTGCACTTTTGCTAATGTGTGTATTCCACTTACGGGTCTCGGTCGGTTAGTCGTAAGGCTTCCTACCGTTCCGAAACCTGAGTAGGCTATATTTTGCATGCCGATTATACTAAAATGCGAAGTCAAATGAACGAGAACAACATAGTGGTACTTCAGAGTCACCTACGAAAAGTGCGCAGCACATCTACTTTGCTAGAGTTTTGAAAGCCGTTCAGTATTTTCCTCCAGAAACAGCGGAAATGAGGGGCCTCATTTTTCTACATTTGAATGAGCTCTCGATGCGCCTGCTGTATGGTAGTACGATTGTTGAAAGGCTGCTAAAATCTCAAGGACATTCTAGGCTGTAGAAATCAAGGAGAACTGTGACAAGAACAATATCCACTAATCATGCACATAGGCAACCTAAAGAAGCAGCTATTGAAGAGCTGATGATACGGGCTGAATCAAAGTACGTCGTCATCGACCTAACTAGTAGAAGAAGACGCCGCCCATCAAATTCCGCTTATGATATCGTAGAAGATGTGAGAATATGTGCTCCTCGTAATATACCGTCGTAGAGAAGTTGGCCCAGGTCGGTGTTGGATTTAATGAAGCGATAAGGCGGTTGTTCGCCGAAAACTTTCACTATGCTATGAAGTCTGAAAATACAGCGGTTTCCCTTGTAGACACATTGTCTCCTTCCTGTCTTGAAGCATCCGAGCAGCATGAAACGATTAGTTGAGATGCATACAATCATTCACACCACTTTCTAACGTGCATGCACCTACCCCATATCTACGGGAATGCATTCCTTTGTTGTTTTCAACAATAACTGCAATTTCGTGGTCATGTGGCCTTTGATAGTTCACACATGTGTTGCTCTAAAAAAAATTCGCTGAATAAGTGAAGTCGGTCATTGTAGTCAATAATTTATGGCTACGCACTAAAAATTCAGAACACGTCAATGCGCGAATACAGTCGGAATGAACACCACAACTTTGTCATGTTCGAACTACACTAACATATTCCTAAGTGTGTTGGTGTATTTGTGTGTCGGTATGTGTGTGTGTGTGTGTGTGTGTGGGTGTGTGCGTGTCGAAGTGTGGGTGTCTGTTTTTCCTCAACACAATTGAGAGGCACTGAACAAGTGGTGCAAATTTTTGAAATACTTATTACACAAAGGTCAATATCATTATCTAAACTACGACTTCAAACCAGTATTTTTCGACTTCACAGTGACATCATCATTGACATAAACAAGTGGAGTCGGACATTATGATATTGTCAATGGAATTATTCAATGTTGCTCTCGAAAATGTGCTGTGAAGGTTGTGAGGACATCGTTTGGACGTGAAAATAATGAGGATGGTCGGCTTTTACACCATTTCACATCGCTGATGGCGTCCTTATTTTAATAGCAAACATTGGCATGAAGCATATGGTATAGAGTCAAGGGTGGTTGTTGAATCTGTTAAAGAGCCTATGGTAGACAGCCAAGGGGCGCTTGTAGCCCAGTGGTCGAGGGCGCCCTGCAGTACACGTGGAATTGATCCCCCCGCCCAAGGCTCGCCAAGCCCTCCATCCCTCCGGGGTCGGAAAATTGGTGCCAGACTAGTCTAGGAGGATGGCAGCACTGGCTCGAAACCGTAGGGCATCGTAGGCCATTGTAAAGGCCGGATGTACATTCAATCACTTCCATTGGTGCTTAATGAAGTCGATTGCATGGCGTGTGCCTCTGGGATTTATCAATACCGAGAGCTTCGTCTTTTTATTTATCCTTTACGGTGAATATCCGCTAACGTTGTAATCGTCGTCTTCCATTCCATTCGTCGTTCAATATTTTTATAATGTGAACCATTATCTGCTCATTGTCGCAGTGCCACCTTTCCTCTTAAGGGATATTACGTTTCCTCTTCGATATGCTGTTCGTGGAATTCTCCTGCTATCTATTGAGCGATGCGCGTTCCCACAGCAACAGCTCTGCTGGTTTCCCGGAAGGTTTCCTAATCGTTATATTCTTCCTAACTGGAATATGAATGGAATTATTAGCAAGTAGTCGAAATTTAAAAAAGTGAATACAATGGGTGGATGTGATGCAAATAGGCAATAATATGATGTTGAACAAAAAAATTGAAGTGGGTGATGTTATTCTGTGTTTATGTCGCTCTATCAGACTGATGTTGCTTCCGATTCTCCGGTCGACAGTGCGAAACGATCGTACTGACTACGGCGGGCGAACGGGTGTGAGTGCGATGACCACATCGTCGTTTGCCTTTGACCTCTTGCACTGTCTAGACGGACGACAACACCGTCCGTTTCTGTCGTTTGCCGTCACTGGCCGACGACGTGCAGCGAACGGACGCATTTCTAATGGCCATTGTCACCGTCTGCAGCCCGCCGTGGCCGTTGTCCGCCTTTCCAGCTCCGGGGCAAGAGATCAAAGCGCACGCGCCGCCCGCCATATCCGGTCCAGCACAGCTCATTCTGCTGGCGCTCGTCCACCCAACTGGTCGGCTGCTCATTTTATGGCCACTAACGCTGCTTGTCGAAATCTCAAACCTTTTTGTATCAGGCACGATTGTCCGTTCGACGGAATTTGTTGCGTTTCTTGTGGGTGGTCGTGGGCCTGCCTAATCTCATTAGCTTCTTCCTCCCTCACATTTCACTTCGCTTACACTGTGTTCATAAGTTCTAGGCTTTTTCGCAACTTGTTATCCATTGATTTCATGAGGTTAACTCTAACTGGTTTTCATAGCGTGTAGAATCAGATTTCCTTCGTTCGTTAAAATCAGGCTACTGAGGTGTTTTTGTGAACTGGCAACATGCCTCATCAGTCGATTTAACATCTTACTATTATGGTAGTGTTTATTGCAACTTTCTGTCCTCGCTTGCTATCTTTTTCATCGGATTTTACGTCAATTCCGTTGCATGTACCTAATTCTCATCCATTGTCGTTTAAGCTACGCGCATTTTGGTCAGTGTTCCGATCGATCAGGGGGTCCGTCATGAACGAAACGGACTTGGTCGATGGGGAGTCCGTGCATGAGCTCATGTCACGTCATGATGGACTCACATACAGGTTCGTCATTCAGTCATGAAATCGATTTTCTGGTGCCATTGGAATTTTTAAATACCTAAGTTTTTAAAGGGTTTTAGTTCAAACGTCATAAGTTGTTTGTTCGAAGAGAAAAGTAATGTACATATCCGTTAGTGTGCCATTCGTTTACTATTTTCGAGCGAGAAAGGAATTAGTACAGTTTAGAAGCAAAGGACATTTAAGGGGAAAGCTCATCTGTAAAGATACAGATGACATCTATATAAGTAAAAACAACTGGCTAGACAGACATTTTCACAAGAAGGGTGGACAGACGTACAGTGCGTTCCGAACGGGTAGATGACGAACGCTTTGCAATCGATAACACGCAGCGCTAGTGGAGAACGTCGATCACAAATGACCTTATCAATTCACTTTTTCTCAGAATTTCATCGCTATGGAAGGACTAACAAATTAATTCCCACCACCGACTTTTTATTAACTTCAGCATTTATCAGATAGTTCTTATATTCTTGTTGAGCAAACATGAGGTGTTAGTTTTATTCTTTATTCACTGGCAAGCTGACGTTTCGGCGAATTTCGCCTTCCTCGGAGCCCACTCACTATTCTCCAGAGGCGAACCTCCAAATACTGAGCACAACAATTTTCCTTCGTCTCGCATTTCTTTCACTTGGCGAACATCTGGTCTTGTTTGCTGCATAGATAGGTGTGTATTATTCGCATTTCGATGTCCAGTACTCAGTGGGAATCCTCTGGCGGCCCGCATACATCGTGTAGTCGTCTTCGTTTGGTAAATGTCGGAAAGATTCGGTATTGTAGGTAGCGGCGGAGAAAGTGTATTGCCTGTCGGGCTAAGACGGTTTTTTGCCTTTGTGACTATACTTTTTACAAATCGGAACTATCTTTCTGGCACTTCTCAAACAAACAAGCAACGTTAACAAATTATTACGACGAACCTCAGTCTCATCAAAGCGCACTGGTTAGGGATACAGTTCAACAGTAATTATCGTTCTGGTTCGAACCCACGCGCAACGATCTTTTCCAATCCACGTGGGAACACACTAACTCGGTTATCCAGGAGATTGCAGTGGGAATCGAATCCACAATCATTCTACGGCATTATAAAGAAGACGAATTCCTCACCCAGCAGTGGAGACAACACGCGAAGTTCGAAGCGAATACAAGAAGTGCTGGGATCCGCATAGTAGAGATGATGAAGAGTTGCGTAAAAAGTTAAATGCTAAGATGCTTAAAATCTTCGTTTTCTCCTGACGCCGGAACGTCTTACAACGAATTCGATGTCATCAACTGCCAGAGTCCCACGTCTACTGCGATTTGATGGGTGGTGATTTCGACAACTGGGTATTTTTAGAAAGTGTGGCGTGGTTAATGGTGTTTTTTGAATCTTTCACTTGAGTTGTTAGAAAGTTCTGAGGAAAGATGGCGATCAAGGAGTATAATTTGCCCCAAAAGAATGTGATAGGTCGAATATTCGCTATTCCATTCTGTAGCGTGAGAAAATAGATTAAGAGCGGTAGCTTGAGTGTTTGTTGTTGGTTTTTAAAAGTCTATTTCCTAAGCGTCGACGATGTCGTGGGTCACGCCACCAGCACTGTTAAAATAATCACAAAGTACACAAATTTCTGCTTCACCAATTATTCTCATAGGGGTTCCCTCTCGTTGTATTCTACCGGAAAGAGCTCTGCATGAAGGCACACGAAGCAAAATGGATTTGTGCTGTAAAGCTGTCGTGTAGTTACAGTCTGTAGTCTGTAGTTGTATATGTGTTCGCTGGTTTGAACCTAACCGATCTGGCTAACGAGGCGTAGCATCCTTTCAAGGTCATCGGGTTAACAAACTTCTCTCAGAAGGGTCCAGTCCCACCTAAGAAGGCTGGCGACTGCTTGAATGCTTGTGATGAGCACCGCGGAATGCTTTCACACGATTCCAGGGGGAATCCTGTGGGCATTCAACGACATTCATGAAGGCGAAGCTCCCAAGTATCAGCTAAGAGCTCACGTAAATTCGAACGCGAATTTGAAAGCCTTTATGGTGCATGATGGACATGAGACAGGGAAGTAAATAAAAGAAGTGCCATTGGAATTTGCGGATTATTGCCAACGGAATACAAGCTTTTGTTAATTTCTGCAATATTAACATTCTCTTTTTTGTAGCTCACGGTCTATTTGTTTTTCGCTTTTTTCGCATAAATCTTGTGCCTCAAGCTGCGGAAAAATCTTCAGAGCTGGATTTCGTCCGACGAAACACGATAGTTTCCTTTGGATCCTTTCCGGAAATATTTCCTAGTGTGCTTTTTTGAAAGAGAAAAATCGAAAAGTCAATCGATAAATGGAGAGTCAATATGTGCACAAACATGGGATATATGACTCTGTGTAGTTCTCAGGCCTCTATCACTACTGTTGAATCATCGGGAGAGCTGCAAACGTTGAAATTATGTCGACTTAAGTTGGTTTTTAAGTTCAGTACTAAAGATTTCATCATCAGCTTGTAAACATGCACATGTGAATAGTTGACTAGGGATCTGTCGGTACTCGCTGTTATCACGCGATACATTTTTACATCCAGCATATAATCCAGAAAATTGAAATTTTTGTAATTCCCACGACCGATTGTCTATTAACCTCGGTATTGATCGAAGAATTCTTCATTTAGAAGTTAATTCAATTAAAAGTGTTGTTCAGAAGTGTTGTAAATGAAATGCCTCCATAGAAAGTTTGCACCTGGTGGATTGGAATTGTTCAAGTAAAGATTTATTTTCTGTTAATCGTTGAGAACTGCACTGATTCAGTGACTTCAACATTCTTCCCGGTGTGATTGACTTCTCCGTTCATGATGTGAGGCTCGACACACAAATAACGAAGAATATTCGAATAAAGGCGCCTCTAGTGTCGTCGCCCATGGACACAGTGACGGAAAGCGGAATGGCGATCGTGATGGCGGTAGGTTAGGTCACATACTGTTGCTATCAAGCAGGTTAACTAGATAGTGGGCTAAAAAGAGTGCGACGCAAAATGACTACACTCGGTGCTGGTTGCAGCAGGGGCCTAGTTCAGCAAACGTGTTTTTGGTGTTGTTTATGGATTTGGGTATCCTATATATTGTCCCCTCCCAACGGTTTACTGCCTCATCGTGGCTAGGAGGTGCTCCTGGGTGTCGGGTTGCAATGTACGGCGGGGGAATCAGGGCCTCCCAAGCTGAGAACGAGTCCGGCGTTTTCACCCTGAAGCCCAGCGAAGAGTAAACCAATAACAGGATCCACCACCGTCCTACCAAACTAGTCGGATGGTGGCAAGTCTCCCTCTGATCCACAGGGGCTGCGATTGCCTGTAGTGGTGAAGACCCGGAGCAGACTTCGGCTCGGTTGACCTCGGGACTCCAGGGAAACAATGGGTAAACCAGCAAAACTCTGAAAAAATGGACATTTTGCTACGGCTCGCACAACTACTGAGGACGGGGCGTCCAAATATCCAGGTAAGAAAGTATATATGACAACGTTGCTGAGATATTTGCAAAACTCTGGACCGCAGGTGTCTATGGTGGGTAACGTTACTACCCGGAAAGGACAACAGCGCGTTCGTTATAGATTTTTTTGCGCTACATTTTTGCGAATTATTAAGAAAATGGCCTGAATGGTCAGATTTCGGAACTCTGTATGAAATGAAGTCATTGATTTCATGATGTACTGAGTAGAGAGATTTCCTTCTTGTTAGGTCGTTTCAGGTCTTCATGAAAATGTGAAATTAAGCATTTGGTGTTGGCGCTTCAGTTTCAAGTCCATAAAATGGACCATTTTTTTTCTATTTACCTGTTTCGTAATTTTATGCAAAAAGAATACCACTGTTTAAGCTGTACGGTGGTATGGGTATCATCCATGCGAATTTTGCAAGATTAGAAGATCAAGCTGCTGAAGTGCTCAAAGTGAAGGTAATCAACATCCATTGTAATTTCTTAACTTTGCAGGTTGTTGCCTCATTGCTTGCGGTTGTTAGATATTGAGCTCTATTTTTAAGGAAATGTTTACTTTTTTGTTTTGAAAATTCGTGTCTTTTTATTTTAAGAGAATTCAATTTCAAAAAAAGGTTGAAACAGTGAATAGTTGAGGAGTGGGATGATCTCAAAGCATTTTCAGTCACCGGTCGTAGAAACCATCGTAACTACGTTTTACAACGGCGTTACTTTACTACTCAGTCACAGAAAGAAAGTGTCGTTCATGCTAGGAAGGGGAACAAACGAGTATAGCGGACTGCTGATGGATGTTCCACAAGGGAGAGCATCTATTATTGTAACACCCTATATGTAATGGGAAAGTGAAGAGTCTCCTGGAGACTTTCGCACTTTTAAGGTAGGAACTGGTCCACATAAGAAGGAGCGGACGATATTATATTATTTATGATGTTGTTTGGAAAAACGTAACCAAGTGTGAATTCCGCATAATGTTATCATGAGTCAGAAATGATCACGTGTTAGGGAAAATCATTTAATCAGTGGGTTCGCACAACCGCTGAACAACCGTCTGTTTCTGGGATATTCCGTCGTCATAAAAATAATAAGGGAAGGTATCAGGGATTTTTGATACGAACTACGTTGTGGTTTTTATAGCGTTTCAAGCAAGGCTTCGTGATGCAACCGCATTGCCTGAAACCAGACGCAAGTCTCTGGGATATGTTGCAGATCAAGAAGAATTACGGTTATACCGGAGCACCGGTCACCGAAACTGGCAAAGTCGGTTCAAAATTAATAGGTTGGTTTAAAGATATCTCTGACATCAAGAAAGGTGAAGAACAGTGTTTATATCCTAGGTAGAGCGCAAAATATTAATGGATTAATTAAGTCAGTTGGTCCTTTTTCTAGGAAAGAGCTCGGTGGATGACCCAAAACTATAAAAATTCAGCGACATCTACTCTTTTGTTCACTTGTTATCCGGTTTCGTACGACAGCTGATAGCTTGAATACCGTAAGTGTCAGACCTCAAAACAGAGAGGTTTCTCGGGAACATATTCGTCATTGAGTCACCGGCGGTGCGCATTAAAGTCAACGCTTGCTGCTCGTTTTCTTTCCCTCTTCCCGTATAATTCTCGTCAGCAACGGTCTCTTGTGTCACTCAATACAGAAAATGTGTTCTTTGATCTTATTACAAAAATGTTTAACTTCAGTATCCCGCTTCGGGATTTCGTATTGCTTTCGCCACTTTACCGTCAATCTTCGACAATTAAATCTTCATATATAAGTAATACAGTAATACCAACGTAAGAGTGCACTTCAGTTACATGGGTAGTGTTAAAACATAAGGCCCCAAACACGTTCTCGATAACTGACGCCATTTTAAGGGCTAGCTGGAGTACTACAGAAATTCAGAACGCCACATATTTATATAAATAAAGGGTGATTTAAAAGTAACTCCCTTTCTTCAGAAATCCGTATACTTTATTTCTGAAATATAATTTAATATAATTTATAAGGAATGGGTATGAGAAAAAACTTGTAACGTGGAGTTTTATTTCTATTTGATATTAGAACCAATGTAGGCACTTATAGCGCAGTTGGTAGAGGTACCCTGCAATACACTTGGGACCCATCCAGCGCCCCAGGCTCACCATCCTCCATCCCTCCGGTGTCAGCAATTTGGTCTCACTGGCGAAATTGTCAGAGTAGTCTCATCTCCACTAGTATCTGGTGTATGAAACAAACTTGTTCGCAAACAGTTCTATCGAAATTTTATGTGTAGGAAGTACCTTTGCTCGAACTACATCCTATATAAAATCTGGCGAAACCATCGATTTGTTAGAAGAAGTATAGCAGGGAAAGAAACTTTTTACAACAAAACGACGAAAAGGTTGATTGAGATCAACGCGCATTATCTGCTTTGTTCCTTCTACACTGCCATGTGATCATTGAAATCAACACGCATCGTTGCTATAGTGAGATTACGATTGTACACATATGGACAACAGTATTATATGTACGTTCATACATCCAAATATGGACTCGTAGGCAAATATCGTCGTAATTTTGCCTTTGCAAAGATGAATAAATTTGTGTTTATTTCCACGCACTCCGGAAAAGTATTCATACAAGTTGTGGTTTTTTTTTAACATGTGAATGTCTGTTGATTTATGGGTTTGAATGAACAGTAACTAAGGCTAAATTTCAGGTATGATTACCTCTCGCGATTTCGATTTCATTGACGTCGACGTGGAAGTTCAAAAACGAACACCGATAACCGACGTATGCATGTTACTAACTTATTAATTGGTTGTTTTTTTAATAATTCTTGCTCAGATTATGGTCGATGGCAGTAAACTCGTTCTGGGTGATATATCGCTAACCATGGAGAAGGCGCAGAAAATTCTCAAGGACAATCGGCTAGGTGAGATTCTTAGTTATCTGACTGTAATCCTTTTTTGGATTGCGAGGTTGAACAGAGCTCTGGAAAAGACTTTTATTTTATCATTGACTGAATAGGTTGTGCCCTAAACAAAAATCGATAGGTGCTGCAATGTAACACCACTTCGTTCAGTTCTCATGAATAATAACAACAGTGGAATATTTTTTGTCGTTTCTTTAATAATGAAACTATGAAGAATCGACCACTACCATCAGCAAGCACACGTCAACGGAATTGATCTGGGGGGCCCAAATCGACATTAAACCCAGTTAAGCTGAGGCTATAGTTGGATTTCACAATGTTGACTTTTTATTTACTGCCTTTCACGCTTTCACGGCAGGATATTGTGAAACAAGCACAATGGTGCTAAGATATTTGCAAAACTCAGGACCGCAGGTGTCTACAGTGGGAAGCGAACGCGCTATTGTCCTTTCCGGGGAGTAACGCGCTCACCACCACACCATGCGGGTCCTTCGTTTTGCCTCTCAGCTAGTTCTATCGATACTAGCTTTCACGGCACGGATTTCACAATGACAGTATATTTATTACCGATTGGCGTAGTGGAAGAATTTCATTTTATACGATTTCTATCGAATGCTTCACCGTTGTAGGCAATGCAAAATGGGTTCTGTAAACTTGTCGAAGTCGATACTGGGATTAATTTCTTGTCGGCATCAGAAAATTCAGTCTTTACAACACGGAGTTGCAGCTTCTGTTAGCGGTTTAGGCTAATTTTATATTTCTTTCTCAGGTAAACTTCCTATTGTCAACGATAAAGGTGAACTTATCGCGTTGCTGTGTCGATCCGATTTACTAAAGGTGATTTTCATAGTGGTTTATTATAATTTAGATGAAATATTTAGCCTTGAATCTACTGACAGACTGACAGAATGACAGAATCCTATAGTGAGGATCGACAAGAAAGAAATCGAAGTAGAATGCTGTAAGCTATTTTTAAGGGATGTCATCATAATAGAAATATAGCTCAAGCTGAACTAAAAGCACTAATCAAGAGGTAAAATGTTCAGAAACGAGCAGAATTTTTGCAACGCAGCTTCTGTTTTTTTTTTTTCTCTGAAGCATATCTTTCTTCGCTGTATCATTGCGGCTTTCGTTGTTGGAAAACTGCATGAAACAGTTGGAGAACTAATTTTGTGCCATAAATTTAACAACTTCGACACATATACACTTCATCTTCACAAATTGTGGGGCTCTTCGCAGTTTTTTTCTTCAATGTTCTTCAATGGTTTCACTCAGGCCAATGCACACTGATATCTTTTAGAGATCCAATAATGATGAAGATGTCAATCTAGTGGTCAACTACTTAGTATGGTTGTGAAAGAGCTGTTGATTTGGACAGATGAGCAGGATTTCTAGCTCTATAGGTGGCTTCGTTAAGAGCCCAAACATCATCTATACTTCCCTGTTTCCTCAACACAGTTTCTTCTTAACGTAGTTTCATATGTCCATTGAATTCAAATAGGATTTGGATTGTGTAATCAGGAAAGCATCCATATCTTTTTATTTCCTATCGTAATGTGGGCTGAATGTCCTTTCCTTTTCAGTCGAATAACATTTATTGTCTACTGCTTTGCGATAGTGTAGTGATTTGGCGGTGCGGTGTCGCCAATAACTCGAATCGTTTTTTTAACGCTCATGGAAAGCGAATGGTGGATAAACGCTCTTGATGTTGTTGAGATAGTAGTCTGAAGGGATGATTATTCAGGAGGGGTCAACCTCTAGTCGAAAATGTGAAGGCGTTCTTTTCGGTTTGGTCAAACGCTTTTTGGAACTGCCAAAGATTATGCCGAAAACCTGCCGAAACTTCGTTTAGCATCCTTAATAGTGCGTTAGAAGAACGTCACTTCCGTTGTTGAGAAATGGGGTGTTAAATACGAAGTCTTTCATTCGTGAGAGATCTCGTTCTCTTTTGAAGACGTCGTAGACGTAGCAAGAAGTGAATGTGATCCCCGGTTTCCAGCTCGAAGGTAGCCTTGGCTGTGGTGCTCTCTGCTGCTGGTTCTGCGCCTTTTATCCCCGGAATGCTAGGGACGAGAACTGTTAGAATAGATTTGTTCATCAATCTTTATCGTCGTGAGAAGTGATATTGGTTCTTTCTTCGTTTATTTCGCGTTGTAGCCGAGCATAAGATGAGCGCGTAGATACGAGATTTTGGTGAATTGGTTCTAATCGAGCTTGTGAGCTACTTCTACTAGTTTTTTGCACTTATACCGGTCTTCTTACTTTTGAAAAGATTATCTGTAATTGGAATTAATTAACACATGTTTTAAGTTTGCTGCTGTTGGATCCACTATTACGTTCCTGTTATTCTGTAGTGGTAATGGTTGAGATCTCTACCTCCGTGCTAATGGATGAGAGGTGTTCCAAACTTTTTTATTGAGAACAGATGCGTGTTCAGCAAATCTTTTACACTTTTTGGTGAGCAGTCCTTAGTTTTCTGTTCGGTCTTTCTGGATTAATTATTCGTGTGGTGAGCTGAAGAACCTTTTCTCTAAAATATTCCCTATCATATAGTTCTTGTCTATTTATACTGGTATTATTGATCTCCACATTTTCCTATCCCGCGTTCGTTTTTACTGATATTCAAACCTGAGGCAGCAAGTTTGCAAGGGAGGTTTCATTACCTAGGGCTTTTCAGGGCCGCCACCACAGCCAGTTGAAAGGCCTTTATGAGGAAGACTATTTCTGCCATAACGGCAACAGTTTCTAGAATTGTCCCAAATTGGAGAACGACCGAAGAAATCCAGGCGCTCGTTCCACCTCTGCCCTCACCGAGCTTCTCGTCTTTACGGAGTCGAGAAACGCATCAAATGTCTGCAACACGCTCACTCACACTCATTCACCTGCCAACGCCCTAGCACGGCTATTTCATTATTCCAAGAGCAATCGATTCGACCATTATTCAACGACCTTCTTTGAAAAGACCAATTTCCTCAAGCAACAGCCTACCCCATGCGCAGATTCCAAAGGCCTACGTGGATGATGGCTGCCAGGAAACGAATTGGTACCAAGAAGTGTTCAAACCTGCACGTCGTGATAAACATGATGTCAGGTCGTGTAATAAAAATGGTAATAATGTTAGTAACTTACTTGATACTTGATACTTGGATGGCCCGTCCTCAATGGTTGTGTAGGCAGCATAATCTCCACTTTTCGGAGATTTGCTGGTTAAGCCACTGTGGTTCCCTGAAATCCCGAGGTCAGCCTGGCCAAAATCTGCCTCAGGTCTTCACTACCACGGGCAATCGCAGCTCTTGTGGATCACGAGATTTGGCACCTTTCGACTTTGATACCAGGATGGTGGTGGTTCCCGGTATTGGTTTACTTTTAGCTAGGCCTCCTGATGGAAACGTCGGACTCCTTCTCAGCTTGAGAGACCCTGGTAGAGAATGACTCCCCCGCTGTATATCGCAATCTGACACCCACTAACACCCACCATCCACGATAAGGCGGTAAACCCTTGCTTGGATAGTAACAGCAATAAAAATAACATGGCGACCACATAGTTTTCATGTGGCCTTGAGATTAGTGAAGATGGGTTTTTGACACTTTTTCGGTGTTGAGGGTGTTGAATGTGCCCGCTGCGTATGTTGTAAGCAATCAGCGGCGTCCAGCGCAGCTTAAAATTTGGTTGTCTCTTACTCGTTGGTGTCACTGCTCGACGTTCTAGGCAGTAGTGCACAGTGTGTTGTATATAAACTCGAGCTGTTGTTGCTTTTACAGGTCTTTTTTGGAATTCCGAGATATTATCAGGGTATTTTGAGTTTTCATCACGCCACTCATTTGAATTTGAGGGAGTCATGTTCGTTTTGATGGCGACAACGCCAGAGTATCGACAACGTGAATGTTTCATGTATTTAGGCTTTAGCTCGGAATATAAAGGGCTGTCAACCTGGGTGGGATAAAATTTTGGTATGTAATTTAGCGTTTCTGCCAAGTATACCCCAAGAGTCCAGCGATTTTGAAATATTTTATCTTTGTCCTTAGAAATAGTTTTCACTTATTGTTAGATCTGTTTTTTTTTTGTTATTTCTAAACAGCCACAATAATAGTATTCAAGTTACTGTCTTTTGATTTGAATTTGAACGTCTTTTATGAGGTAACGAGTTTCTCGTTGTTCAGGCTCGTGACTATCCGATGGCATCCTACGATTCGAAGGGCCAGTTATTGTGTGGAGCTGCCATCAACACCAGGGAGACGTCCAAAAAGGCTCTGCAATTGCTGGTAGAAGCTGGAGTTGACGTTATTGTGATTGTACGTCTATTACTGCTTGTAGCTTCGTTCCTCTACTTTCTTCAGTTGCGATTCAAAATTACAAAACTTCAAAATGCCTAAACTACTGTATCCATAGAAGCAAAACAGTATACCTTTGTCTTATTTAGTCTCATTGACGTTCCAAATGTCTATTCTTCCTTAAGGATGCACCGAGCACTATACACCTTTAGGCATCGTGAAAGTTTTTGAATACCTTTACTATGGCAAATGGGTGCCTATCGATTTATCAAGTCAGTGCTTTTACCGTGCTAAGCAAGTCACCTGGGGATACCACTTTAAAGGGGAGATTGAGCTTGGTTTGCTCTGGACGTATAGTCGAACCAACGACCGTGTGTTTATTCTAGGACATCGTTATCCATTGCGCTTCGGGCGCTTCTACATCATTTTTATTTCGCTGCAGTGAGTTTGAATCGTGAAACTCTTTACACGTAAGAAAAGACCAGCCGTTTTGCTTGTTTAAGAGATATCAGTGCTCACACCTGAATATCTGAATACATAAATTGTTAGGACTCGATCTCGATCTCCACTCACTTCATTCGTGGAAATGTAGTGTTGATGAGATGTGAGGCGTGAGAGGGATGTCTTTTATGTCCCCTTCTCAAAGAGATGGTTTAATTAGTTGAGAGTGCTTGAAGATATCCAGTCTCTCTACTTCAACCATGTTCTTGGGCCACGAACACATTTGCCATCTTCTAGGTGGTCTCCAGAGACCATCGTTCTTTTCACCATTGTGCACATTCTTTGATTGGTGGTTTTATGTTTGGTGTGGAACTATCTATGTATTCTTCTGCATAACAAACACAATATTTTTTGAAGTTCAACTGTGAAATCTTGCTTAGCGGTATTTCTTCCAATTACGTGTACAGGAAATTTATCCCAGTGCTTCAATTTCTGGTAGGACGATTTTGAAACGAAAACTGTCAGATTAGTAATTCTGCAGTGTTCGCATTGCTAGTCACATCTGGTATTTTTAGTGAAGACCCGTTCTCACTTATCGTTCTTCCTTCACCACTGCATGCCTTTATCTTTCAGCCTTTTGCAAATGGTTTAGCGACCGATGCGTCGCAGTTTGCAGTGATTCAGTGGCTAAAGGGTTACTAAATACTGCAGCGACTAATTAACTGAATTGTTTCTATAATTCAGTTTTCAATTAATCGTTAAAATTAGGCGTAAGCCGTTAATATATTCTTAGATTATCAAGATAGTACCAGGTTGGTAAAAGGTTTTATTTGGCTAGCGTTTCGGCGTCATCGCTTTTCTTTAGAGGGGAAATATTGCCACGTGCGTGCCAGTTTGTATAAAACAGACTTCTTCAATATAAATTGCCGTCATAGAAGCCAACGATATTGAATAATAATAAATTAATATGCATCCTATATAAAAAGTAACTGCCGGGTGAGATTATTTCATTCAACCGGTACTCCTCTCCGGAAGGTTCGACTCGGTACGGCTGCGAAGACCCTAATCGCAATGACGAAGGACTGTAGACAATCAACTCGTCGCGATTCTGAAGAATGCGAAGGTGCTAAATCGTTAGCCAAATTAAACCTTCCCAATCTCGCATTAGCTCAATAATCCAAAAAAATATTCGAATAGTCGTTGCTGTGTGAGTAGTCATGCTGGGTTCTGGGAAGTGCATTTGTGTCGTGACGTGTGGGGAGCTGCGAGTGAGAGTTAAGCAGTAGATAATGCAGTATTGTGTTGTAATATCGCAGTAGAATCGCGTTCTTTAACTACGAAATGGATCTGTGATGTCGATTTCTAAGAAGAAATTAAAAGGAAAGAAGGTTAGAATAAGAATAAGAAAGAAGAAAAACGTTCTAAGTTCTAAGAAGAAAGAAGGAAGAAGAATTATAATAAGAAGGTTGGAAACTGATTCGCTGCTGCGCACGAAGTGCCCAATGATGATAGGCTGCTTGCCTGCACTTGCTTGTATCTGATTACCCTGTTTTCGTGGCGGTTTTGCTTTGCAAGTGGAACAAGCTTTCAAGAAATTCAGGAGTTTTGATGGCGATTCCAGTACACCGCTGTAAAAAAAACCAGTAGTTTAATGGTTTTTTTAAAAGTAGAGTTTTCATAAGGTGAGGTCACTACTGTGTTTTTAAAATGAATCATAAAATGCTTGGGAATTTATGAGGTTTGGTGTTGTTCTTTTCACCATAAGTATTATTTCGAAACATCTTTAGTAATATGGATAGTTTGAATAGTTGCTTTATACATTTTTATTTACAGGACTCGTCAAATGGTTCATCGACATATCAGATTGAAATGCTCAAGTACATAAAGAAAACCTATCCGACTCTGGATGTCATTGCCGGAAACGGTACTGGACTACGTCGTTTGTTTTTTTTCTTTTCACTTTTATTCTTTTACACCTACATCTTGAAATTCTCCCAACCTGTTCTTAGCAGATTTCTTTTCAACTCGCAAGAAATTCTGTCAAAGTGAATCACGATTAGATATGTCTTTGACTTCTCTCCTGGTGTTCTATTGCGGTTATGGTTGTGAGGAAATTCTACCAACGACCAATTCTAAAGAGTTTCTTGATTGTCTGGTTTATCATCCTCGTTTTACAGTCCTGATTATCGTCTTTGTCCATATTGTCTTCGTTGTTTTACACCCATAATTTATTATTTGAAGCATCAATAAGTTTAGTGGTGACCAAGGCGCAAGCGAAATTGCTGATCGACGCTGGTGCTGACGCGTTGCGAGTCGGAATGGGCAGTGGATCAATTTGTATCACTCAAGACAGTAAGTTGTTAAACTCGCCGCATTTCCTATAGAATGATCTAAGCTGAGAACATAAGTAGACGTTAGAGAGAGAGAGAGAGAGAGAGAGAGGGGGAAACAGATGTGAGTTGGGGCAACTAAACAGATCGCAGGTTGAACGGAGCTACATCGTCACCGAATGATTTTATCACTAGCAGAAAAGATGAGTGTGGAAAAAAACAGCTGTCTGTTTTCTGAACACTGCAAGTTGTCGTGCAGTACTACCCCTCTGCATCATTGAATTCCACGTAGTTGAACACGAATTTAGCTGATTTTCAAACGAACAGGCCAACTTTTTCTTTTCATCTACAGACGTGAAGTTGATAATATTTTCTACATGTCACGGATCTCTTTAGCAGAAGAGATATGAAAACCATATTCAGGTTAGAATGTCTAACAATTCTTAGAAATCTTTGACCCTATTAACATTATAATAACGTAAGCTTTGTTCAGGGTCAGGGCGAGTGTGCCGCAATAGTTGGAGGCGCCACTTTGACACACACGTGAGATCGATCCCCGCGCCCATGGCCCACCAAGCCTTCCATCTCCGGGGGTCGGCAAATTGGTACCAGACTTGTCTGGGAGGATAGCAGCACTGGCTCTGTACATCGGTTGGCCACCGTGAGTCGTTGTAAAGGCCTAATATGCATTCAACCACCTCCAACGACACTTTAATGAAGTCGAATGCATGACGCGTCCCTCAGGGATTGCTCAACGCCGAGAGATTTATCGTTTTTATTTTATACTTTGTTCATCATGAACAACAACGTATAAATTTGTGCCTAGAAATTTTTTTCTGTGTGAATTTAATTCACTAATCTGAAGAGCTTTGAATCCCTATGTAAAAATGGTTCTTATTTTGAACCTCATCTCTCTAGGACGTGAATTGGATAAAGAAAAATTGTGGTGTGTGGCCTTTTTTATCATAGTTCTCCTCATCGTTAAATTATTTTGTCTTTTCAAGAAAGTAGAAAAAAAGGAGCATCGTAATTATCGATGATTCTAGCTCGCAAGTAACATCCTATGTTACTGCCGGTGTGTTTGCTTAAGCTCTTCATCTGAAGATGCTGTTACAGTTATGGCTGTCGGAAGAGCTCAAGGTTCAGCGGTGTACGCCGTAGCCTCATATGCGCGAAGCAGAGGAGTGCCCGTACTTGCGGATGGCGGAATTCGCGATGTCGGTTACATTACAAAGGCGGTCGCTCTAGGCGCAAATGCGGTCATGATGGGAGGTCTTCTGGCAGGTACCACCGAGGTAGGTGTGCTGAATGGAAACAGTTCTATTGCCGACATTCGCCATTGGTTCCACCTTATTTTAAACCATTAATTTTAATTTTTATCGACGCAAGTGGTACCTTTAGGAAAGTCTCTAAACTAGCAGTTTTCCTTTGAATAATTTAACGAGGTTCCCTTTAACCTGAGAAAGGTATGTTTAAACATCAGTACATAATCTCGCATGCCTACGAGCTCTACGAGGTTAGCAGTTGCTATTGAAGTTATGTCTCATTCTTTGATATACTATTTTCAGGCACCAGGGGAGTATTTTTGGGGTCCAGGTGGAGTTCGTGTGAAAAACTACCGCGGCATGGGTTCACTAGATGCGATGGAAGCACATACGTCTAGTCAAGACCGATACTTCACTACGTGGGTTTTCCTGTCCCTCAATGCGAATCATGGTTCAGTTTTTAGTGCTGTGTTGTAATCTTAATTTGATTCAGAGATTCGGACCAGATCAAGGTTTCTCAGGGTGTTTCGGCGACTATGAAAGATCGTGGTTCATGCCACAAATTCTTACCATATCTAGTTCGCGGCGTGCAGCATGGCTTTCAGGACATTGGTGTACGTTCGCTGGAAGAATTACAGTAGGTTTTTCTATTGTTCCGTGTTCCTATGTCCATGTTATCTGTTCCTGAAGGAATTGAGCAAAATAAACATCATCAATACATAGTAGTAGAAGGAATAGTAGTATATTAAAATTTATCAGGAATAATGTAAATAGATAAATACGGAAAGTTCTGTTCCCTCAACGACTGCTATGCGATTTTCAGTGAGAAGGTAGCATCCGGTAAAGTACGTTTCGAGAAGCGTTCGCCGAATGCGCAAGTCGAAGGTGGTGTGCATTCACTTCATTCGTAAGTATCGCTTTTAGTCCTTTTCTTGTTGTTCGACAACTCAATAACTATACAAGCGCACGCAGGTGGAGGTGCTCGTTTCTAAACATTTTTGCTTTATAGGACATATTGCTGTTGTTTGATTTGATACTCCACCGAATTTCAGGAGTAGGTTTTAGTCCGAAGTCGACAAAGCGTTAATATGCCTAGATGAACTTCGAAAAGCCTAAGGAGATTTTAAAACTTTTGATTGTCGTTTTGACATATTAAATTTTCATAAGTCGGGCATTCAGCGAAACAATAAAAATGATGACTAGATAACTTTGTGGAATTTCATCACTTACAATTGGGCCACTCAGCTAAGGAAGTGTAGCTCCAAATGAGAATGCTAGATTAGGCGTCGCCGTGAATGTCTTCAATTTATCGGTTACAGTGTTTACGACGTTGAGCCGGACATTCACCATTATTGGTCAAGGGGCCATTCTGAAACAACAGCTAGGCCTATCGGTAGGAATACAGTCGTTGGGTAGTCTACAGTCTGCACCAATCACCATGTTGATTGTCATTCTTCTGCAAGTCTATCTGTCCATTAGAGTTTGGCACAACAGCCGTCACTGGTCCGCCGTTGTTCATTTCGCTACTGCTCCACTCTGTTTACGCTGCATGACTTCTCTGACTGTGTGTAAATTAACGTGCACCTATCTCTATGAATTTGCATCTATCCACATATCGGTGTGTTACTGTAATGACAAGTTTCAGTGAGAGTTCTACCTATCAGTGAATTCATTTTTTCCAGGTTTGAGAAGCGCCCCTATTAGACCACCATTTATTCGTCGATTTCAACCAATCGCATAGTGGAATGGTTGATTTCTGTTGTTTTTGTTTCTTTTTCCGGTTTTTCTAACGTGGTGCTTACTGAGAAGCACTGCCGTGAAGTGTTTCAACTTTTTCAATTTCATTTGTTATATTGTTATAGCATTTTGTTATAAAATGTCAATGATTGTTCCCCTATCTGTGAACAACAAGATATCAATTTATGTCCTTCACTGGAGCTACAAATATAATTGAAATAAATTTTGATTTGGGAAACTACGTTGAGATGTTTTATAAATTTTCACGGTTCATGAGATTTTATTTTCATACTATCATTTTCCGATATTATGTTGCGTTCAAAAATGAAAATGAAGTATGCATCCTTTTATTCTTACTCTTTATTCTTCTATTGTTTTTACCACTTTCTTTGCAACTTCAAATAAACAGATCGAAGAATAAGTTGAATACCACTGATGGAAAACTTCTGAAAAAGTCATCTAGTTGGGGAAGGTTGTCCGCCTATCCAATCTTCTGCAGCAGATTTACAAAGCACTGAAATCCATCTCCGAGGTGTGGATAACGCAGTGGTTAGTGATGCCATCGACTAAGAAGCAAAGGCGCTGGTTCGGTCCGCGCACCAACGCTCTTCTGCAATCTACGTGGGGACACCTTAGCTCGAGTATTTCTTCATATTCTTGTTGAGCAAACGCGAGGTATTACTTTTATTCTTTATTCACGAATAAGCTGACGTTTCGGTGGATTTCGCCTTCCTCAGAGCCTGGAAAAGTCAAATTGACAGCAATCTATTCGGCCAAACACCTCCATAACCAAACAGAGAAAACGCTAAACCAAGATTTCAATCACATTCAACACAGCTCCGCACAATCACCGCTTTCCTGTGGGTCTTCCACTGAGTACGTCGCGTGAAGACCAACCGCACAAAATTCACATGGAAGCGTAATGTGCCCTCCCATCAGAATCACTGTGATATTATCACGCGTGATAATGAGGCATTCTATCCTGCGGTTCATTTTCGGATTTATGGAGTTAATCCAGAACGCCTCGAGAGTTTTGCGCGCTTGCGTTCTTGTTTCCTGTGAGAGGATCGTGACACGAACTTCAAAGTTCTCCTCGTTATGTCTCTCGGTCCTATGCGTGCTTAGTGGGGTATTTGGTAGGCGTTTGTCGGCTAGGTGTTCTTTTATACGGACACAGGCTCTGAGGAAGGCGAAATCCGCCGAAACAGCTTATTCGTGAATAAAGAATAAAAGTGATACCTCGCGTTTGCTCAACAAGAATACGAAGAATGACTTGATCAATGCCGAGGTTAATGTATCTCCAAGATCGCAAGGAGAACGAACTCAACCACTATTCTACAACATTCACGAAGAAGATGAAATCATCAAGCAGCAACTGGGACAACATGCGATGTGTTCGGAAACGATTGCGAACGATGAGTGTGAGGAAAACGAATGGAATACAGGAAGTGCGCTGGAACCCGCACAGTAAATGTGATAAAGAGTCCTGCGAAATAAAAAAGTCTATTTCCACTGAGTATGCAATGCACAGGGACGCGTATAATTGTGCCCTGCATTGCGCATCACACCAGTTACTAGTTCGATCCCGCCCCTCTGCTCACTAACCCCTGCGTCCCTGAGAAGGAGACAGATTGATATCAGACGTGTCCGGTAGGATAGCAGCACTGTTTTGATAAATATATAGGCATTCGCAAGTCATTCTTGAGGCCACATATGCTTTTAACCACCTTACGATGTCCAATGAAGTCAAATGCATAGAGAACTCCTAAGGGATTGATCAACACCGGACCTCTGTCCTTCATTCTTTCAAACAGTGCACTGCTATAATCAATATTTATTAATTATGATTGCACAAAATTTTCAAAGCGTGATCTTCAAGCATAAAATTTGTACAATTCAATACGCATTACCAGTAACGAAACATTAAAGACAACAATGTCCAGTGCTGCAGCGTCGTTCACGAACTTGACAGACGGACACCTCCACGCAGCAACTATTTCATAGTCGTAAAGGCTTAAAGAAATATGGCGGATAAGAAAGAATAATTTGTATAGTTACTAACTTCTTAATTAATGGGTAAGTCTAAAAGAGGACCGAGACAAATCGTTTTCCATGATTGAGTCCAGAAGAGTGAAGAGAACGCCGAAACGATCTATTGCGAATGTTTTGGTGTCATACTATTGGCCAACGTTATTCACTTGCACCATTTTTAATGAGTTTCTCTTGATGGAGTAACTTGCTCTAAAGCGTCGCTCTCGTCTCGCCTCATAAGCGCAGACGAGAGGCATAGTATTCATGTGTGATGGAGGGACTCTGAACGAATCAATGGTCTTTCTTTCCTAGTCGTATAAGGTAAAAATCATGTCTGGAAACTTCAACGGACCACTTACTCAGGCTTTACATTGACGATTTCTTCAGCGTCTCAAGTTCGTCGTTGTTCGTTGGCGTATCGAACTTTGTGGAGCATTGATCGTGAAGCTGAGACTAAGCTCGCTATTAACAACACAATAGAAACCGACTTAGATCCCAATGTAGTGTTTTCAATGCCTATCGTGATAGTAAATTTAGGCCCTGTAGCGTTTTTCCTTTCCATTGTGAGTTTTGCGAACAATATTTAGCATCAGGAACTTTGTTTTAGAAAATATACATAAGGCATTAAAAATTTTTGAATTCTTTACACACGAGCCAAAATCGATGGAAACATGGGTAGATTTAGTAAAAGAAAAACAAATAAGTGAAAACTCACAGTCACTTTCTGAGGTTTAGTGTTGGTAATGTAAGAGCTGGCCGATTCGCCGGATGTGACGTAGCACGGCCGAAATGAAAGGAACATGTGATGAAGTGCGTTTCGGAACGACTCATTCACCAATGCGTAGGTGATGGGATTCACACATGCTGACGAGATGCCAACCAGATGGCAGAACAGATATCTGGAACGAGCTGTCGTGTGCGATTCATTTCGTACGAAATCAAACTTGAACCTGAAGCCTAACAGCAGGCAACAGTAGAGTTGCGCTTGGCCAGGAAACCGTTAACGATCTACTTAGAAACGTTGGGATGAAACGTTCCGCAATGAAGATGAGATTGCTTCATAGTGAGGGCGGTTAGTGAGAGTCCGCTGCGTTCGTCTACGAGAAGTTGAGTTGGATTAAAGAAAATCTATGCAGAACTATCCGTAGACGAACTACTGCGTAAGCTACCAGTACCGAAACAACTGAAAGAGAAAATGGTAGGAATTGTATGAATTCCACAAAGAACAAACGAATCGTGGTTTAGAAAACATGTTGTGCCTCCTTTCTGCCAAGACCCATTTTTTAAACGAATTATGAAGTGACCGTCGAAAATGTTTTCTATGGTGGGCTTTGCATAAAAGTGAGGTTAAAATTCTACATGCTTTCATGATAGATTGATGGAGTCACGTAAGTAACAACAAGAAGTTCTGTTGAAATCATTACGTTATTGATAGAAGGTCGACAAAGCCGATCAAGAAATATGCTGTCTGAGGACGTTATTGTTAGTTTTAGGCAGGAACGGACGGCTACGTTGTACCAGGATGCACACTCTAACCAGTGGTGGTACAATAGCTCAACGAGTTAGTACGAACCTCCTCATCCGCGTTGCATACCGAACCTATAACCAATGACTTTCCATTTCTTTAAGACTCTGGAGAGAACTTTCTTCAAGAGATCATTCGTTTGTAAGTCAACAATTTCTTCGACGAATTTGTCGAGCCCTTGAAAGTGTATGGAATATTTAGGCTTTAGATAGTAGAAGTGTTCACCGCTTACTTTCACTGCAAATTTACTTCTGTTGATAAGATGGAATTCTGGTGAAGTCACATCGTCTACCATGTTTGAAACCTCTCCTTTACTCCGCGTTCTATCTCACATGACCGATGTTGCCATTTTTCTTTCAGAAATTTTAGATGGTTACTATTATTCGTTTTTTTTCTGCAGGAAAACATTTACTTACAAACTTTATGGTACGCCATCCTCGCAAGTTGCAGTTTGCTTCGCAGTAATAAATTGAACAATAGAAGGGGCAGATAGCACAGTGGTGGTGATGTCGTTCATCACGAGCATAGTGCTAATTCGATTCTGCTCCGAGCCAATCAAGCCTCCCATCCATCCGGCGTCAGGAAATTGGTGCCGGACTTGTTTGGGATAAAAGCTCACTCTGTGCAATCTAAATGGTAATGCTCCGGCCCGCCTATCTCAGGACTCCAGGAAGAATTGCTCGACCAGCACTCTAAGACATTCAAGATGAAATGAAAATCCTCAAGCAGCAAGAAAAGCCATGCGTTAAAGTTGGAAGATCTTCGTGAACAATAGATGCGAGAAAGCGAATCGTCGAATGTGAGAAGTGCCGGGATCGCACAGCGGACGTGAAAACGGACGAAATATAACAGAACAAATAAATATGATATACTTTGTCTTTCAGTGCTTAATAAATGAACACACCTGTACTGAGAATAAGAGATGACTTCGAAACTGTTCAACGCGTTGTGAATATTCATCGGTGCCCAACAAATCGCATACGTCAAGACGAGGATCATCAGAAGCAAAAGTGCACGCCTGAAACTCGAACAGATCGTCGGCATTGAGCCGAATGCAGACTATTTCTACCGCACTCTGAGATTCCTTTTTGGAAACAAAAAACTCCGACATACACAATTTTTACCGCATATTAACTAATCGCAGCAAACACTAGGCCTTGAAATATGTTTGAACATGTACACATAGTCGAGAAAACCATAAGAAATGGCGCATATACAGCTGTTCTACCTTGCTTTCTACCTATATGTAAATCAACTAAATACAATACATCATTGACCCATATAAAATTTCTTAAAGTCACAAAATGACGCCTGTATGTGTGATTCAGAACGCTCTGAAGCAAGGTGTCGTACCTGTTACGGCTCTGCATGCTCATACGTCGTGCCTGGTCGATCGTTCGACTCACTTTAGAGCGTCGTCGAATTGTGGATCCGATTTGTACGTACGCATAAGCCAACGCGCACAACGGTAGTAAGTACTGAAACTCTCAACGATCAGCAATCCGAAGCAGTTTCATGGACGCATACCCGGTTAGGTGGCTGCTTAACAACCTATATTTTTTCATCACGAACTATGTGGAACAAGCTGACAGTACTGGAGAACTGCAATCACCCATACGTCGTTGAAGCCTATCATACCACCCAAAGAAAACTCCATCACTAACAACTTCACAAGGAAAGAGCACATTTCGGGGAAATGCTAGTGCGATGTCAAATCTCATGAGCACATCGAGCACATTTGTTCATCTCCTCTTGTGTGCAGATGAAATCAATATGTATTCTTTCTTGATAAGCTTGCACGAGGTTGATAAATATATTTATTTTCGGCTAACGTTTCGACGTCTTCGTCTTCCTCAGAGAAGATGGCTCACTGAGGAAGATCTGGCTCGACACGAAGGCGAAGACGCAACGTCGAGGCGAACAACAAGCATGGACCATCG